TACACATGAGACGAAACAACAATGACTCGATAGTATGTGAAGTCATTATTAAAATGATTCCCCGAAAACAAGTAGCGATTTCTGAGAAGCATTTTCTTAACATTCAAAATTCAATGAATGAATAAATTTGTAGAAATCTTACAACCAAAAACTTTAAAACAGATGTTAACAAGACAATTATGTAATTATATGTTCCTACATAATAATTTAATTTCGATTTTCTACAGAATATAGAATTTAAATACACTTGACAGAGAACGATATGCTATAAGACTAAACTAGAAAATAACTTGCAGAGTTTAATCAAGGATACTCTAGGAATGCCTATATGAATTCGCCCATGAATTTCTAAATTCTTGAAAATAACGATTTCGACAAACCGCATATGGGTTCAGATTTGTGAGTCCGGAAAAACGTTTGTGCGGTTTTATAAAGAATGTTTTTGTTCAAAAACTCATCTTGCCTTGTCCGAAAAAGTTAAAACGGAGTGGTATTTCGCTCAACCCAACCACAGAACCATTTAATTTTGAGTTAATCAAGTGTTAAAAAAACAAGTTAAAACTAATAATTGTGGCTAAGCGACCCGATGAAGGTTGATATTAACTAATTGTGTAGTATAGGGCGACCCTTCTTTTTTTAAATTAACGAATAAGTAAAGATACTTAAACTTTTTAAATGTTATATAAATTAATTCGCGGGGGAAATGATCCACCCCTGTTCTAAACCTGTAAACTATATCATGGAAACGTGAAAATGAAAAGGATGAAATTTTAATACTAGTCAGGTTTTCCATTATGCTTAATAGGATTTCAAGAATTTTTCTCGGAAGCTTATGAGTTTCTAGTAATTTGGAAATCCGGAAGGGTTTTCGAGATATATTCGGAAACCAAGCTAGTATTCTGGCCAACGGGGAAAAATCGGATGCTGCATCCTGTTGTTCCTAATAAATGGTATTAGATTGCACAATTGGTTGATTGAAGTGCACGGAAATTTATTAGAAGCTACTTCAATCTACTAAAAACGTGGGAGTCTATCACAATGCACCAAAAACTGATTCGCTTTACAACAATTTTCAAACAATGTAAAAAAACATGGATTCTGCTGGATTAGGGGTGTGCCGCTCACGGCTACGAGCGCTGATAATTGTGAACGTTTCTTCTCTAAATAGAATATGTAAGAAATCAGTAATAATGAACCCACTTTAGCTATATTCATATAAAAATACGTTATAGTATTTCGTACAGTTTCTTTTCTAATATATTCAATCGATGTATCTAAATACTTGTTACTCGATGAATTCGCAATAAGCGATAGAATAGGCTCATTAAAGTTTGGAAAATCATAGTTTCCGAATATTTGTTTCTTAAACTCACTCATCTTACTACCACAAACTACCAAGGAACAAAGCTAGGATCTTATTATATATATGTCTAGTAGGGTTAGCACATTACTATTACTGGTAATAAATAATAACTGCTATTTCGAATTAATAATACTAACTAAAAGCCAGGAAAATTAATAAAGTAATAAGGAAGAAATAAAGCAATAAAGAACTTGATCGTGGAATTACTTCTATTTATCGATATATTTCTACTTTCTCACCACTAGGACTACAACAGCTCTCAAATCATAGCTCAGATCAAATGAACGAAAGAACTGCTGAAGCAGTTCTATTCACTGATTTGTCCACAATCGCTAGATTGCCTGCATTCAATCACTAGTATTGTTTGGGCCGTAATTAAGGATAATCCCTTCAATTTCTTAGGTTATATCTAGATGTGATGCCTGTGACTTTTTGCAGCCTACCTGGAGATGGTTCCCGTAAATGTTGTGGATTTACACTGGGACGGTTTCTTTAGTCATGTCGGATCTACTTAAGGGTTGTCCTTATGAATTTTTTGGGACCATTAAGGATGGTACTTCAAGTTTGAAGATATCACTGCTGGGCAGAGTGACCTGTTAAAAGGACAATACTTATATAGAATTGAAAAAGTTATGGAAACTGTCAATAGTTACGAATAGGGTTGCGCCGAGACTGAGAGTTCCCATCTCCGTCTCAGTCGTCGCGGTTAAGGTTTCGGTCTCGCTCTCCTTCTTGACTATATTCAATCACAACAGCAATTTTAGTCTTGGTTTCGGGAACTTGGCGTCGATCTGAAAGAGACTATATGACACGAAGACCGGTGATTTCACATTTTTTCATACCACAAAATTGGAATCGAGTAACATTTTCACATTTATGGTAGCACATTTCTGACATTTTTCGTTGGGTCAAAACTTTGAAATCTAACTTGAAAAATTATTGCGCCTGCGGTATCCCTCCAGAGATTGCAAAATAAAGTTTTTATCGATAACACAAAGTTTTTATATTTAATTCTATAGAGTTCGTCGCAAAAATCACGAATATCCTGTTTTATTGAAATTTAATTGGATAATAAGAAAATTTTAAAGATTTTACTGGTTTCAAGCCTTTTAAGAAATAATCAAGTCTTGAGCCAAGCCTGTTCTAAAATTATGTTTGAAGGACTTCAATGACTTCTGCCTAACCTACGTTTTTGTGCTCTATCCGAATTTAATAGAGCCTGGTAGAGATATTAGTGCCATTGACTCGATAGTACCCTCCTATCGGGTCCCATTGTTACGACTGGGACCAGAAAAGTCTTTAAAAGTTGCTTATTATCCAATCAAATTTCAATAAAAATATGATATTCGTGATTAGGGCAGCGAACTCTACAGAACTAAAGATAAAACCTTTGCATTAAAGATAAAAAAAGTTTCTCGCGATCTATGGAGGGGTACCACAAGCACAATAATTTTTCAAGTCAGATTTCAAAGTTTTGGTCCATCAAAAAAAACTCAGAAAGGTACTACCATTAATATGGAAGTGTTACTCAACTCCAATTTGTGGAATGAAAAATTGTGAAATCATCGGCCTTCCTTTCATATAGTCTCTGTGAGATCAACATCAAGGTCCCGAGACGAACACTTATCGGTACTAAAAGACGAGACTGACTGAGACCGAGACCAAGACCGAGATCGAGAGTCGCGGCTTGGTCTTGGTCTCAGTTCATTCCTAGTTACGGCTGAATAAGTTATAAGAATCCCCTTCCACACTGAGCAGAAGAATACAAGGGATACTACTATATATGTCCTAAAATATTGCACAGATCAGCCCTGGGAAGTTCTCACATACTTCTAATTACCATCCTGGGGTAGGTCCAGAAAGGTACTGGACTGGCCCTTGGTAGTTTCTTAAAATTTATAGGTATCGCCTGTAGGTAGATCCCAAATAGCTAAAGAGACCACTCCTGGGTAGATCCTAAAACGTCTGACTACTCCCTCTGAATGAGTTCTTAGAACTTCTACCCTTATGTGATTTTTAAAAAGTTCTGAGCATCACCTGTAGGCAGGTTCCTGACAGCTATAGGGGCCAGTTCTGATCTGATCCCGAAAGCTTCTAATACGATCTCCCGGTAGGTCGCAAGTAGCTATAAGAAATCCTCCTAGACAGATACTAAAAAATTCTAATTACTATCTTTGGGCCAGTATTTATTACGGTAATAATTATTACCCGTTATTACTTATCAGTTGTTGCTTTTATTAGTTTCAATTTTTTTAAATTTTATTGCTGGTAATAAATAATAAAAGTAATAATAATTAAGAATATATCGCTTACGTTCATGAGCGTGCGCGTAAGCTGTACAGTCCTATGTTGCATCCTACCTGATTTTTAAGTGTCGAAAAATTCATCGGAACCTAGCAAGATTCATCAGAATTCACTAAAATGTCAATCTCGTCAGTTCACTCATGCTTCTTACTCGAAAATCCTTCGACCAATTCCTCCTTTTTGCCATCAGGGTTTTTGGATCCTATTCGATCCTGCTGGATCCTGATGAATCCTGGGATCCAATAGGATACACTCTTCCCCTTGCCCACACTTCAACGTAGGAGGTTAGTGCTCGCATAATCTCTTGTGTACAACATGAACCACTGCGTTTTTTTTTTAGGTCAACCCAAGGTGGAAACTCTGGAACCAGTTAACGATCAATCATGTGTTATCGGTCAAGATACTCAGATCTCATGGAAGTTCAGNATTCCTGCTAATTTGACAAAATAATTCACATAGAATTTAATAAAAGATATTGTAGAACATAGAAGTAAGAAATATGCGCTTTTCTAAATAGGAAATGTTCTAATTACTTAGATTTAAGAGAACCAAAAAAATTCTAATAAAAAAAATAATTTAACGATTGAAAAATATTTTCTTCATAGGAAAAGAAGCAAAATCTGTTACTCAAGTTTAAAGATAAAAATACTACTCGATAATATATCTGTACCAAGAAGTACATCACTCGTGAAGGACTAAATTTAATTGGTGGTTATAGAAACCATCGAACCTTCACTTACAAATCATAAAGCCAATAAACATATCGCATTGACGTAATTAAGTTTACCTTCTTGTGTATATGACATTAACACATAGTCGCGTACTGAACAGTACGTAATCTTTTCTTTCACCCTCTCTCTAGTATATAAGCTCATGATATATTGGGGGAAATAGGGCAGTACTATAAGTCAGGGAGTAGTTAAAATTTGAGTTGTTCGAAGAAGTAGTTTATCAGAATGTAAATAGTGTTAGACTTGACTTGTATTGAGAAACATGCGCACATATTATTAGCAGCGAAATATTGCTATCTTGTTTTATTGTAAACTCATTATTGAATAAATTAATACAAGTTGGTATTGTCCAAACATTCTTGGTTGTAATACTTACAAGAGTTTCGATTAATTATCTCGCGATACATCCCATCCACGCCCTCAAGATATGCTCTTTGCATGTCATTTTTTTGGCCGTTTAATATGTTCTACTTTCACATAAGAAAAAATAGATAGAGTTCATCACTTGAAACTCCGATTGAATGACTTTTTAATGTCTGCTTGGATTAGCTAGATATGTAATTATTGTAAGTTTGATTTTCTACAGAATATAGAATTTAAATATGCTTGAGAGAAAAACAGAACGATCTATTCAAAGAAGTTTGCTCGATACTTTCGAAATTATTTCAAATACTAGCTATACTCGAGAAAGAGAGAGATTTCCTTTTACTCTTACGTTTTCTCTTCTAGGTAATATTCCTGCTAATGCTAAATGGGCACAGAGCGGAGTGACTATTGCTGGAGGTAACGGGTATGGGGGTGCCACTAATCAACTTAGCGGCCCTTGGGGTCTTTTCATTGATGAGCAAACAGTGATTATTGCTGACTCCGGGAATCATCGTATCATGCAATGGAAGAACGGTGATACAACGAATGGACAGGTCGTTGCTGGTGGTAAAGGCCAAGGAAATGGATTAAATCAATTGCATATTCCAACTGATGTATTAATTGACAAAGAGACGGATAGTCTCATTATTTGTGATCGAGAGAATCGACGAGTTGTACGATGGTCTCGTCGTAGTGATACAACGCAAGGTGAAATACTCATCGAAAACATCCAATGCTGGGGATTGGCAATGGATGAGCAGAGAAATCTCTACGTTTCTGAAATGGAAAAACATGCAGTAAGACGATATCAATTGGGTGAGAAGAATGACACTCTCGTAGCTGGTGGTAATGGTATAGGTGACGGACTCAATCAACTCAACTTTCCGGCATATCTATTTGTCGATCGACAACAGAATGTCTACGTATCAGACAACGGGAATCATCGTGTAATGAAATGGAATAAAGGCGCAAAAGAAGGTATTGTGATTGCTGGAGGACAACGCGCAGGGAGTGCTCTGACACAATTGTACTATCCTAATGGAATTTTTGTTGATACGTTAGGTACACTCTATGTAGTAGACTCGTTGAATAATCGTGTAATGCGTTGTACTCAAGGAGACAAGAAACAAGCCACTATAATTGTGGGTGGAAATGGCGAAGGAGAAGGAGCAAATCAGTTCAACGTTCCCCGTGGTTTGACTTTCGATCGACATGGTAATCTCTATGTCGCCGATATGGGTAATAATCGTGTTCAACGATTTTCTGTCGAATAAGACTTGTGAATTGTTTTCTCTTTGTTCGTTTCTTTTTCTATACTTTGAAATGAATGAAGAAAAAAACAAAATTTTCTTTTACCCTTTCGCTTCAAAGAAAAGAAAAAAGCTAAACTATAAAATTACGTCATATGTTTCTTTTCTTCTTCTTTTATTTATTTGTTAAATGAAAAGAAATGAATTAGATAAAAATTATTATTCGCAAAAAATATTAATTATTAAAGTGAAAAAAAGTAAATTGTGTTTTGAAAATATTTATGATTTAAATGAAAAAATAAAATTTGTCTTATTTTCATAAAATATTTGATTCCTGAAATCAAAAATAAAATTTGTATTATTTAAATGAAAATAAAATTTTGAGTTATATTCATAACAATATTTATTAGTAAAATAAAATAATTTAGTAGTAAATTGAAAAATATTTCGTACTAAAATAAAATTTTGAGTTTTATTCATTACAATATTTATTAGTAAAATAAAATATTTTAGCAGTAAAATGAAAATTATTGAGTAGTGAAATAAAAAGTTTAGTAGTAAAAGAAAATAATTTTTAAGTAAAGTGAAAAAAGATATTTGTATTATTTTTACAAGTTTTATGATTTCAATGAAAATTAAATTTTGTATTATTTGAATGAAAATTAAATTTTGTATTATTTGAATGAAAATTAGATTTGTATTATTTTTACAAATTTTATGATTTAAATGAAAATTTGTATGTTTTTGAAAATATTTATTGATAAAATAAAATAATTTATGAGTAACGTGAAAGGAAAATTTTTTTTTGTTTTCACAAAATATGTATTATTGCAGTGAAAATATTTATGATTGAAATGAAAATATTCATGACAAAAATGAAAAGAAAAAATTTGAGTTATTTAAATAATGTTTATTTTAAAAATAAAAAAATTAAATTACAAGAAAAATAAACAACAGAATGAAAATAATTATACAAAAATTGCTCAATGTGTATGACTTATTTTTCAATTAAATCTTTATATGAACATTCATTTTCTATATTTAAAAACAACAGTAACGAACAAGTAATGAAAAAGATGAAATTTATTTGTATTTTTAATAGTCTTCAAAATGAAATCTTATCACATGAAATAATCGACCTTTTTTTCGTCAAATATAAAAGTATAGCTATTTAATTATTTATATTGCCACGACGTGGAAGTATGACTCTATATATGTTTGCCTTTTCCAACACTGCACACGAAAGGGAATTTAGAGATGTCAGAGAAAAAAAAAACAAGAATCAATTATTCAGTCAGTTTCACTGTTTTTCACTTCTGATTCGCATGTAAATACTTCCTTTTTTACTACCTTTCAAGGGAATAATAAAATTGATATTATGAAATCCTAAATGCTTAGGTCGAAGCTTTTATTCGATTGATGGAAAATAAAATTGAAACGAATACAAATAGAAAACATAAATATTGTAAATGGATCGCACATATATCATTCGAATTTGATTATTAGATGTTTCTTGATCAAGGGATATTGCCAAATGTACAGAAAGGCGAATTCATAGTGTCATCAAACCATTTTCTATTCAAAAAATACTTAGTTTTCTTTTACAGATATAATGTTCGATCGAGGTTTCACGAGAAGATTTGTTTAACGATTATGAGTAATATCTTTTATCGAATTACAATGTGAATACATTTGATGAATTGTTACTTTACGAGTACCATACATTTATTCATTCTATTCAAATCTGTGTATCTAGAAATGATTGTCGAAAAACAAGAACGATGATCATGAAAAAATCTATCTTGAAAAGATGAAATAATTCAGGGTTAAAATTTAATAGTTACATTTTGTTCGATTATCTTTTTTCTATTAAATGACAACAATTATTTGATCAACTAGAATTAAAGATGACAAATTGTAATATTTACGCAGTCTACAAATGAAATAATACTATTGAGACAATATTCTTAGTCTAAATAAAAAGGATGATAAAAATCTCATCTATTATTGAAGGAATACCCCGGTCAAAGAAAACGATCAGGAAACGGTCGTATACGATACAAATACGACCCGTTTTACGTGCCGTATTTTCCCCGTATAACAGGGGCAGTAATACAACCGTATATTCTATAGAATACGATAATATTACGCCGGCTTTACGAGGTTTTACGGCTGATATACGATGTCCGTGTATGACCGTAATACTGCCCCTGTCAAAACGCCTTAATTCGGCTTAAAACGACCATTTTACGACGGAATACGATGCAAAAACGGTCGTTTACGGTTATGTCACGCCGATTTACGGTGGTCCGTTTTGATCGACCTGGGTAATTCGTTTTCTTATTTTTGAACACAACTGTGAAAGAGTTGACATTGTTATTAAGGAATTCGTAGCAACATATATCAATACAAAATCGATCTAGGGCTGAATCAGAAATTGAACAAGTCTCATTAGTTATTGATATTCTTGTGCTATAATAATTATTATTTCATTAGGTAGATCAACAAGATGAACGTTATTTCGATGCATGTTTCAATCTGTTCTCTAGAACACAATTTTTCAGAGATTCATAATTGATTTGTTTGTGATATTTTCATCAATCAGTAGTTCAAACTTCTCTCTATTGCTTTAAAGTAATCCTAGATATATAATTCAAAAAAATATTTCGCAAAATGTTATTTACAACTTAATAAGCGGCAAAGGATCTCTCGTGATTGGATACATGTTGCAATGACGAAAAATATCGAGTTGATGGAAAGGTAGACCTACCAGAGCAAAACTTTTTATTTCAAAATGCAAAGAACTCTCAGCACCTATCGTTTGTTTGTTTCTCGTCGTCCAGCATAAGCTATTTCATGAGGTTTCGATGTCAACAAGTGTATGCTACTTTTTGTTGATGACGATGAGTAGCCAGATAAGCAGCAATTTTGTAGTTTTATTCGATTAGAATTTTTCTCAAAAATAACTAAATAATCATCAGATAAATTCATACCAACTACATAAAAATATATATATTCTAAGCTTGAAAATATCTTCTTCTTCTTCTTCTTATACATTGATTTCACGCAGGCTAACTCTAAACAATGAATAGTTAGTTAATAAAAAAATAACCTGGTGAATTCTTAAACGTGTTTTTGAAGAAATGAAAAATGACATGGTAGTCTATATAGATTAGATTATTTTATTCCGAATGAACTTTTTTCATTTACATTGATCTTTTGTATTTACTTTTTCAAATCTATAATGAGATTGCTTATGTTGCACAAACTCATTTCAGTAATCTTGGTTTATTGAGTAAAAATAGACTACCGATAGTAACATCCGTGTTGTTGTCTCTCGTTAAAAACAGTGACATACATTTTTCACTAGGAAAGAACGAAAATTGTACATTGAATAGCTTCCTGTGATGGTAAGAAATTTTGATTATGAAAACAAATAAATCAACATATATTTATGAGTCAATGAAAAGTATTTTAAATAGCACGTTTATTCTTGAAAAGACTAAACGGACAGCTTGAAAATCAATTATTGTTGATAGGAAAAAAAGGAATCAAATAATAATGAGAATGATTTTTTGATGGAATTAAATCGGCAGTTTTTAATATTTAGTTTTTACGTAATTCTCGGAATTTTCGACCTTGTTATGATTCTAAAATGATGTTCAAAAAATGAATTATACGTAACGGTCATCATCAACAAGTTTACATCATTTGAGACTTTAATTCGAAATTCATAGTAATTCATATTCACAGTAATGATGGTATTACTATACACTGAAAAAAAAGTACTCTACGAAACTTAAAATGGTTCCGAGATTTGCAACGAATTCGAAACCCTTTTGCGATGTCGCACGGAACCTTCAAAGTTCCGTATAGTCTCACGAAACCTGTATCGGAGTTTCCGATATCTTTAAGGGTTTTGTGAGACTTTATGAAACCCTTGAAGAACCTCGAAGGTTCCGTATGATAAAGAAAAATGGTTTCGAATTCGTTGCAAATCTCGAAACCCTTTTAAGTTTCGTAGAGTGCTTATTTTTTTTTCAGCGTAGTATTACTGGTATTACTATGACAACATAAACGATTCCATAACCTAATAATCAGTACGTAGATGCAACATATACATCATGAATATCAAGTACCAAATACCAAGTATCAATATTTAGTAGTGATATTAAATATGAATATACAGTAACAAATAGCTAGTTCAGTAGTCTTAACAACATAGATATTTTGCTTTAGAAATCAGTAAAATTCTCACATAAAATATATTTTTATGTTGTATTTTTTTGCAAAACATTATCAATATTGAAGTAAAAATAATGATATTGTCAAATGTTCTAAAATGTTCTAAATGTCACTCCCAGGTCGACTGATCTGACATCGGATCCGATAGGAACCTGGAAATATCCTACAATCCGATACAATTCTATTGGATTCTGGGTCGAGGAATCAATGTCGAATCCTCAGTGTCGGAATCCTATGAACTTCTGATGACATACAACGGTTTTTCCTTGGAATTCATAGGAATCCGACACTGAGGATTCGATATTGATTCCTCGACCCGGAATCCAACGATAATTCTGTAAGATCTGACAGGATCCGATAAAATCCTATTGGATTTCCAGTCGGATCGGATGGGTTCCGATAGGTACCTACTGTCGGATTGCTCGACCTGGGCTGGTCATTTTTCATCTACATAATACGAAGTTCACTTGAAAAGTGAAATATTTATATGATTACAAGTAACATTCGCACGTGGACTAGCTCAACTCTTTCTCGTAGAAATAGTGCATTCTGAATCATAGCTTTTGCAGAATTTTGTTGCATCAATAATCTCAAGTATTTTCTGGAATCTTTGACATTCATCAACTTAATTTTGTAGCGTTAGCTTTTTTAGTATAATAAATCGTGAGTGAAGTATATCTATGCGTTGAAAGCCTCGTCGTACTTTCTCGCTCATTTTCGCCCAAAGGAAATTTATAAAAAGAAAAGTGAAACGGTATTATGAGCGAGATTAACACATCATTTTCAACAAAGTCAAAAAATACTGTTTTCATGGAAATCTATGCTGCAAAGAGTCGCTCTCTAACTCATCTACTTGAATTTAAACTAGAAAGTTTTCTCATCTTGATACAATACATTGATTTCGTTTATCATCTTGCATGGTAAGCTAGGAATATATTTGATTTTTATCAAACTTTTATTATTGACTTTATAACGATATTATGGTGGATAAACTATGAGTCATCGAACTTTAACTTTCAAGCTTGTATTCAGAGGTTGAAGACGGGTCTACGAAAATTGGTCGAAAACTTTGTAATAGAAGAACAAAAGCTTCTTTTTTTTTAAATCAACCCGAACTTTGTAGTGTAAAGCTGAAACTAGCACTGATCGCATTATCATGTTAATATTAGAGGAAAATAGTAATTCGGACAAATAAATTAGGCATGCATAATAAACGAAAAGTACTTTAGAACTTACGAAGAAGACTTTCTGATTATTTTAGTAACATTGCCTGTTTTGAGAACACGGTGACCACCTCAACCACACCCACACCCTCAAGATAGGTTTCAATCCAAATGTTTCAAAACGACAGAATAGACTTCGCATGAACCTTTGGTTTATTAAAAGAATCAAATTAAATATTAAAAGCTCTCTCGGACTAAGCAATATATTACTTATGAAACTGTCAATGAGATTTTTAGTAATTGAATCTAAATTATTTATTAAACATGGTCACCCATTTCAGTAGAGGATTAGTGACGCTTACGTCGCTTTACTTGTTTTGAAGAAAAAATACAACATTGATATAATCTATTAATCTGGTAAAATTAAATATTAAATCCATGATGAAAAAAATGCATACAGGATTCTTAAATTTTAATTTTCAAATCAAAAATGAAACTTGAATATCACCAGACATTGAAGAAGTTCTAAAAAACTAACTGAAAAGTTCCTATTTCGATACTCTAGAATATGAAGAAAATGACGTACTCAAAAAAGCTCCAGCGTACTTCAGTATTATCATATGATCTCAGACATGAATATAAAAATTATTCACAGATACGTTTTTTTTTGAACAATCTTGATATTGTTTAAATAATTGTAATGTCAATACCATTGTAGACATATTCAGTTATCTTTAAGCAATATTTCGGACTTGATAAATTCCTACTATAGTTCATCGAATACTACCATAAAAAAGTGAACTTCCTACGGTGTTTTTATTTATCCGATATATAAGAACAATAGAATTGACGTTTTCTTTTGTGAAAGCGACCACAGTGTACTCATTAAATTCCGTTGAGCATCTTTTTTTCTCTAATTAGAAGTCTATGATGAGAATATACGCTGAATTGATATTTGATAAAGATATAATTATCCACTGTTTTTCTTAACTTTATAATTATCTATAGAATAACAAAATGAATTTCATTTTTCATCATTCTACTTAAAAATGGCTTATGATGATGGATCAACTTTTTGGAGTTTAAATCTTCATAATGAGACGACTAAAACTAATGAATGTAATCGATTCAACTATTCGATTGGTCCAACAGAAGCAGTATTAATTGCATTTCATATTGGTCGTATCATATCTATAGTTTGTATAACGTTTGGTTCCCTCGGAAATATCACGCTTATTTTTGCCATTTGTCATACATCATTTTATCATTTCCCATATGGCTTACTACTTTTATTTATTTCAACATTTGATATAATTCGTTTGATTTCTACAGCCTTCTATTATCTAATGCAATCGAATACAATTCCATTGAAATTATCAACTATAACAATTTACATAACATTATCTCGTTATTCAAAAATTGTTACCAATTGGTTGAAAGTAATTTTAGCTGTTGAAAGACTTATTGCTGTCAAATATTGGATTGCACGCCGTTATAATGTCAATTCAAACAATTCAAAAAGAATTCATCGCTTGCGTCAACGAAAACTTTTATTATTAATTCTTATTTTACTTTTTTGTAGTTTAATAAGCCAGCATCCAAATTTACTTCCAAAACGTTTTATATCAACATGCATTTGCCCAAGTCGTTTACTCGTTATCAATACACCGAACCCATATCTCTATTATCTTAACAAAGCATTTAATGAGTTTTTATTTACTATAATTAGTTATGTTATTTTTGATAATGTTTTACCAATAATGATATTAATTATATTTAATACAATTCTTCTTTATGAATTAAAACGTTTACCACCTACAACCAGTAAAAAATTAGCCGAATCAATCTTAATCCTTTTCTTTCTGACAATATTTTCCATGTTAGTTCTGCCAAGATCAGTTTTTGTTATTTTTAATCTATATACGAGCTCAAACATTATAAAGAATATAATTCTTGCAGTTATATTTCATATATTTCAAGGTATCTGTCGATTTGTCTATATATATTTAGGGTGAATTTTATTATTTAGGTCTCGAATTGATCAATCATGCAATAACTGGTTATGCTTGTTTTCTAAGTTGTTACAGTTTACGTAAAGATTTAATTCAAAATATCCGAATGATAGCTAAGAAATTTCGACGGCAAAACAATCGATTGAAATCATATACGATCGAACTACCTACTATATCTCCAGAACGATTGTAACCTTTGTTTAATCTTGTAAAAATAAATATTATAACCTCTCTATTCGAGCTTATTTTACATATCTTCGACTTCTGTAACTTCTGATGATCAATTACAATAGATATTCGATGTGCAGTTCTTTTTCTTTTAACATTTATTTATCTTCTACTATAGACGTATCAAAGATAAAGGTGAAATATAAAAATCTATTACTCTTTTCTTAAAGGATGAATGAATGTATAAATCGAAAAAATTGTCTGTTTAAAGAAGCGATGAGTTCAAATAAACTATTGTATATAGGATCAGTTGTAGCTATTTCAATTATTTTATTTATTGGTGGACTTCTCATCGGTCGTTTTGCTATCCCAAGAGCGTCAAATAGTATTTCTACAGATAATTTGGCAATAGTGAATAAACAAATAGAAGAAGAACGACTGATCATATGGAATGATTTAAAACAACGATTTCTAAATCTTGTTAATGCACAAGAAATAGAAAAAAATCTTCAGTAAGAACAGTTTGTTATTATGGAAGCACTCTGTTATTAATTTAATCTAGAAATTTGACTCGACGAACTCATCTCGCTGGAACAGATGATGATCGAAATGAAGCTGAATCTATTGCTAGATTATGGCGTGAACATGGTTTAGATGTTACTATTCATCCCTATGATGTTTTACTATCCTATCCAAGTCCTATTCAGCCGAATATGTAAATTTTTTTTTGTTGCATAAAAATTCCTTTAATTGAAACTTATGAAATTCATAATGCATACAATTGATTTTCATAGTGTATCAATTCTTGATCAAAATCACCTACCAATATTTCAATCGCAAGGCCGTGAAACGATGTTCGATGAAGACGATAAATCATTGCCATTTGACAATATAGTTCGACCATTTCTTGCATATACACCTAATGGAACTGTACAAAGCCAAAAATTATTCTATGTAAATTATTGTACTACGGATGATTTTCAATTTATAGAAACAGTTATTGATAAAAATGAATTAATTGGAGCTATTGTTATATGTCGATATGGAAAAATTTTTCGTGGAAATAAAGTATATATAAATAATACAAAGAAAATTTTATTTTTCATTACTATTGAATTAGATTGGTAATGCTGAAAAATACGGTATCGTTGGAGTCATTTTATACAGTGATCCACTGAACTATGCTCCGAATTCAACTCTAGTTGGCTCAGCCTATCCAAATTCTATTTATATGCCCGATATGGGGCACCAAAGAGGTTCGGCATTACTTCTATCAGGAGATCCACTCACAAAACACTATCCTGCTAAAGGTGATTATTTGTGAATAAGATATTTTTATTAATTATTTATCTTTTTTTAGACTACATGTTTAGAGATTCAATAGATAATAATCCATGGTTGCCAAAAATTGTTGCTCAACAGATTGGTTATAGAGAAGCAAGAGAAATATTAATGTAAATTCAAAAAGTAGAAATAAAAATCTCATTAACTTCGTAAGATTCTGCTCTTGGCAAAAATAAGAGATACTTTCAGTAGAAGTTCAATGACAATTTAGCATATCTTTCATCTAATGTCTGATATAGAAGTGCGAATTTCTTTAAACTATAGGATCTGTTGAAAATGTTTTGGATTAAGACTTAACCAACAGACGATATTCGCAGTAGATATAGTTTGTTGTTCTAAATATTTTATTAACACTCTTCAGAAAGGATCGAATGCATTTGATAACAGAATATAATTTCAACAGGAAAAACTATTGCTCTTTAATCTCATATGTTATTTTGTGCTCTGAAGTCCACACAAAATTTAGTTTGAGATCTACTATTTTCAAATTTCTTATTTTTATTCAGTCGAATGACAGGAACACCAGTTCTGTCGAATTGGATCGGTGGATTGAATCAAGTGAAATATGTTTATGGCGGCTTATTATTAAATGACCAGTAAATATATTTGTTGTTGTTGTTGTTGTTGTTTAAAATTCAAATATTTTTGTGTATATAATAATAATAGATCAATACAAATATCATCACACAATACCTTAGAAGTTCGACGAGTACATAATGTCATTGGAACAATTACTGGTCATAGTGAACCAGGTTTTGTTTTGCATTTTAAGCTCATGTTTTTGCAGCTAAGAATTCTTTGGTTTTTTTTGTCAGATCGTTATGTACTTATTGGAGCTCATTTCGATGCGTGGAATTTCGGAGCTTTAGACGATGGTTCTGGTATAGCTGTGAATCATGAATTAGTACGTGTATTCAGAACTTTAGTAAAATCAAGTAAGTTAATAAAATTGAGAGAAAATATTTATTTGCAACGTATTTGCAGATTGGAAACCAAGACGAAGTTTAATGTTTTGTGCATGGGCTGCAGAAGTAAATCGATCGATAGATGCCCTATAAAAATACAAATTATTCATTTTTTTTTAGGAATATGGTATTGTTGGTTCAGTTGAATTCGTTGAAGTAAACAATAATAGTAGATTTATCTCTTTTTCTGTTCAACTCTTACTTGTATTCATTAACTGATGAAAGGAATATGCCAAAATATTGGGTTCACGCGTTGTATCCTATCTTAATATGGATGTCATTGTCGAAGGTAAAAGGAAACTATTGTTTTGTTCTTTTTGATTATGTTTTCAAATAGGTAGTCAAGTAATGTTTATGGAAATGTCTCCTCTGCTATATGATTTTGCCATTGATATATCAAAACAAGTATGTCTAGTGTAATTATGTGTTAAATACAAAGTTTTAGATTTTTAACTGAAGATAAAAGCACCGTATGTTAATGAAACAATCTATGAACAATGGGTACGTATCAATAATGGTGATCATAATGTTGGACAATCGTTTTTGTAAGTTATTTATATGAAATTAAGCATTAGAAGATTTTTCTATCGTTTAGCACATTGGGATTGAGCGCTATTTCGGACTTCGCTGGTTTCAATCAAATTGCTGGAAGTTCAAATTTTGCCTTAATTTATAAAAATTATGTCAGTGTATAGGAAAAGAAAAACAAGTTTTCATGTTCTAAAATTAAGAATGTGTTTAGACTAATGTGAAAGGTGTTGCTAGTTATCCATTATATCATACTCAATATGAAACTTTTCGATTAGTTAAAAAATTTATTGATCATGAATTTCAAGTAAGTAAATCTTTTCGTAATTGTATTTTTAGTTTAAAAGATGCATTTTTTTTGTATAGGCTCATCAAGCGATCGCTCAAACCATTGGTTTATTAGCATTAACGCTGACTGATATTGATTTACTGCCCTTTAATCCTACAAGATATCATCAAGCACTTGTCAATTTACTTGATTTAACAATATCTGTTGCTCCTAAATCAATTAATTTCAGTAAGGATCTACAACTTCTCTTTGCTATATCTGTATAATTTTTGATAAATATAAGCATCACTGCAGATTGCAATCGATCAATTTAAAAGTGTTGCTGACCAATTCAATCAACGAATTCAAACAACACTTGATAAATCAAAGTACGTTTTTTAATTTGTGATATTCTAAAATCAAGATATCATTTGATTATAACAAACTTTGTACGTGTATTTGTAATGTAAGGAAATGCTAGATAGTTATAATATGTTTCAATTGATATAAGAAAAAAAGGCATACATCTTGATAGATAGATAGAGCATAGAAACGAGTTTGCAGAGATATTTTGTTTATAGATCTGTGCATGATTATATGTTATAGTCCACTACAACTTCGAATAGTCAATGATCAATTGATGCAACTCGAACGAGCATTTCAAAATCCCTTAGGTAATTCTATTCAACAAGCTGATCTGAAGTATGTAATTCGAAAAAATGTCTAAAAATTAAATGCATAATCTTGTTTTTATCTAGACACACAATATATGCTCCTAGTCGAACAAATCGGTATAATGCTCTTGGTTTTCCAAGTATAACTGATGCTATCGAAGATCGTAATATGACTAATGTTCAACAGCAGATTTCAATTGTTACATATTTTATTCGTTCAGCAATAAGTGTACTTCACCAGCCAAGTACAATACAAACAGTATGATGAAATTAAAACTAGACAAACAATGAACCTTTTTTCCTGCTTTTCTTGTCGTTTTGCGTGAATATCTATAAAATTTCATATTTATAAAACTTTATTCAAGCTGTTTTTCTTTCTGTACAAGAAAAATACAATAAAACACAAATGTATCACATTGAAATTATACAATAAACGGAATAACGTTACCTGATTGTTTTTCATATTGATTTATCAAAAATTTCATCGTAGGGTTGATAATGATTAGTTACTATATTCTAGTCTGCAAATCTTGTTGTTTTGCAAAAATACGTTGCAGTTTACTCAATTGATATTTTGTTTGATTAAAATAAACTTCACTTCTCATTGTAAGATATTCTTGTAGTGTTTGAATTTTTGATTGTATAAATTGAATAGATTTTGTAAATAAAGTTCGGTATAATGAAAATACTCGGCAATTGCATACGTAAACAAAAAATAAAAATAAGCCTGGTGTTGCGTTGAGAAGAATAAATAAATATTTGAATATAGTAACAAGATAATGTTGAAAACCTTCTTGATTATCAGGTAAAGCGAACAGAATAAAACCAATAGTCCAACCAAAACCAGCTAAAACAGCCATTCGCATATAGATTTTTACATCATGTTCACCAGGTACAACTTGTTTCTTTCGTTGAAATTTATGTTCGACTTGTGTTCGGACTAGATGAAAAACAGCGTGATGGAAGAAGAATAAAACAAACTGTTTTGATAATTTAAAGCTATACCTGATTTTAAACCTCGACGAATATTTCGAACAGTCAAAGCATAAAATATAAAATTAATAAGAAGAATAACTCCTATAGGAATACCGAATAATATAAAACGCATCGATGCTGATTCAATCCAACAACCTAAAAACAAATTATGAAATATATTACAATTATTACATTCAATCTTAACTATAGAAACTTGACAATAGTCTTCAGATTTATACATTTTTCTAAAATGGTTCTCGGTGTTTACGTTAGGGATTTTTCCAAAATATTTCTCAAGAGAACAGTACGATCGAATGATCAGTGGTGACAGCAGTTTTTAAATTATTCTTATGTACATATAGTAGTTTTAGCAAAAATCAGAAGCTGCACTCTCATCAAATTATAGTTCATAATAGTTTTACCTTGTAAAGGTGCATCATTTTTTGTCTGAAAACAAACATCATTACATCCACGAAAATACTTTCCATAACATGGCTTGAGATGAGCATTTTTTACATCCAATAGAATTCCGATTAAAACAATAATTACTGGTATACCCCATGCATATAGAGCATAGTATGGTAAACGTTCACGAACTTCACATATATAAATGGAAAAGCCTGTATGAAATGTTTTCCATAGATCAAAAGCCATAACATTCATCCAAAAGAAACTTGCCAAAAAGAAAAAATGTATTCCTAAGGCAAGCAATAAACAAACGCTTGGTGTTGTCATTATTAATAGACTTTGTAGTAAAAATAGAATTTCAGCTAATAATAATGCTATAATTAAATTCATTGTGTTACATCCAGGTAGATTACGTAATGAAGAAAATAATAGAAACGTTATTAAAGTTATAGCCAGAGCACATATAGACATAAATATTGCTATAGTTGATAAAAATCCGGGCGCTTTATCAAAAAAACTTAATTTTTTTCCATTCGCTGTTCCGTTGTATGCATTATGCTTACATACAACAATATATAAGTCGGATCGATAATCATCGTAACGATATTCACGATTTGTATATAAACGACCAGTACGTTTGATTCGTATTGAAAAATTTCTATATTGAATTACTTCACAAAGTGCTACCCGCATAACAAGACTATCGGGACAGCGATTAACTATTCGAGGTTGACGATTGCAAACTGATATCAATTTTACTGCTGAAGCAGAAGTCGATGATGAAGATGTTGTGACATCATGTGACTAAATATTTAGAAGAACAAATCGAAATCTTTAATTTAAGAACAAAATGAGAGAAATTACTGTTGTTTGTGGCGCTGGTAATGCTGAAATCAGGAATAAATAAATATAATCGCCACCTTCATATGTTGTGTTAAGTTCGGGTACATCAACAACATAATCAGTTTCTCCATCCGATCTTACACGTCGATGTATAATTCCATTTTGTGTTTGATACATTACATCAGGATCACCACAAAATTCTTGTCGAGTTTTATTTTTATCTGATATAAGCGATACTTTTTCAATTTTCATTGAATATTTTTCACATAGATCAAGTATACCATGAAATTCTGATGCAAGTAAAAGAAGTGTTACAACATGTAAGCCCGTTGATGTATCGTTCGAGGTTTCATTTCGATCGGTAATAGTGAAATTAAAATTAACAATTATTCGTTCATTATGCGCAAGCCAGTCAGTGATCCGATCGGATAATAACGAATGTGAATCAGTGAGATATTCATCATTATCTTCTTCCAAGATATGACTCGTTGATTTTGAATTGATTTTCGATGGAGTTCCTAATGCTACACTATTGTTCTCTTTGAGATTATACTTAATTTTAGTGATACGTTCATAATCAATATCAAGATATCCTAATCAAATAAAATATTTTTGTATTGTAATTAGAATGAACTGTTTCTTTTCATTTATTTAGTATTACTATTCAAACTTGAATAGGTTATGTTTTGAAATTTTATTTCGGATTAAATTATTTTGCAACCAAACTTGAGAAAAAGTAGGTTTCAGTATTTTAATAACACAAAACTGAAAATGCTTTGTCAATAGTATCAGTTTAATCTTTTAACACCATGCGATATAAGGCTTGTGACTTAGAGAAGAACTGCATGCATTAGATTATGCATTGTTAATGAAAATTTGTTTTTGAAAATAATACTCTGATCTTTGATCAAAGATTTTGCTAACCTACTATTTACTAGAATCTTATCAAATTTAATTACTAATGAACGAAACTCTTTCAAGTATAAACATACCATGAATTGCATTGTGAAACATTTTAGTCCAATCATTCGTGCACGTTTTATTCATTTGACTATTGAGACGTTTTGAAAAATTACCTCTTTCATTTTCATTGTGGTTTGTTGGTGAAATAATCAATCCAAGCGATATATCAATATCGCTCATTCGCTTGTAAACATTGATCGTATCTTTATTTTCATCCGGTATACATGCAGTGCCATTATATGTATAATGAGTTTCTTGACAAGTGATATCTCGACATCGGCCAGTAGCTGGATCGAATGTTTGTCCAAATGTGCAAAGTCCATAATCCAAATAAACGATCTCTGATCCTATTTAGTAAAATAACAAAAAGTGCAAATATTTACTTTAACGTCGGAAGAGTATTATTTCAAATTAATATCTTTTATTTTTCTTTCAAATTATTACCTTGCATAATGTGAAGTGATGTTGTTCCATCATTTTTAAAATTCATCAACAATGTCAAAGATTGAGGTACATTAGGACGATTTCGAGATTGTTGGAAATTTTCTCTGATAGTGCTATCATCGGAGTCAATTATCTTATTTGGAATAGATAATTAGATATTTTATCTGTAGAAACTAGAAGAACTTACATTGGTCAATGAACTTGTTGACACCAAGTAAATCCAAAATAGAAATAAATATATAAGTTTCATCATCATCATTATTGTCAATTAATCGATTAGACAAATATACAACGCTATTGAATGCGACTTTCTTGTAATTATCTCTCGCCTAACGGTGACTATTGCCAATATTTTTAAAAAAATTGGATAACAAATATGGGTATTCAAACAGGTGTTCGCTATGTACATGTTGAAGCAGCTTGTTTTTTTTTTATTCTATACACTATTTTCATATCAAAGACACGCCGTTAGAGACTGAAAAATATTTTGAGATTAAACGACAAGTTAAAAAACTTAATGTTTTCGAAATGAATTACATCCACACCTGAAATCAATACAACACATACATTAGATTTAATAATATTTATCATCTATACACACATAGACGTAGTAGATCGAGTATCAAATTTTATTTCGCATTATCGTTCTTATTAATGCTTTGTTTTTTACACACAAATTAAAAATTTGCTATTATTGGAAGTGAAAAAAGAATAGAAAATCTTCCATTAACCTACATTTTAAAACAACAAGTAGGTCCTTTCTTTCTGTACTAAACACGTGAATATCGCATATGATTCCCAGAGCAATAGAAAATCAATAGGCATGATTGAAATTGACTAGGAAAGCATTTTGTTTGATCTCTTCATTGTAATTAGTAACTAAACAACTTTATTCTTTGTGATGTTTAGATAACAAAGGAACCTTTTTAAATCGACAAAAATTCTGTACGATCGACGTCATTGTTCAATGTAAATCAAAATAATAGTGAATTTGTTCACTTGAATATATATAGAGAGAAAATTAGTTTGACATGACCTCATCAGTTACATACATTAGTAACGTTTTTCCAATTTTTTTTTTCTTTTTCTGTTGATAAGAAACAAAAGCAAAGAATCTTCGAGGTTCCCATTTAATTACTATCATTACTGGATTGAGCGTCATACTATTATTAGTGATTTTTTACCTCGTGAATAGCTAATTAGTATCTTATCCTGTATACTCGAAGCCATTAATATTCTTTACTAGTGCATCCTGAACACGAGTTGTATAAGTAACTATCATAAAAAAACGGAATCAAATCGAACGATTTAATTACAAGAAATAGGACAAACTATGTTCATAAATGAATGTATCTAGGCCAATCGTTTTTTTAGTTTATTTATACGGAATCTTCTATCTTTTATATGCGTCATTTCTTCTCAATTCCATTATAATGAACGACGCAAATGATTATGCTCGGTGATGAAAAACCATAATAAAACTATGCGTTACACAACGTGTATCACAACGGTGAAGAAATAAACAAATTAATTATTTATCGTAACAAAATATTGAATGTTACAAACGAGATTTATTTGCTTTGACTCAAAATTTGTTTTTACTGCAAATATGCCTCTATCAATAGAGATTCTTTCTAAACATCTCATAGGAATCAGAACTTGTATATAACATGAAATTTTAAATTTATTAATTAAAAAACAACAAACCGGCGAAATAAGACTCAAAACTTAATCAAGCAATAGAATTATAAATTACTCAAATATATATTTTGTATTACAACACAGATATTAAAATGATAAGTCATAGTTGTAAAAATACGACAAAAACAGTCATCTATATCTTTGCTATTAATCAAATAAGACACTTTAAACTAGCAAACAATGGAGAAAATCAGATGATATAAATTATTTTTTTCGTTGAAATACTTCTCCCTTTAAGGCAAATTTGAATAAATGAGGAAACATCGGATTCGCATCCGACTGTTACGTGTACTGCTAAAACTGAGCCAATTTATATATGTTGTGAATAATTCTAAGAAAAAACTTTTTTTTGAAAAAATCGCTGTATCCCCCCTCAGGGATGGTTTGACCAATAATGACAATTTTTTCGATAACTTAGCCATTTCTTAACGGATCCTTCTCATCTTCGAACTCAACTGAGATATTGATGAGATCATTCTGTGCACAAAATATCAAGGCAATTGGATGAGACTTTCAAGAGTTATCGTGTTAACGGCCGGACACACTGACCGAATCTAGAGTGTACTCACTTTTTTTGAGTACACAAAAAAACATCGAAATTTCTGATAGATTTTCTTTTAATGATTGTTTTCTATTGTCGTTGCGATAAGTCGAACATAGAAATGTGCTAGAAACAAATGAAGAAATACAAAGAAAACGATAACTATCAAATTTAAATACAATGATAACATATCCGTGTTTACTTTCAATAGATTTCTAATTGATATCTTCAGTTATTTATTATTTTTCTAACAAAAGAAGAATATTCTTCGTAAATCTGTCGATGATTTTTGTCGATTATCAAGTTGTCGCAACGCGTAAGGCATTAATCTAAATCGAAATAACATTCACAAAACGTATGAAAACATCAAACACGTCTGTTGCCATATATAAAAATTTTCAACAATAGTTTTATTAGCCTTTTCCCAACTTATGCACCAGATTTCAATCGTTACAAAAAAATTCTTTGTTTTATTTGAATATCATGGAGAGCACAATTATCGACTTTCAATTGTGTGAATATACATGCGTAGGCCGCTCAGTGGTGATAAGATGAAAATAATACAAGCCAGTAATATTGGCTTGTTACTCTCTCAAGAGTGCAACTCTAATGAGTACGTCAAGTGTACAGCAACAAGGAGCTAATTGAATGTTGAGTATATCTGAATGCTAGTCTTGTAGCTGTCAAAATAATATCGAAGTTCGATTTTCATGCTGAGATCAAAGCAGTAAATACGGATATTGCATAAACCAATAGAAATGATCAACATAGATAATATCTTGACTTATATATCTGTGTGCATGCAAGTTGGTAGCTAGTTGCTTTTTCTTTTTCTTCTTTTACTTGTGTGTGTGTGTGTGTGTGCATTCATTCTCTTGATCCTGTGAATGAGCATGAGTGTGCCTTTGTACGATACTTTATCTTAAATTTTTACGAGTCGCACACAAGACATAGTCGGTGTCGAACAATCATTCATATTTGTTCGTTCGTTTCTTCATTTTTTCTTTTATTCTTTACGTTAAGTCAAGGTCTTCTTTAAGTTCCATTTTCTACCCTACATATCTATTAAGTTCAATTATCGACTGAGTATAAGTCTTATCTAAACATATACGTATGCATATGCATATATATATATTCATTGATCTTGTATATGGGTTGAGAAAGAAAATTGAAAATTTGTAATTACACCATCGGTACTTCAAATTTCTGTTTTCTTTTTTTCTTGACTCAAGCACAGTCAAAGTCATCGTAAAAGGACGAGTGAGTGAGTGAGAAAGAAAAAAAGGTAGAAAAGTGGTGAACTTTGTCTGAGAAAAAAAACGAAGAAAAAAATCGCCGACCTCCTGTGACTGTCATGCAAATATGAGTACAGCAGTAATTGTACAATGAGAAATGCAACAAAGAAAGAAGACAAGCAGAAAGAAAGAAAGAAAGAAAGAAAGGTACTAGACCATATACATATACATTCAACGTCGTGCCACAGAGCATTTCTCTTCCGGTCATAAGTGCGTCGAATCTGGAAAAAAGCAAGAATAGACAAAAAGAAAAAATAAAGGTTATTGACCGGTACCTGTAAGGACAAATGCCAAGAAGAGAATGAATGACAGGAAGGAAAGAAAGAGTGAATTTTACATCTACCCGTGCATTATAAATGGATACTATAAGTTCGCATCTCATCTTCATTTACCCTCGATTCTTCTCTTTTTTTTATTCTATAAAAAGCTGATGTGAAAGAAAAAAGAAAGCGCCCCTTCATTCATTCAACGAAGGAGAGTTTCACTAGTACATACTACGATTACTACTACAACGCGTTACATGCTTCTTTCATTCCATGTCTTCGATATTGTATTCATTATGATGCTTACTCTCTGCCTGTTCTGTTATTTCTTTCTTTCGCGTATTCTTGATTCTTAGCTGGTACTACTACTACTACTAATAATAATAATAATATTACCACTCTACGTTACCCATCCATAATAGTATCCATATTCTATAGACATGGACATACACGTTTTCATCTTTCTACATGTTAGGTTGTGCATTCGTTTATTTTTTGTTGTTTTTTTCTTTTTAACGCAAGGAGAAAAAAATAGTACAGATTAATCATAATTTTTTAGATAAACATAGTAATGCCAAGTGTTGATTCAAATTCATCTTATTCGTCGTCCGATTCATCAGCATCATCTCTATCATCTCCACGCGTACTTCTAACCGACATAAGACAACAACAAGCAATAAAATACGACCAACATAAAATGAAAGCTACAACAACAACTACATCACCACCACCACCACCGCTACCAATAACGCCACCGCATATATGTGTAACACGTTATAAAACAGAATTATGTCGACCATTTACAGAAACTGGAAAATGTAAATATGGTGATAAATGTCAATTTTCACATGGAATCAAAGAATTAAGAATCTTGATGCGTCATCCAAAATATAAAACTGAATATTGTCGAACATTTCATACCAGTAAGAACTCGATTTCTTTTTGTTTTCTTGTTGTAAAATATCACTGATTGTTTAGCTGGCTACTGTCCATATGGTCCTCGATGCCATTTTATTCATGATGTTCATGAAGCACGAATAACAACAAATACGAATGATACACCAATGCGAAGACATTCCGATATACGAAGTAATCAATCAATACAAAAACTAGCGACTAGGTATTTTAATTTAAATTAAGAAAAAAAACAAAAAATCAATTGTCTTCTATAATTATTATTTTCTTTTTGCTTATAGAAACCGTATTACCAGTGATTATACAGCATTATCTTCTTCTCCTACTCACATAATATCTAATACAAATTCATCGAAATCTCCGTTTTCATTTCAAGACATTAGTCGAGCTTTACTTTCGTATGAAAATAGTGATATAATCCAACAGCAATATCAACAATCACAAAAATCACAACAACAACAACATCAACAGCACAAACAAGAATATTACTCATCTATATTATCGCCAATGACAAACTCATTAACATACCGTACATTCTCATCATCATCATCATCGAACAGCAGTGTAGCTCCACAGTATATTTAAGGTGGTCTTCGACAGGTTTCTTTTTCTGTTTTCATTCACCGTCCGTTCGTTTGCTCTCGTGCTCTGTTATACATAAATTATATACATACAGATATAGATGCTTTTTGGTTTCTATCTTTTTCTCACGTTTTTGTTTTTACTATTTCATTCATACAATATTACATACGGTGCTTGTGTTACTACCATAGTCTGACAAAATGCATATCTTATCAGACACATGATACACTGCAAAGCGTTTTCTAGTTTTTATTTATGTCAAAAATACCAAAATCGTACGTGTGTATCTCTGTCAAAAACGAGAATGATGGACATTTTGCTGACAAAAAACAAGAATAAAACGCAAGGGTAATAATAATAAAATTTCTAGCAAATATTTGTTTAGAAATCAATAAACAGATATAACAATGCATCCAATTAGATAGATATATATTGATGATAATAATTTTACCCATTGGCAATCTGTATTTAGAAACGGAAAAAAAATACTACATAATTTTCTAAAAGAAAATTGTTTCGTTTTATTGTGTCATGTGTTTTTCAGCCTAGAGCAAATTTTTATTGACACTTTTTCTCTTAGCATTATCGTGTGTGTGAATACACACACACACACACACACAAACATATACACTATTCTTTTCTTCTTTTTATTCAACTTTTTTTCTCATCTCTTCGCGTCTTCTATAGTGGTGTACTTATTCATAAGAAGAATTGATGATTGATAGAGTAGTATTTTCGCTTGAGGTGTACATGTATATATTCGATTGAAACGTGTCTTCAGTATTAAGATCTATATAGCGGAAAGGTGATGAAAGGCAAACAACATCATGCAAAAAAGCCATATGCACGCACATATGTATATATATATATATAGTGCATTTTTATTCCATCACACTTCATATTTCAAGGGTTTCTTTTTTCTTTTTCATTTTTGAAAACTTTATTAGATGTGTTCAGAACTAGCAATAGAAGATTGCAAGATGGCATCTATTCTCTCATTGATGTTTATCTTATAAATGGACGTCTTCGTGTAATGTAAACACACATAATGTATAATGTCATTGACGTTTTACAAATATCCTCAATGACTAAAAACTATCTTATGACAAAAAAAGAAGAGAGATCGATTTGTTCATTAATTTACAAAGAAAATTATTCGATATGAGAATAATGAAGATGAAATCCTTCGTGTTGTCGCTGAGAAAACATATTGGTTCAACGAATTCATCGATCAATTAATATTTACTAATCAGATAGATCGACTAGAATACAAACGACAACGTGATGGAGCTACCAAATGTGTAAAAGTAAAAAAAAAAAGAATGAACTTATCAAAAATGCATCTAACATTAGACAAGCAAATATTCTATGAAGATCATAAATTTCTTTGTGTCTATATATAAAAAGAGGTTGTAAAATTTTATAACAAATTTTCTGTTAATGATAATGTCGATTGACTATTTACATTTCTATACTAACATATCTAATGATGATTACAATTATGTAATAAACGAAAACAAAAAGATTATAATGACACTTTGAGATATGAGAAGGGTATCAAGTGCGATTCACAGTTCAAATAAAGCTCATAGAATAGAATGTATTAATGGGCACATGCCAAGAATATTGAATTTGTGGTTGTACGCATGACTAGTTGCTTTGTGATGACGCATAATAATTATCTTGAAAAGAAATTATATAATCAACTCAACGTCATACATTCTAATAATATCTTATTTTCAGTTACATAAAACATACTACTTTATTGTGTTGGATTTATTACGCTTTTATTTTGCGCAGAAAGTGATTCGTGCCGAACAGAGATTTTCTTAGAATTTAATCCTAACATAAAGTTATAATTTGTCCGTTCTGTAGAAATAAGCTGAATCAAGTCAGTGGAAACTTATTCTGCATAAATATCGATGAAACGATGCATGAACTCTATAGCGAGAAAAAAAACTGCTAACCTTATTGATATACATTTCATTAGGAATTGATAGCTAGTAAAAAGCTTTTCTCACTATTATAGATGAATAACAAGATGACTAATTGAGAGAATACTATTCTATATACATGCATACATACATAAATTAATAAAACAAAAAAAAACACGCTTAAAATTGCTTTCAATCTTGTATAACAATATACGCAAATAGTTTAGTCAATTGTAGATCAAATAATGGATACCATATGGAATATGTACTCTCAAGAATGACTTGACAAAAAGTTTATGTCTAGCGGAAAAATAAAATAATGAATTTATATTCAAATGACTGTAATATTATAATCAAATTATTATTAACAGTAGGACTATAATGTAAACTTACTGATTCATGACGGGTGCGTTGAGGTCAAAATTCAAAAGATTCTATTAATACTACAATAGAGACAAGGACAACTTGTAATTCACAGGGAAAAAAAACATTTCTTTCATTTTCTCGTTCAAGTTTTGCTTCATATGGGTCAAGACTATAGCTAAAATTATTTCTCTGTGAATAGAATTATCTATTAGTTGAAATAAGCATTAAAATTAACTGGTAATTAATAACAAAAAAAGAGTTAATCAGTTCTCACAGTTGAGTTATACATATATTGGAAATTTGAAATAATTAAATAGAAAATAAGTATCGTATTTTTTTTCAGCATTTGTGTATGAAATCTAGAGCATTAAATTTATTTCATGAACAATTCAAATGATTGCAATGATCTATAATTATATGTGATTTCCAAAATAGTATATTTGATTGACATTAACGTGTGTTCTTTTTAAACGAATTTCTATCGATTCGACAGATGTCAGACATAGAAAGCAATACTTTACCGTGTATAATCAAAATCCATATCCTTTATTAATTAGTCTACTAGATAGCCAATATAAATAGAGTAAAATATTTTTATAACTTTTATTTCTATCATTGAACTCATCAGTCAATTTTTCAATTTATCATCTTTAGTCTCAGTCCGGTCATGCCAGAGACATGATGAATTTGTACTAGAAACCTAATTCTTTAATTCAAATTCAACTATTAATTGGCAAGAGCATCAATTTCTATTATAGAATCATCATATAAGACTAGCATATCCAGTATTTCTAATAGGATTTCGAAGCACAGTGTACATGTACACCCTACTAAGCCAAAAATTTTATTTTCAGAGTGTACTTCATAGGAAAACAAAGTGTATTCTGAAAAATAGAGTGTACGTACACTTTGTTCTGCTGGAGTACACTAATCATTAAAAACACTGAGCATATCTAGTAGTTTGCTTCAACTAAAAGTATTCTTTACTAAAATTTTTGAAAATGAAATAACAGTAGAGAATTTAATTGAATCAATATCAAATACTTTTAAAGTAAAGTTCATTGGATTCAAGCTGAAAAGGTTTCACTTTAAGTTTTTATTAAAAAAAATTCTTATTATAATTTCCCCACTTTTGTTTTGCTTTGATTATAGATGATATTTTTATTCTATAAATTATAATGAATGATGTAGACAAGGTTTGTTTAATTCGAGAAATAAAATCTCTATGTCGAAATTTATTTTTCTAGTTTTCTCAATGTTTTTATTGTGGTGGATACTATACTCGATGTTTCGGTGATCCCATATGTCGCATATGTCATGCATTTATTTATCCACATGGAATAGATCAACAACAAGAGCCGAATGGCTGCGAGGATGTGTGTTTTAAAAAAATGCCAAGAATGAGAGTTTTGCATGAAAATAACATTTTCTATTTTTTTTTAATAGAAAGGTGAAGCTGATGATTCGGGAAATGAAGATACTGATGATGGATTTGCTTGCGCTTCGGGAACGAATAAACAAGCAAAAAAGACGCCAACAACAAATACAGATTCATCAATACAATCAGCAAATAATTCTGTTATTTCCTCAATATCAAATAATAGAAGAAATGATTTATTAAATGAACTTCTACTTGAATTAACAGTACCCAATTCTATTTGGAATGATCATGCATCTTATCTAAGTCAATTACCACCTGAAGTGATGCTAACTATTATGAAATGTATGGATGACTTAAGTATATATGCATTGGCTAAAGCATCAAATCGTTGGAGTCAATTAATTGATTCAACAGTTGATTGGAAACAATTTATTCGTACACGTTGGCCACTTTTCCCATTATCTGATGACGATAATAGCCTAAATCTCAGCCGAATATATGATCAATTGTAAGTATAAAGATTATTTCTATTGGTAATAGATAAATATCAAATCGTTTTAGAATTCGAAGTTCCAGTTGTTTTACATGTTTAAGTGATACTGGAATTCGAGTAAATATTAAATGAAAATTTAGAATAGCTTTTCTTCTTTAAATGTAGATTTTTGGTTTTCAGTTTGAAAACAATAGACAAATGCAACCAACATTATGGCGTCATAGACGATTACAAAGTGAAATTCGTGCTTTGCGCGTATGGATTCTCGTTTTCTTAAAGTTAATTGAGTTGGATCGGATAAATCTAAATTCAATTCTAGGATGATCCACCTGATGGAATACGAGCTGAACCACTAGATTCATCTTGTTGTCATTGGCATGCTTCTATTTGGGGTCCCAGTTCATCACCTTATGAAGGTCTATATTTTCAAAGGTATTTTTTTTGTTCTCTTCACCGAAATTACTGTCTTTTTTCAGGTGGTATATTTTATCTCTATTTGCACATTCCTCAATCGTAAGTTTTATTACCTTTGAATTGATGTCATAAATATATTTGCATTTAGTTATCCGATGATACCTCCAATTGTACGTTTTATAACCAAAATTTTTCATCCAAATATCAATATTCATGGTGATATTGGTCTTGATTCATTTGGTTCAAATTGGAGTTTAGCATTAACCATATCGAAAGTACTTATATCAGTGCAATCATTATTAAGTGATCCTTATGCACATATATGTATGAATCGTCAAGCTGCTGATCTATATATGAATGATCGCGAGCAATATGAACAAAAAGCTCGTCAATGGACATGGGCATATGCCATGCATGACTATATAAATGGAGATGAAATTGAAATTGAACTTTAGAAAACCAAAAGAAAAAGACAGAAAGAATTCTTTTTTTTTTCTATTTATTATTGTGGTTGTTATCAATAAAATAAATCCTATTTTTCGTTTTAGATGTCTCATCGGCTATCAGATGCTGGTCGTTTCTTACGTGGATTAACTCAACTCAGTCAACACATAGTTAAAGAAGCAACTACGCCAGGTGATCCTCGCCGACGATCTCCGCTAACTGAACCCTTAGCTGAATTTGTGTCAGCTGGTTTCGAACAACTTGGTAATATTAATATTTGGAATACTATATCTAAAACAGCATGGAAATCTAGTGTTCTCATACGTCAAACTGGTATTGCTGCAAGAAATGCTATTCGATCTTCACCAGCATCGATAACATTCGTAAATCGATCATTGGAAGATGCAGTTTCGATTCCATCTTCGGTTGAAACTAATTCATCTAAAGCGACAGTTACAGATACTTTAATTCGGGATGAAATTCCGGTGCCAAATTATCCAAAAATTGATTCTACTAATCTACTAAAATTATCTACTATTGAAGCAAAATCTGAATCATTGATACCTATGAAAACATTAGATAATGCCACAAATCGTTCAATTGAAAAGTCAACTGACTCAATTACACATACAGTTCAAATCAAAGCAACTTCTACTACTAACTCTACAGTAGATGAATCGAAAGCACTATTGACATTAGAAGAGAATCAAAATTTAATTTTACCACCACCAATAAATCATGAAGCTCAAGCACGATCTGTACCAACAACAAGAATTGGTCGTTTAGCCAGTTTTGGTTCGCTTGCTGCTGGTCTTGGTGTTGGTGCTTTGGGTTCAATGGTTCGACGTTCAATTGGACTTGAACAAGAATCTTCTTCACAAAATGCTCTATCTCCATATTTATCTAAAGCTAATGCTGAACGTATTGTTAATACACTATGTAAAGTACGTGGTGCTGCACTTAAACTAGGTCAAATGATAAGTATTCAAGGTAAATTTTGAATTTTCCATTGATATTTTCTATTATTTGAACTATCTATTTTTCTTCTAGATAATTTTCTTGTTCAAGATGATATTCAAAAGATATTCGAACGTGTTCGTCAAAAAGCAGATTTTATGCCTGAATGGCAAATGAATGAAGTCATGACGAATGAATTTGGTTCTGCATGGCGTGATCAATTTGAAGAATTTCAAGATCGACCATTTGCTGCTGCTAGGTTCAAATATATATTTATATGTACTTTCTTTTTTTATTTCTCATTTAATAAATAATATTTTTTAGTATTGGTCAAGTTCATTATGGTGTTTTAAAACATAATAGAAAGCGCGTAGCCGTTAAAATTCAATATCCCGGTGTTGGTAAATCAATCGAAAGTGATATTAATAATTTAGTTACATTACTCAATTTTTGGAATATACTTCCCAAAGGTTTATATATCGACAATGTTGTAAAGGTTGCTAAACATGAATTAAATTGGGAAGTTGACTATATTCGTGAAGCTGAATGGGGTCGTCGTTTTCAAAATTGGCTTCTTTATTATCCAACATATTGTGTACCTGATGTCATTGATAGTTTATCGACGAAAAATGTTTTAACAACAGCATTTTTCGATGGCATCACTCTTGATCAAGCGGTTAATCAAGATCAAGAGACACGTGATTTCATTGGCAGATCTGTATTAGAAATATGCTTATTAGAATTATTTAAATTTAAAGCTATGCAAACAGATCCTAACTGGTCAAATTTTTTATTTAATCCATCAACTAAAACAATTGGTCTTATCGATTTTGGTGCATCACGTTATTTTAGTCCAAATTTTATTGATAATTATATTAAAATAATTCGGGCTTCAGCAGATAATAATCCTGAAGGTATTAAAGATCTATCAGTTAAATGTGGTTTTCTAACTGGATATGAAACACGTGAAATGACTGATGCTCATGTTAATGCAGTGATGATATTAGGTGAAGGTTTTCGTTCCGAAGATATATTTGATTTTGGTGCACAGAATACAACAAAGGGTATACATAAATTAATACCAGTTATGCTTAAACATCGTTTAACACCACCTCCGGAAGACTCATATTCTCTACATAGAAAAATGTCTGGAGCATTTTTACTTTGTTCGAAATTACGTTCCCGAGTACATTGTAAACCACTCTTCGAAAGTGTATGGAAAGAGTATAATTCATCATAATTTCTTTTATGTTTTTGTATACGACATAGAGTAACATTTTGTTTTTTCTTTGTTTTCAAATTCTACTAGTAAAATATAACTCATGTTACATTTATTTTTTATGAAATAAATGTTATTCTAGATATTTTTCATGTTTCTCTTATTACGTCAAACATGTCCATTAGTATTTCGTCGTTCGTCGATAATTCGAATTACAACAACATCTGTTTATATTCAACAACAACAACAACAGCAGCAGCAGCAAAAAAATAATCTTTCATCATTTTCTCGTCCGAAATTTATTTGGGATACTATTCCGAAATCAATACAACCATACATTCGTTTAAGCCGTATTGATAAACCAATCGGCTCATGGTTATTATTTTTACCAGGTGCATGGGGTATTGCATTTGCCGGTACAACATTGAGCAACTTTGCATTACTGGGTTTATTTGGTATAGGAACCGTTTTAATGCGTGGAGCTGGTTGTACAATAAATGATCTGTGGGATAGAGAAATTGATCGACGTGTTGAAAGAACAAAATCAAGACCTATCGCTAGTGGTGAAGTTACAACAAGGCAAGGACTAACATGGGCAGGTGTACAATTATCATTAAGTTTTTTAATATTAATTCAATTAAATATACCATCCATTATGCTTGGAATTCTCTCACTAGTACCTGTTGTTATTTATCCTTTGATGAAAAGATTTACTTATTGGCCACAACTTTTTCTTGGCATAACATTTAATTGGTAAGAAGCTAGTTTTCCATTGTTTTTCTTCGTGAATAGAAAGATTCGTTTTCTAAACAAATACAAACTATATAGGGGTGCACTAATGGGTTTTACAGCTGCAACAGGAAGTATTTTTCCATCTATTATTCTACCATTGTATTTTGCTGGTATTGCTTGGACACTTCACTATGACACAATCTATGCACATCAAGATAAAACAGATGATTTACTTGTTGGTGTAAAATCAACAGCTTTACGTCTTGGCACTGATACTAAATTATGGTTACGAGCTTTTTCTCTTGGCATGATTTCACATTTAGTTACTACTGGTTTAAGCGTTGATCAAACATGGCCGTATTATGTTGGCTTGACTGCTGTCAGTTATCATCTTCATAAACAGATTGAGACAGTAAATTTAAATAAAAGTGAATCTTGCTGGAATACCTTTGCATCAAATCGTATAACTGGTTTGATGATACTTGCTAGCATTTTAGTTGGAAACTATTTTAAATATTTGTGATAATAATATAGAAACTTTGATTGTTGCTTGTTTTGTAGATAAATCTATTTCATCAAGATAATCACCGATAATCTACTCGAGACAATTGCTAATGAAATTCTCTGCTGATATATGAGTCGATGAGTGTTTTATTCGATTCACTTCGCGAATATTTTTTTTCTAATAAATAAAACATTCATATTAAATATAAGAAAATATTTATAGTTGTGATTATTATTATTCAGTTATAGTCGAATTTTGGAGGTAAAGAAAATACTATCATTTATTACAAACGTATGGGTTTAGTTTTATAATTTAAGTATTGATTATCTTTAATTTCAGGTTATAATTATGAAGTTCTCGAGGAAAATCGAACGTCTGATTTGACCAAATCGTATGGAGCAATTTTTTTTTGGAGTCATACATGTATGTGACAATCAGAGCTCATTGACACAAAAATAAAATATGTAGCGAAATCAACATATATCTCTCTTCTGAATACTTAATTGTACTTTAACTTATGAATTAGTTTTTGGAGAAAAATTGATAACTGGTATTTTGAAGAATTGGATGTCATATAAAGATAACTGATATTTGTAAAAGAAATTCTTTGCTGAAGCGACATGATAATGTTTTGTTTTGTTATCTCTTCTTCACTTATGATAATAGGTTTATGCAACAATGTTTCTTTGTTTTTTTTAGATTTTGTTACCATGAAAAATACTTTAATATTTCAAGCGGCTATTGCCGTATGTTTAGTTGTTTTGAATTTTGCTACATTAACAAAAAAGTAACTGATACAATGATCATATTATTTTGGTACTATCTTTGCCTTTCTTTAGTTATGACATATCCGATGGACGCTTAGAAGTTCTTTTTAAGTATGAATTCGATTTTTAGTTGTATTTGAAATAATTGTATAATTGTTTTTTTTTAAGACATTGGCTTGATCAAACCGACCGTGACTATGACTCGTTTGCTGAATATCAACAACGAATGAGTATTTTTAAAGAGAATTATATTCTAATTCAAAAATTGAACGAAGTTTATGGGTAAAATATTTTCATAATTGTTTTTTGTTTTATTTTATTTTACTTATATTTGAAGACATGATATGACATTTGAATTAAATAAATTCGCTGACTTAACAGAAGATGAATTTCGAAATAGCATCCTAATGCGCCCTCAAGCACCACCTATACACTCACCAAAAAGGTTACTTTTACCCTATCTATCATTAATTCAACTGAAATAGTGCTTCTGTCTTAATGCCAGATATATGAAGATTCGAACCATTGAAGATCTACCTGATTCATTCGATTGGCGAGATCATAATGCAGTTACACCAGTCAAAGATCAAGGTAAGAACAGAATAAAAAAAGACTTCAAATTGTAATTTCAATTCATAGGATCTGTGGGTACATGTTGGGCTTTTTCAACTGTTCAAAATGTTGAAGGACAATGGGCTCTGAAAAGTAAACTATTAACAAATTTATCTGTTGAACAAGTTGTCGATTGTGATGGCATGCAAAAAGCTGATTCGTTTGTATTTACATGTAGAGCAATGTAAATCCTATGAAAGCTTTATGTTTAGAGTACAAGCTGATTGTGGTGTTTACGGTGGTTGGCCATTTCTTAGTTTTCAATATTTAATGCAACAAGTAAATTTTGATGTTTCTTTGTAAGGTTTTTTATACGAAACATGATTTAATAGGGTGGCATTGAAGCAGAATCAACTTATCCTTATTGTGCTGGATTAAAAAATTCATGTGAGCCATGCAATGCTCCTGGCTATAATAAAACTTTATGCGGCCCTCCAATTCCATTTTGTTATATAAAAGATAGTTGTGAAACTAAACTCGATTCAACAAAATTCATATCTGGTCTTAAAGTAGTCGATTGGAAAGCAATTGAACAAGTAACATTTGTTTTTTTCCCGTACGTTTAGAGTATAAACGATCTCTATTTTTCGTGTTTTAAGGATGAAACAATTATAGCAACTGCTTTAATGAATACTGGACCATTGTCTGTTGCACTCGATGCTGAAATGTTACAATTCTATCATAAAGGAATTTTTAATCCAGTTTTTTGTAATCCTAAAAATCTTGATCATGCTGTACTTCTGGTTGGCTGGGGTAAAGAAGGATCAAAACCTTATTGGATTGTTAAAAATAGTTGGGGTGCTAAATGGGGTGAAGAAGGCTATTTCCGTATCTTACGTGGTAAAGGTACATGTGGTATTAATACTCAAGTAACAACTGCTGTACTCGCTTAAAACAGAAAAACGTTATTGTTTCCTTTCGATTAGTCTTTCACGTGTTTTTCTGTTGTGTGCTTAAGTGTGTAAAATAACTTTATTCTTTCGGTGATTCAAGGAAAAGCTTTGTTTTTATTCAAGTGTGTTTTGATAATTAAAACAAATAAAACATTATTATTTCGAGAGTGAATATTAACTTATCAACAACGATCGCAATGCCCAGGTCGAACATTCCGGCCACCGGATCCCGTAAGATACCCCAGGAAATATGCGGGAAAGTCACCATATCCTGCAGGAAAACACGGGAAATCGCTGGAACATGGAAGCAGTGTTCCGGTCGGAAATTAACGGATTTTTTTCCTGTGGATTCAGGTCAACTGCCAGCAGGAAAGCACAGGAAACTGACCAGAATCCACAGAAAAAAAATCCGGTAACTTCCAACCGGAATACTGCTTCCGTTTTCCCATGCTTTCCGGTCAGATACGGTGATTTTTCCGCACCTTTCCAGCCGGTTCCTACGGTATCCATCCTCCGAAATCATTGACCTCAGTGGTTCATGCTAAATGTATTTTACTCTTTGGACTCTCAGTGTACTCCCGGAGTCCACGCGTAGTTGTCTAATTCGAGTTCGAATATAAATGGAGAAAAGAAAAAGTTAAACTAAAACTAAATCTAGGAATAGATCTAGGTTTAGTTTAACTTTCCGATATATGCGACATATGAATACATATATACCCTTCACCCGCACCCCCATTTGAGCACTCCTCCATAGTGTCCATCACTCTCAACCACATTTAAACTACACTGGGTACCCCTCCTAGCCACCCCGTCACCCGCACCGCCACCCACGCTTACCCCTTAGCCCCCCTCAACCCACACCCACACCCACTCCGTCTTAAACTAAATCTATTTCTATGACTTATTTTCGAATTTATAGCATGCAGTTGGGTGTCCATTTATATTCGAATTCGAACTAGGTATCTCATGATTTTACTACCACCATACGTAAAGTTTATTGAGTAAGGATGTAGGCATGAGTGAAAAAGAGAGATGCAGCCAGCCCCTACATTCACAACGCAAGCCGTACCGAAGTCGACGTCACATTTATTTTTTAGGCATGTTGTGCCATTTCTTGATGAGCTCGTAAACTACTTGTTGCGTTTTATGATGGCTGATTCGTATAATATTGTATTCTGTTCTCGATAAGAACAAAACTAAATTATTTTACAATCGTATACACTATTTTTCTTTCATATAAAACGCTCACTATTATCAAAAACTCACTATTATCAAAAACTCACTTTTATCAAAAACTCACTATTTCATTTATAAATGTAACACACTAATATGGCATCAATAAGCAGTGAGTATCTAGAAGATTTTATCATTATTTGACTCGATAGTACAATTAAAAGCGATGATATTACTGTTTCGGAACGTCAAAGCGTTCTGCGCGCTTACTCTCATTGTATTCGCATATTCACTGATAAGGAAGAATGTTTCGAATGAATTCGAAACATTCGTGATGAAAAAAGATTTCTTATTATTTCGGGATTACTTGACCAAACTTTCCTGCCACGTGTCAATGATTTTACTCAACTCATATTCATCTATGTATTTTGCGCTGATAAAACCAAGCATACACGATGGTGTGAACAACATCATAAAATTCGAGGAATATTCGATGATCAAAATCTATAGATTTTGAGGGTGTGGGTGTCACACACACCCACACCCTCAAGATGGCAAGCTTATTGATGAATATATGATCGTAATGCCATGTGATTACTTAGAGGTTGCTCGATGCTTGAAAAACAAAAGTATCGAACTCTTCGATGATGGTGAAAAATTGAGTGCTTTTGAAGTTCTTACTAAAGCCTATGAAATTGTCTCCAAATTACCTCATACAAAAAACAGCAAAACGTTGCATATTGAATTAGCAGACGAATTCCGAAGGAGTAATTATCCTGAAATCGCTCTTAATCACTATAAACAACTGTTGGTCGAAGAATCCACCGCCGCTAGAAAGGATATTCTTTTCATTTTCGCCTTAATAATAACTTGGGCACTGTCTATGAAGATATTGATAATAATGAGCAGGCATTACAACATTATCAACACGCATTAGAGTTTTGTATAACATACTTCATTACACATCGTGAACTATTGACTGCCACACATCATAATATTGCCATTGCCTATCAAAACTTAGATAACATGGACGAAAGTCGATCACATTTGCAATGTGCCTTGACTGCTGTGACATTACGAAATGGTAAATATTATACAATTGAGATTAAAGTGCTGAAAGCACTCGCTCTTTCATATGAAAAACCAAATGAATGGGCTTCAGTAGCGCACTTTTTCCAAAGAATACTTGACCTGCCTCTTCGCCACACACCAAATCATCCGATTGTGTCAAAAATCAGAAATGCTCTGAGCAATGCCGAAAATAAAATCAATAAAAGTCTTCCTACTTTCTAAAGCATAAGCGCCATACTGAACCCATTTAACATTTTACTCAAGACCCTGCACTTTTCAAAGTTCTATCTTGAGGGTAACATTTTCTGAATCTTTCTTAGGTTCTAGGAAACATATCTGGAACTGGGAAAAGGTTTTAGATATCGGTTCTAGAATAGCCTTAGCATGACACCTTTTTTGTGTTTTAGAAAATAACCCTTACTCTATACTTACTTGCTGATTCTATTATGGTCCCTTATTAGTACCCTCAAATCTTGCGTCCAATCCATCTCTATTTGTATATCTGACCTCTTATATTTATCATCATTCCATTTCTTCGATGTCTAACAACCTAATGCTATCCTTGATTCATTCGTTAATCTCTCAGTGCTTCCGGTAGAGCCTCTTATTTCTATCGTTTTATTCGTTATCTCTAACCTTAATATTTTGAATCGCAATATGTAATCTCTATGTTTCTAATTCTAATATCTACTTGTTTAAGGGTGTAGGTGTGGTTCATCTCTGTACAGACTCACGCCCACCTTTGATATTTATTCACCTGATGTAAATATCCCGATGTATTATTATACTCGATATAATAGAGATTGCTGGTAATAAAACTAGTTAAGTTTGAAAAAAACAAACACTATTATCATCAAACTCTAAAAAAAAGACGCAATTGAATATAGATTCGATCCTGTTTTATTCCCAGGTCGTTCATTCCTACAATCGCATCTGTAAACGGGTTGCATCGGATCTTACATGAAAACCGACATTATCCGATCGTATCCTACGCTGGGATCCAATGAGTCAAAAAAGTCTGTGATAGTCAAACTCTAAAAAGCTTTTTTGCACTCAATAGAATTTTGATATTTTTTAAAATTCTTCCGTCGGATCCACCAAGAATTCCGAAACCCAGAATCCAACTGGATTTCCTCGGTTAGTAGGATGTTTCAGGAACCGATAGAATCCGTCGTCGGATTAGTCGATCTAGGTTGTTACCAGATGCAACAATAAAACACTTTCTTTTAATTCAATGATATCAACTACCCAGATCGAGGTTTACGGTGTCCATATATGATCGTATTTGATCGTAATACATGGCTCAGTATTACGATCGTATATCACCGTGTCATATACGGAGAAATATGACCATATACCGTATATGGTCATATTTTGCCGTATTTCTCCGTATACGGTCGGAAACGACCATGTCTGTGCGACCTGAGTACCAGTGTTTCCAATGGAAATCGAAACAAAATATACTGTACACGTTGATTTTCTGGGCAAGTGCATAGTAGAGTGTAAATCAATACTAGCAGATGTTCTGTACATTTTGCTTCTGCTGTGTACACTTGCCGTTGGAAACACTGCTGGGTACGGATACGGATATGGATATGAGTAACGAAAATGATGATCTTTTTCTCTTGAAAATTTTCGATTCATGATCCTGATAGAATCTTTGAGAAATAGCATAAGGAAAATAGTTAAAATGAAAATTCATAGATGCATCTATTATGGAAGATGTTCTAAAACTATAGATGTCCCTATCGTCCTACCATCTATTACAATTATATTGAGGCAACGTGCCTGGCACGAAAGGAACACGGAATGATGAAGGATGTACAATCCAATCGATAATGTTGGCGATGAAGAAAACAAAAATCATACGTTTAACAGAAAATTAGTTTACTTTGGCATTGTTACTTCTTGATTTCGTTTGCAGTTTGAGTACTTTACGATTAATTTAAGCCACGTTCAATCTATTCTTCCTTCAGCATGAAACAAATATTGGTAAACATGTTTCAAAACTGGTTCAAATTAATTGTAAAATGAAATTGCTTTTTCTTTTGAAATCATTCCCATATATATCGATTATTTAATATGACTCATCACATCGTGATCGATAGTAATCAATATGGATATTTGATATACGTATATCTAAAAACAAATATATCATTTGTCGTCTATCGAAGATTCATTTGCAACTCTGAATGATTTACATGTGATGAGAATTATTCAGGTAATGAATGTTGTTTCTAAGTCGGATAATTTTTAAAATTGATACAAAAAACAATTACTTTTATTTAAAGGAGAAATTTATTTCGATTCTAAATTTAAAATTGTTTAATTAAGGTTCTCATTAGCTTTCAATTATCAAATGAACTTCCGGACCCTTTTACTTTCATGAGATAAAATGTTTAACATGCGTTATAGTTTGTCACGAATATGTTGAAGTTTTCTAAAATTATACTTGAACGAGTATAAGTCTAAGCACAAAGTACGATTTGATATTGTGTTGAAATTTCTTAAAATGACTATTTGATTTGAACAGACAGGATGTCTCAGAGGAAATGACTTCATATACTAAGAGCATAGTTTCTCTCTCCATATGGTTAGTGTTTTGTACATTCTAATTGTTGAATCTCATTCTTTTAGGATAGGCATGTGATATGAAGTTATTCAATTGAGTAAATTGGAATCCAATTGAATACTAAAAACAAGTTAATCTATATTTGAATATTTTCTTGCAGATAGTAACAAAAAAAAGAAGAAACTATGTTACGTGCAGTTGAATTATTCAGTGGTATCGGTGGCATGCATTGTGCTCTCGATTTCACTGATCTCAATTATGAAATCATAGCTGCTATTGATATAAATCCAACAGCAAATCTAGTCTATGCATCAAATTTTCCAAATGCGCCTGTCATGAATCGTACAATTGAAGGTATATCTTTAAATCAATGGGAAAAATGGAATGCAGATATATGGTTGATGTCTCCTCCTTGTCAACCATTTACTCGACAAGGTAAACAAGAAGATTTAAATGATCGTCGTACCGATGGATTTGTTCATTTAATGAAAATTATTCTTCCACAATTAAAAGCAAAACCAAAATATATTCTTCTTGAAAATGTATCTGGTTTTGAATATTCTCAAGCTCATCAATTATTACTAGATACACTTCAAGCACACAATTATTATTACGAACAATATCTTCTATCACCAATACAATTCGGTATACCTAATTCGCGTCTACGTTTTTATCTTATTGCTAAACAACAAGAAAAACCTACTGATACATATTCATCTTCTATATTAACTCGAATATCAAATTTCGAAAGATTATATAACAAACTTCGTCAGCAATTTCCATCAAAAGATTTATCTCTCGAAGAAAATTCTTTTTATGAAAATGATCAAATAACAGATCGATGTAGTCATTCATCGGAAATACTTGTTCAACCTGATCAATCGATATATATTAATGATTTTTTAATTTCAAATGAAAATCAAGATTTTGAATTAAATGAAAAACAATTAGAACGAGGTTTACATGTTTGTGATATAATCACTTGTCATGCAAAACGTTCATTTTGTTTCACAAAATCTTATGGAAAATATTTTGAAGGTACGGGTTCATTATTTCGAACCCTGTCGAATCGTATTCGATATTTTACACCTAAAGAAATAGCTAATTTACACTGTTTTCCATTAAACTATCAATTTCCTGAACAAATTACAACTCGTCAAGCCTATTCATTACTTGGTAACAGTTTAAGTGTTTTTGTTGTAGGAGTTTTACTTGAAAATCTTTTCGAGCGCTCATAAAATTCTATTCTTTTTGTTTTCGTTTTTTGTTTAATTGATTTCTTCAGATAAATATGAATCCTCGAACAATTAAACGAATGTCAAATGTTCGTTTAAAAGCACGTAGTGAACTGAAACCAGATGAATGGCAACAGAACAATTATTATTATGATCAACATGTTATCAATTGTAGTAATGATCAACTAGAACGTATTGATGCAAGAAATATCACACGTGAGGATTTTATTGAAAAATATGAACGACCAGCTAAGCCAGTTATAATTCAACATTTAATCGATGATTGGCCAGCATTCGAAAAATGGACTGTAGAAAAATTGGGTAAAAAATATCGTAATCAAAGATTTAAAGTAGGTGAAGATGATGATGGAAAATCGGTCAAATTAAAATTGAAATATTTTCTTGACTATGCATTAAATAATCATGATGATTCACCATTATATTTATTTGAATCAAGTTTTGGTGAACATCAAAAGAAGAAACGTCTTCTAGATGATTATGATATTCCAGAATATTTTTCGGAAGATTTATTTCGTCTTGTTGGCGAACATCGCCGACCACCATATCGTTGGTGGTGCATTGGACCACAACGTTCAGGCACTGGAATACATGTAAGTTGAATTAAGAGTTTATCTCTTCTCATCGTATCTATTCCAATCAAGTTAACCAACAAATGACAAATGAAATTATATGTGAATATTCCAGATTGATCCATTGGGTACAAGTGCATGGAACGCTCTCATAACAGGCCATAAACGTTGGTGTATATTTCCACCATCAACTCCACGCCATTTACTTAAACCGACGTCAGCTGATTCACCGAAAAGTAAAGATGAAGGTATAACATGGTTTAAAGTTATCTATCCAAGAACACAACTTAGCACGTGGCCTAAAGAATATGCTTGTGTTGAAGTAATACAACATCCTGGAGAAGTTATTTTCGTACCTGGTAAGTAAAAAACAACAAGAACAACAACAACCACAACAACAATATGTCATGTTTATTTTATTTACATCAATGACATATGAGAGATTTTATTATAAGAAAATAGTTTAGTTAATATTTCTGAATAGATTCCCTTATTAATAATCATCTATTGTCATGTCTTATATAATTATTGTGAACGATGCATAGAGTGATCGTTCATTGTATCTGTCGTTTTATATAAAGATGAATAGAGAAATGCATCGTAATACGATTAGTTTATCAATAGAAATACTTAAATGCAAACGTGTTGTTTTGAATATGTTATTTTTTTTTTCATTCAGAAATAACTAATTAGACAGTAGAAAACATAAAAGATAAATATCATTGATTGAAACTGAAAAATTAATAAATCTTTTTTAATCAATGCTACTTTTTTAAAAGACTATATTATTTCTTACGACCGAATGTAATTATTATCGACTATAAATCTACCAATAAAAAGCAGGTTATTATCAAGAGTTTTTAAATGTTCATTCTCTTTTTCTTTTCCTAAACACATTCATTACTCCACCTATTTTACATTTCTATTAATATACTGATTGCCTGCGGCAGTAATGCACCGCATGCCAAGCTCTTATTTTTTTCCTATGAGAAAATTGAAAGCAACGCAGGTTTCTTTTCTTTTTACAACTTCTGTATGTGACAATTTTTCTTCAGCAAGATATTTCTTTGAAATAATTTCACCAGCTATACTCAATTCAAAATGATATCGAAATCATCAAAGCAATACATAATTCATAATGATTGCTATTTTTATTTTTCTAGGTGGCTATTGGCATGTTGTGCTCAATATGGATCTAACTATTGCTGTGACACAAAATTTTTGTTCATCAGTTAATTTTCCTGCAGTATGGACACGAGTAATTCGTAGTCGCCCAAAAATGTCGAAAAAATTTCTCGGAAATCTTAAACGTCGTCGGCCAGATTTAGCACGATTAACAGAAAAAATTGATATGAATGCGGATACAGGTCCTCGATCGGATACATCGTCATCGAGTAGTTCATCATCGTCGGCTGATTCATCGCCTGATTCTGCCGATGATGATGAAAGTGAAACTGAATCGAAAGCAACAATTCATGAACCATCGTTTGACCAAGGCGACGAACCAATAGCCAAAAAACAGCGCATTTCATCGTTATAATAACTCTTGTTATTTGTTATTCTTATTATATATTTTTTGTGTTAAATGAGAGAAGAAAACTGTGTTAACAAACATAAAAACCTGTGAAGATAAATTTTCTCATTGTATAAGTTAATTCGTATTTCTAGATTATTGCAGCGAGAAAATTTCAAAAATAACAATCATGTCGCAATTGGTAGGTGATTCTAAAGTCAATATTGAAGATCCTCGATATGATCAAGAAACATATTCGGGTCGAGGTTAGTTTTGTTAATTGTTTAACTTAATGAATTTATTTATATTTTGTTTTGCTTTGAATTCCTTAGCGAAACATTTTTTTCTTACAACAAATCCACTAAATCTTTTGGCCAATGATCATAAATTAAATGAGGGTAGAGCTAAAAGAAAAATAACGATTAATATTTACTCTTATTTATTGTAATTTATAGCAAAAATGATTGTTGAAAATTATCGTCATGGTATCGTTTCACGACCTGATATGACTCTTGATGAGTTATGGGGCGCAAAATATCTATATGATAGTGCTTTTCATCCGGAAACAAAAGAGAAAATGTTCATTCTAGGTCGAATGTCAGCACAAGGTTTTTATTTTAATATGCACAACTGCTTTGTTCTAAATAATTTTCTTCGTCTGCTTTTTTCGTAGTTCCATGCAACATGTTAATTACCGGCTTTATGCTAACAGTAAAATTGAATAACTAAATTGAATTGAAAAATATGAGCATCTTTTATATTCGTTTCAGTTTTATAAAGCATCATCAGCTATTGTTTTCTGGCAATTTGTCAATCAATCGTTCAATAGTATTGTCAACTATACCAACCGTAGTGGTGATAAACCCATTACAAATAATGATTTAATGAAAAGTTACGCTGTTGCAACCACAGTACGTTTTAATTTTGTTTAATTGAACAAAACAAAAACATATTTAGAATTTATAAGAGAACTACTTGATGAAATTACAATAATTATGCATCTACAAATTTCTATCATGTTTGTACTGCATTTGATTCGTTTAGCTAAATATTTTCTAATTGTCATGATATTAATATACCTCATGAGCTAATGATAAATTTCTTTTATTTGATTTTACTTCCAACAAAACCAAGAAGTTTTTTTTTCGATAAATGATTTCATTTAGTTAAATGAGATTTAATACGCTGATTTTCGATTTCTAGGCTGCAACAGCTACAGCTCTTGGCCTTAAAGGTAGAGGCTTATTTTTTTCTAGTCTTAAATTTCGATTAGAAATGTATAATTAATTCTTTAATCAGCTGCTGTCTCAAAATTACCAGCAATTATGGCTCGATTCGTACCATTCGCAGCTGTAGCTGGTGCCAACTGCGTCAATTTACCATTTATGCGCTGGAACGAAATTCGTGATGGTATTGCTGTTTTTGATAAAGATGGAAAACGTGTTGGAGGTGAATATAAAAATTTGGAAAAAAATATTTAATCGCATTTTAATATAATTCTTCTTCGTACAATTAGAATCATCTCAAGCAGCAAAAAATGCTATTACACAAGTAGTTCTTTCACGTATCGGAATGGCTGTTCCGGGTATGTATTGAACTTGAATATAGGTTCTTTTGAATATACTTTTCCATTTGTTTCAGGTATGATCATTCCACCGATCATTATGAATGCACTTGAAAAGAAACCTTTCCTACGCCGTACTCCATGGCTTAATAGTCCTATACAAATTCTTCTATGCGGTTTCTTTTTAACATTTACAACACCAATGTGTTGTGCTTTATTTCCTCAAAAAAGTTCATTACCTGTGGCTAAATTGGATGAAAAACTTCGAGAAAAATTATTACGCGATGGGATGAAAGAAACCGATCGAGTCTATTTCAACAAGGGTCTTTAAATCAAAAATCAATGCAAAAACTTTGTGTCCCTTTTTTGGTGTGTTGTTTGTTCTCTTAGTGATTATTCCATAAGTATTTTTTAACGCAGTGTTAAATGTCCTTGTCTAGCTGATGGATTCATTCCATTTGATATATTCCTCTCATGTCCTTTCTATTTCCTTGATTTGATCAATGATTATTAACAAAAAAAATAGACAATAGTAGATGTTCATCATATTAAATCTATATTATCCACTCATTTTTAGATGGAGAAATATCAATTTGTTGTTATCGGTGGTGGGATATCTGGTGTCACTTGTGTAGAAAGTGTAAGTTGAAGAAATATGTTTATATCATTGAATTGTTTAAATTAATAGATTGCTACGTTTAATCCTACTGCTCAAATTCTACTCCTTACAGGAACGCCATTAATTAAAGCAATTACAAATTATGTTAAAGTAAAATTTATATTTCGAATTGTTGATTTTTTTATAGAATTATATTTAGTTGACTAAATTTTTAGAAGAATTCGATATTGAAGAAAAACCATTCAATTACTTGGCAGAACAGTATTCAAATTTAATTATAAAGAATAAAGTTGTCGAACGATTAGATACTGATAAACAAGTAATTGTGAAACTGTTATTTTAAGAAAATAAGAAATATTTTTGATAGTTTGATTAGATTATTTTCTGTATGGATAATTCACAAATTCAATACGATCAACTTTGTATTTGTACTGGCGCACGACCTAAAGTAAACTTAGGGTGAAAATCCTTTTTTTTGGTGTAGAGAAATTCTTCTATTTATTTATCTCTATTGATTATTAGTTACTTGCAAATTCAAATCCTTATGTACTCGGTATTCGTGATACAGAAACTGTGGAATCATTTCAAAAGAAATTAACATCAGCGAAGCAAATTCTTATTGTGGGTAATGGTGGAATTGCAACTGAACTTGTGTATGTGAGCTTATAATATAAATATTATCTTCGAGTTTCCTATTCTAAACAATTAGGTATGAAATTGAACATTGTTCCGTTATCTGGGCGATTAAAGATGAACATATTTCAACAACATTTTTTGATGAAGCAGCTGCTCGATTTTTTCTTGATCGTATTGAAATAGTTAAAGAACAACAAAAACTAAATGAGAAAAGACAAAAATATGAAATTACTGAAATACCATCTGAGCTTCAAAATAATCACACAACATCATTAAAAATATGTGGCGGAGCTTTAGGACCTGATTGGGCAACAGGACGCTCGATGAAAGGTGCATTGTCTGTAAGTAATAATGATCTAGATCTACTGCATCTCTATAGGTTGGCTTAGTAGTCTGACAATCAAAATAGACTCTTCGGCTTTGAATAAGAGCTGTTTTCTGACACACCTATTATATTATATTCTTTTGAGTAAATGTTTTAAAATTGACTTTGTTTTTATAAGGAACCTCGACAAGTTCATATTGAATATCAAGTTGAAGTTAAAAATATTCTTACACCTGAACTATATCAAAAACGAACATCAACCACTGAAAATCTTCAACTATCCGAAGGTAAGAATGGAACATTTTTCTTCTTTATTTTTGTAAAATTCATCTTTAGAACACATTCAATGGCCAGTATATGTAGAATTAACTAATGGTAAAATTATTGGTTGTGATTTTGTTGTCAGTGCTATTGGTGTGACACCTAATGTCGAAACTTTTCTTCAATCTGCAAATGTAAAAATAATTATTTTGATTCATTAAATATATACGTATATTCTGTGGTATAAAATTTAGTTTAAATTGGGTACTGATGGTGGTTTATTAGTTGATGAAAGAATGTGTACATCAATAAAAAATATATTTGCTTGTGGTGACGTATGTTCAGCTGGTTGGACATTAACAGAACAGTGGTTTCAGGTATGTAAATATTTTTCTTTTGATTAGTTGAAAATTTGATTCTTTTAGATGCGTCTCTGGTCACAAGCTCGTCAAATGGGACATTATGCTGGTAAATGTATGTTAGCATATGCAAATAATCAACAAGATTCATTGACGATGGATTTTTGTTTTGAACTTTTTGCTCATACAACAAAATTTTTCAATATGAAAGTTGTTTTACTTGGTAGATATCATGAAAATGATATGAAAAAATATGAAAATCTTATTCGAATGACGCCAGGTAGTTTTGTACTTTTGATGATTAATATATTTAAATGTTTTTATTTACATCTATGTTTAGGCGTAGAATATATTCGAGTTACATTAAAAGATGGACGAGTGCATGGTTGTGTTTTTATTGGTGACACTGAACTTGAAGAAACATTTGAAAATCTAATATTGAATCAAATCGATGTCAGCAGTTATGGTGAAACTCTACTAGATCCAAATATTGATATTGCAGATTATTTTGATTGATAATATGATTCTTGTTTTATCGTTTCTTTTTAAATAAACATCGATCCTGTTGGATTTAAAATAAACAAAGACAATTCTTCGTACGATTGTTTAGGTTTTCTACTGATTTATAATAAATTAAAACACTAACTTCAAGTAGAAATATAGATAACAAGAAAGAACAAACAAATAATTTAATTTTCTCTTTTGATTTGAAATTCCTTGCTTGGGAAATCTAAGTTTACGTTACTACATTCGCTCGAGCAACACATACGCTGGTACATTTCGATTGAAATAGCTATATTTAAATTGCCTTTATTGTAACCCATCAGTAATCTATTTGAATTTTATTAAAAAATTGGTGGGTTTACTGCCGGGAAGAAAGTGTTGCAAATCATGTCAATATCCTACTTGGATAATATGTGACAATAATATCGATAGGCACATATGATTAATGAAACCATCTGTTTCTATTTTCTAAGGTAGAAAATGAAATCTTTTTTTTTTAATGTGTGCATCTATTACATACGATTGTATTATTATTATGGAAGGGCCACAACTTGTTCTAATGGGAATAAGCTATTCTAGAATGCAGATAGAACGAAAAGAAAAAGGTTTCATTCTCAATAGATCTAAAAACCAGTGTATGATATTATCATTCACGTTAAAAAAATGTTTTCCTTTTCGGCTTTGTTTTCTTTACTTCTGCTAGAATTGCCGATAAACGACAGTAGGGGAGATCATGGTGGTCCTCCAGCTGTTATCGGTGATAGAAATCTAACACTTCGAAGTGATGAAATTCCTCAAACGTTGTCAAAATTAATACTCGATGGACCATTTTATTGTTATGTCGAATGGACTCAGAACAGGCAAAGCGTCGATATTTACACAGATTATAATTTTCAACCATACATTGCAGTAAACATCGAACAGGATACATTAAGCATCATATTTCAATATGATGGAAATTATAAATTTACTGAAATGGATATCTATCTTTATCTAAATCCGAATATCAATGATATCTTTTTGGGTGGAATTGCGACTCTTAATAGTACCAATGCATTGCATACATATAACTCATTAAAACTGCATACACAAGGTAGACCGAATGAATAGTTTCGAAGTTAATCATTAAAGAAAAACAAATATATCATTTTAGATACAAGCAATTTAATTCTTGAATTAGATGTGCTCAATCTTGATGCTATGTTTTTATCAGCAGGAACTACCACGTTAATGGGCTACGTGCAAAACAAAGGCATAATAAAATATTTTGGTATTGGAAATGTTGACGCATCTCAATTGTACTGTAAATTTGTTGATATTGAAGCTAATGGACTTGGTACTATATCAGTATCGGGCACACAGGGATGCAATATCAGAGTACAAGGTGTCAGCACTGTAAAATATAATTGCTCGAATACACATACTATTCAGTTGTCTGGCCTGGCTAAATTAATACCAGTTTACTGACTGTTAACTTTTTTTCAGCTTGTTTGAAATAGTTTTCCTTAAAATAAATTTCTTTCAACATTTGTTTTTTATTATCATTTTGTTGCTTTATAGCATGAAACATAAGTTTAATGGTTTGCCTGATACAAATTTGGAGAAGAAAAAAATTGTCATATGTATGATTTATAAGAAAAAAAGAAAAAAAAACGTCAGAGAATGTGGGATAACGTAATTTCGAATAAAATTACCTGTTGTAATAAATACTTCATCGTTGTTTTATCTTGACAGAGAGTTGATTTGATGGCTTTTATTTTCAATTATTCGCAGAATGACTGAGTGAGAGCAAGAAAAAGAGATCGTATTCTCATGTTACATTTTATTATTATCTGAAAAACTCGTAACAAAAATGCTAATATATGAATATCAAATTTAACAAATGAATATGAAAAATACAAGTGAAACGACGACGAATGAAACAATAGAATTTATACGTATCTATATTATTTGCCGTTGGTTTTATTTAATTGTTTTTGGTATTGGCATTACTGGAAATATATTGAATATAGTAGTTTTTCTTCGAAAAAAGTTTCGTTCAAATTCATGTTCAATTTATTTTATAGCTTATTCAATCAATAATTTTATGAATCTTACTTTTGGCTTATTTGTCTGGTCATTAACTCTTGGTTTTGGTTTTGATTTAGAATATACAGTTTTGACCTATTGCAAAATTCGTCGTTATCTTACGCACGTTAACTATCTTGTATCATCATGTTTGTTAACTATGGCATCAATTAATCGTTACGCACGTGTACGTCAAGCACAATTAACAAAAAATCTTCACCGTTATATATTTTTATGTGAAAGTCAAACAACATATATTATTATTATTTCTACCGTTGTCTTTTGTTTAATTGTTAACGTACATATTCCAATATTTTTTGAAATAAATCAAAATGAATGTTATGCACGAATTGGTGTCTACAGAATTTTATTTGATGTTTACTTCTTGTTATTTTATGCCGTACTGCCTCCATTAATTATGGTTATTGTTAATATTGCAACTGTAAGACATATAAGATGCATTAAAAAATTAGTTAATCCATGCGTATCTCGTCGTGAATATCATTTTATCGTTCTTGTTATTGCACATAGCTTGTCAAATATTATTTTCACACTACCATATACAATTAATAAATTTGTTTATTACACATTTGAAGATTTAAAACCGACTGAAAAAGAGAAGCTTATTGGTGCGGTAACACTATTAATTGCATTTATGAATCCTGGATTTTCATTTTTTTTGTATACATTAACAACAAGATCTTTTCGACACGAATTTATTCAAGCTTGTAAAGATATATTTATTCGAAAAGATTCTAATTCATTGATAAATAAAGTAAATGATACAATTGGCGCACGTTCGTCTTTACCAATGAATTGTATTACAAGAGGAAGATTGACGTTCTAGTTTTTTCTTTTCCTTTCTTCTTCTTTGACCTACTTTTGGATTGTCTCATATATATATACGCCAAGTAAAATGGCGTTGTACTTGAAGAAATATTTTTGTTATCAATAAAATAAAGAAAAACTATAGAGTTTTTGTTTTTTGGAAGCTCGTATATACAACTCTTTTTACGACCATAGTTTTTATCTTATATGAACTAATTATTCATCTAATTTGTTTTAGTAATAGATTGACGACAACTGGACAAAAAGATTAGTCTTGGACGATAGCAATTATCTTTCCCCAGAATTTATAGAACACACAATTATGCATGGAATAAGTTGGTATGTAAAATGTCTTCTCATGGAATCGATGTAATAGGATAATGATGATGATATCATACACGAAGCCCTGGTATAGATCAGTATAGTCTTTCAGTATGTTAAACAAGACAAGCTATAGATCTTTTTTTATACAATGAAAACCATTCTACAGACTTTATCAATTGCCTTGAATCGATATTGCTACTTTAATGTTAGAAATAAGAATTAGATGTATTACACTCTTTCTCAAATGCAAAGATAAAGTGAGAATGATCCAACAGTAGAAGTTAGGTTTGTACTGATTTTTCTTGTCCCATTAGAATTAATGCAAACATTTCAGATAAGAAATATCAAAATTATCCGTTGCATATATTTAATCTGTTTTTAAATGTCTGTTATTATGTCTTATGATTTTTTGAAAGAGACTTTTATTTTGATTGTTCGAGAGAAGATGTTTCAAGCTTTCACATTCTATATAATTGATTGTAGTCCCATCTTGAGAAACACAATCAAACAAGTAGAAAGAACCTCATTCAGATAATTAAATTTCTATTCCGATTAAGGACTTATGGCAAAAAAGAATATACTGACAACATCTAAAATCAGATTTTTATATGCGCGTGAAAAGAAAACATTTCGCAATAGAGGTAACCAGTTTTTTGTGTAAAACAAATCTTTTCAAACTTGGACTAAAGAATAATAATTATTGATAATTGAGTTTTCCGTTGTAAATTCTTATTGACCAATCTATAGTTCAGTCGTGAAATTATTATGTAAGTATTTTCTTTTATTGGTTCATTGCAGAATTTTATTGTTGCATAGTAGTCAGAAATAGTTGATAAATAAATCGAACGAGCAAAATATTGGCAATTAAATTGGCACAAGATTTTATGCTTGTAATGATTTATATGGAAGAGATTTAAGATTTAATATTGTGCTCAAAACGGCAATTAGTCGTCATGTGGCATTGATCGTATATTCAGTAGTAGACATTTTCTGCAAATCTTAATTTGTAGACATATGAAACTAATCACATAGTGTACAGCTCAAGGTTAAAAATATCATGTGGAAAATGAAGATATACCCCATGGAATGTAGCCAAAGATGGTCATACTAATAAATACTAATAAAATGTTGATAATGACACTCAGACTTCTATTTTAAGAATACAAAGATCTCAACGGACTAAAAACTGTAAAAACAGGAAACATTATTGGCAATCAAGAATACTTTTTTAAGCAACTACCTCTTATTCACGTCACAGGCTTTATGCTCAATTGAAAGATTTCAGTCAATGTTTCTAATTATACTTCTATCGGATATATTCTATCCTTGAATAGGTCATTAATTATTTTCCAATCGTCTCTGAGCTATTTTTTGTACTATTAATGGATATTTTTTAAAAGATTTCATTTTTTTTCCCAGTATTTAAAGTAATTATCATAAACTCGTTTAGTGTGTTATAGCGTTTTGGAAGCATGGCGTAATATATATTCCCATGATTCTTCTTTCTTCACATGTTATTCTATTCCTCAATTTCATAGGAAATTGAAAAAACATGTCATTTCAATGAGAATCAGATTTCTTGTTAACAAGTGAAAAAGAAATCTTCTAAAATATTTCTATTAATATGATATAACGATCGGCATTTTATGCTTTTATTTCTCTGGAGTTATATGCTGCATTTCATATCTTTATGCATCAATAATATTATTAATTGAATTAAATATTCGTTCGTGTGATTAAACTAAAATGAACTATAGAATAGACGAAAGAACTAACAAAAATTCTACTGCTTTGTATTTCTATCGCGAAAAAAAAAACGATCGTACAAAACCGATTTGCAATCAGTGGTAATCTTTTCAGTTTGATTAAAAATCTCTCTCTCCGATGTACTCGTTCATTTTTTTTCTATTCTGTTCCATCGATGATAAAAATCATATGTCAAGATCAGTGCAAATAAAATAAAAAGAATATATTTATTCTACAGAAATACCTCAACATATGTATATATCAATCGATTCTTAATGTCACGATTAATAGACGAGACACCACTACAAAATAAATTACAAGTAAGGAAAAAAAGAGCTGTCTCTTCTCTTTCGCTTTTCTCAAAATTTTTAGCCTTGAGCAATTATCTATTATAGTACTTATTCTTGTCTCTTGGTTTCCTGAGTTAAAAGGAAATCATTTTTAGTTCTTGTTCCCATATATTTCTTGTTTATTATTGTTTCTTGCCTCTTATTCATATTACTACAAACTATTAGTTGTTTAATATGCAGTTCTGTTGTATATGACAAGGATAACTTACGTGTAAGGTCTAGAGTATAATACTTTATGCTTTTATGACATTTGTCCTCGACAGACAGCTGGTGGTTCTAATTTTCTTTTTTTTTGCATCATAGAGTTCACTCTTAAGTATCAGTAGAGCATATATTAATATTGCAAAAGATCATACGAATAGAATATCTTCTCTGAAAAACTATTTTTCTGCTAAAAACTTCTATTTCTCTTCCGCTGACATTTATATTCTTGTTAAGTATTATTTCGTTTGTCGTCAGCATTGTTATTAAAAACTTTAAAATTTATTTATTTTGTAGTTTGATACTACTCTGAAAATAAATATGTGACAAGGAAGTTGACAGACTTGCATTCTATAGTTAATAGACTTTAATAGATGTTGGATTAGATCTTTTATCCTCTCCTCTTTCACATTCTAATTCAGAATAAGAACAGAAACGTAGTTCACAGAACAGTCAAACAAAATCGCGCTACCACTATAACCTTGATTGATATTATGCGACCTCTGCTATTCTTAGCCGAATATGCAATAGTATCCTATTGATATGGAATATTACTATTCTAAATTACAAGCATTTCCTAACTTTTCCTATCATTTGATTTTAGCGTGTAATAATTATCTTTATTCGTTGATAGATGTCGCTGTATACATATATTGTTTTATGTTTTTCCTTTATAAACTTATTTATTCATCCACTGGTTGAAAATGAATATCTAGCAGCATCTTTAGTAGACAATACGTATATACTTGTTTATTACTAATAGGCTTGATACAGTATAAAACTCTTTTGAGATAAATATTAGGACTTACGAATCAAAATGACTAATCACTCTTTATCTATTTATTCATCTGTTTTTGATTTATTGAAAATAGTGTTTCTTTAAAGAATATCTCTCACTTTCAGTCTTTTTTAGGTGACTTGATTTTAAATCTTTATGTAACGAGAAAAAAAAACGTTTGTGTTTGTTTTCCGTTTATATAAATTTGAAACCTGATGAAAAGAAAGCCTTACTTTAATCTGTGTCAATAGATAGTGTGATTAAAGTTTTTTAAACCCACACAGTTGAATTAATACTCGATTAATTAAATCTATTCTTTAGTCAATATTTTTCTCCTAAGAAAAAACCGAGGAGTTTTTTCTTCTTTCTCCTCTTTCTTCGCTATGTATTTCATGGTCTTGTTTCTAACGAGTCAACGAAAGTCTATTGTTGATTTAATAACAGCAGACACGGCTGTTCAAATATGAATTGACTGTATAATAGTGTTATATAAAAATCGATGTAATCGTCATTTTGCTATTGATTTCTTTAACCAAAATGGATCATGATATTAAAAAAAACGATTATCATCATAAACATAAATGACACATCTTTACATTATTTTAGATTCGAACAAATACAATCGATAGGAATGATGTAATTAGTTCGTCGTTTGTACATTATTTTATTTATTTTTCTCCTCTATGATGCTCCCCTCCATTATTTTCATTTTTATCTTGTCATTTTTCACCATACATCTAACTCTAATTTCATCAAAATCGGTTGTTATTGAAATCAAAGGTGACTGTGCAATCGTTGGTGAAAGAATAGCACAAGAACATGGATATCGTTATATTCGACAGGTTGATTTTTATTGTACTTTTCTTTGAATTAAATTAAATTTAAATTAAATTAATTTAGATATTTGATGGATTCTGTGAAATTGAAGAAGATCCATTGTCTGAAAATCATAAAAGATATCGACGAGCTATTGAACAAGGAATTGATCCTGTTGACATGCTTTTAAATCATGAACATGTATTTTCTTTTGTTTTCGTTTAATATTCATGTCTCTTTTGTTTTGATTTATTTAGGTTGAATGGGCTGAAAGTCAAATACCAAAAATACGACAAAAACGAGAATTTACCTTTAATGATCCTCAATGGTATTCAATGTGGTACTTGGTATGCATAATGATTTTTATTGTTATATTGAAATCTTTTTATGAATCGATCTATTTAGATAAGACATTCGCAAGTGCCTTCTTTACCAGATTTAAATGTAACAGGTGCCTGGGACTTAGGTTATACAGGTCGTGGACAAGTTGTTACATTTCTTGATGATGGTCTCGAATTCGATCATCCCGATCTATCAGAGAATTATGTTTGTTGATCTAAAAATTTTGTTTTTTTGAGATAAGAATAGACAATTTCTGTTTCTATCTATAGGATAAAGAAGCGAGTACAGATATCAATAGTAATGATGATGATCCAACACCACGCTATGAACCAACAAATGAAAATAAGTAAGAAAACAAATCTCTTGTTTATTTTTGCTTTAAACAGATTTTTACTTTTCTAGACATGGAACTCGATGTGCTGGTGAAGTAGCAGCAAAAGTGAATAATAATAAATGTGGAGTTGGCATTGCTTATCATGCGAGAGTAGGTGGTATTCGAATGTTGGATGGTGATGTAACAGATAGTGTTGAAGCCCGATCGCTTAGTCATCGACCGAATCATATTGATATTTATTCTGCTAGCTGGTAATGAAGCTTTAAATCGAAAGACATAAGATCTATTATTTAAAATGCTGACAAATCTTTTGTAGGGGACCTGACGATAATGGTCTTGTTGTTGATGGACCTGGCAGATTAGCAAAAAAAGCATTTGAGAATGGTGCCTTAAATGTAAATAAAATGAAGTTCATTGCCATATTTTATATAGTTTTTTTTTTCTATCAAATTTAGGGTCGAGGTGGTAAAGGTTCAATATTTGTTTGGGCTAGTGGAAATGGTGGTCGACAATCGGACTCATGTGCATGCGACGGTTACATTACTTCTATTTACACTGTATGAGAATAATATACAAAAAGGTAGTTTTATACAAACAAATTATTTTCTAGATTGCTATTAGTGCCACAACAGAACATGGAAATAAACCTTGGTATCTTGAAGAATGTTCTGCTACTCTAGCATCAGCATACAGTAGTGGCCAATTAAATACTGGTGAACATGATATTGTATGTATTTTTTTTTTGATTAATAAATGTTATTATAATTATTATTATTCAATGTTCTATGTAATAGTTTACAACAGATTTAAACCATGCTTGTACAAATCATCATACGGGCACATCAGCTGCAGCACCATTAGCAGCAGCTATCTATGCACTTGTTCTTGAAGCAAAGTAATTCATCAATTAAATATTTATGCATCTTTTTAAAAAAATCCTCAATTATATATATTTTTTTTCTTAGTCCTAGTCTAACATGGCGTGATATTATGTATATAACAGTTATGGGTTCTCGCCCAAATGCTATTCCAGCAAATACAATTATTGTTCGAAATGCTGCTGGATTTAATGGTAAAAATTCACTCTATCTAATAGTTATTGTTATATCATAAATTCGTTTTTTTTTTGTGTGTGCAGTGAGTAGTCGATTTGGTTTTGGTTTAATGGATGCTGGTTTAATGACATGGTATGCCAGTGGTTGGAAAAATGTTCCTCCAATGTCATCATGCGAATCAGTAGCAAGTGTTCCGAAACGAATAATAAGAGGACATTCAGATCAAATATTCTCATTGAATTTAATGGAATGTAAAATCGATGTTGATCCGAAACGTGAAGTTAATTATATTGAACAAGTACAAGTATTTGTTACTTTATTAACAGACCGACGTGGTGAAATTGAAATCTATCTTTATTCACCATCCAATACAAAAACACAACTTTTACCAGTAAAATTCGAGAAAATTCGTTTGCCTCTTTTTTTTACTTAGAAAAGTGTTTAGAGACGAGATCATGATCAAAGTAATAAAGGTTTTCAAGATTGGCCTTTTCTAACAGTACAATTATGGGGTGAAGCACCACATGGACAATGGAAACTTCAAATAGTCAATAGTGGCGGTGGAACAGGTAAATCATTAATGACTTCATACTGATATATGAGAACATTTCTTCGCTTCTATTATATATGCATATATCTTTACATAATATTAAATATTTATTTTAAATCAGAAGAATGTCAGGTTAAGACAATATTCTAATGACGTTATTGTAATAAAATAATGCATAATATAAGCGATAGAATATTGTGTATGGCGACAGCTCTTTCAAATATTTGAATTGAGAAATAATACGTGGTTGAAACTTTTTATTTTATAAAATAAAGAATTAAATTCTCGAGAATAGGTTTCATTTTGAATGAACAAAGAAAATATTTTATGTATTATTGAATGAATGGTCTCTATTTGTTCAAGTCTATTTGGTACTTGAAATATTCGATACTTCTAATAGAAGTGTATATTAAATATACTTTCAGACTTATTAATAAATATTGGATAGAGGAGCTTTGTTTACTTAATGAAAATAGTCTTAATCTAGTCGTAGGTGTCATCTGTAGAGTAGATTGTTATGAGAAAGAGTAATTCGTTGAGGAAGTTGTCGTTTTTGTAAATATAACTTAGTATATAATCAAAAAACTGTGTGGTGTTTAAAAGCATATTATTAAGTATGAATGATAAGTTGTTTTGAATGTTTTCTAACACAGGAATGCCTATCTTCTAAAAAGGAAAACGTTTATTTATAGAAATAGAGGCATATTGTAATTGCCATTATAACAATAATCTTCAGACAAGTGTCGATTTCGTTTCTGTTTATTGCAATAAAACATAGCTGAAACGATGGATCGTATTAAAATTTAAACATTCCTTTATATAGAAATTATGTGAGAAAGCTTCGGTACAAGTGAAATTAAACAAATTATGGGACTTCTTTTAATATCTATATGTTTGAAATATAAAATATGTTTTTTTAAAATATTTTCTAGCTACATTATTATCTTGGAAGCTGATCGTCCATGGTACACGTGAAGATCCTATTTCACCTCGTTCTACACGTATTCAGTCACCATTTGAACCCGATCGATCTAGTGTAAGTCTTTATCCGGCATTATATTTCGATTCCTCTACGCAATCTATATTTTCTTCACGTTATTTATTCATATGTATTCTTCTAATTATATATAATTATTTTTATTGAAATCTCTAGTGGAAATGTGATAGCATCTGTCTGCACTTGTTTGTTTTCGTGTACTAGAATATTTTTTTTTCAACATTTACGAGTTTAATCTCATGTGTTCTTTTACTAATGAATGAATTTGGTTTGTGAACGGTGGTCCTTTCCTTCTTCTAGCTTCTTCTTAAACCGCTGCATACAATTGTTAATCGTCGTTGGTCAAAAGCACGACGACGTATTCAAAAATTGAAGCCAAAGTCGACAAAAACATTAAACTATTCAACATCGTATCATTATTACAAACGATTCTTTTACTTCGGTCGATAATGGTTTTTTAAATCATAGCTAATCCCATATATATATATATTTTTTATACATTCCGATTTCTTCTTTTTATCACAGTGATGTCCTATCAGATTTTGACGATCTTAAATCATGAACCTTACTAGTATGATTCGTTTTTGTGTAAAACAAAACAGTATGCGTGATTAATCACTCTCTATCTCTTTCGTAACTCTTCCTTTTTTTAAATATTAGCTCTGTTTTCTACGCGTAAACTACAATGAACAGTTATATGTGTGCGTGCTATTTTTTTTTTGTTTTTTGGTTAACCTTTAAAGATTAAAAAAAAAAGAAAATGGAAGAAAAAATATTTTAATATTTAATATTCTTTAGAAAACGATACGAAAAGTTAAGGAGGTAAAAAAGAACACAGAAAAATAATAAAATATATACGTATATTTGATGTTTACAGCACGACCTACCATTTAATATCGTCCTCTTTGTTTGTTTATATGTCCTTGAGTATTCTTAAACATCTTGACACTGATGACATGGACGATCATAAGTGTTTCGTAAATCTGTTTCAGTTTGTATTGTAACGTGCGCTCTTTCATTTCATCTGAAAGAAAACGCTTCGCTATGTAATATTTGTGATTATTTTATTTTTCTACGATAAAGTATATTTTATGATTCGCTGCTTCTTCTTTTAAGTTTTCGTTTTAGTTATTGTATTTTTTCTAATTTTTTCATTTTTTCTAAAATTTCAGTGTCACATCGAATGTAAACTTGATGAGCCATGTGGTAATAGGGATACGAACTGTACAGCATGTCGGCATTTTAAACAACCATTGACTGGCGACAATTTGTAAGTTGATCTTATTAAGAACGAAGATTATTATTTTAATTATTCAATTCAGTCGTTGCGTTGGTATATGTCCCGAAGGAACTTATCTGTATGAACAAGAAAAATTATGTTTACCGTGTCATCCTCAATGTGGTTCATGCCGGAATGCAAGTAAAACAAGTTGTATCAGCTGTAAATCTGATTTATTCCTTGTACATGATGAAATGACTTGTGCTGAAATTTGTCCTGAAAAATATTATACTGGTAAGAACTTTACCTTTCAAAACAAAAAGCAATGATTTTATTTATATCTATCTCACAAGATCGTCATCTTCGAAAATGTATTCGCTGTAAAAATGATTGTGCATCATGTGATACAAGTTCTCATATATGCACATCATGTCCTGATAGCCATTCGCTCAAAGATACAGATTGCATAAAAGCCTCACAACCCTGTGAATCAAATGAATATTTTGATTTTATTAAAAACGAGTAAATAAAATCATTTTTAATGAAAATCTTCATACTATTGTTACTATTCTCTATAGTTGCCAATGGTGTAATTCAAGATGTTTAACATGCAGTGGTTCAAGAATTGATCAATGTAAATCCTGTGATAAAACAAGCGAATATTCATATCTTCAATACCATGCATGTGTATCGACATGTTCACCTGGATTTTATCTTTCGCCAAGTTTATACGAATGCCTTCCATGTCATGAAACATGCCTCAATTGTACATCATCAAGTGAAGCAGCTTGTACATCTTGTAAAATAGGTTATGTTTTTCTTTCGGATGATCATCGTTGCGAAAAACATACTGGTAAACCCTATTATCTTGATATAGATACAGGTGAAACTCATACATGCCATGGATCATGCGCACAATGTAAAGGACCAAATCCAAATGATTGTATCGCATGTAATTTAGTAAATGAAGTCCTACTCGATGATGGGCATTGTGTTAATAAATGTCCAATAGGATCATATAAAAATGAAAAAAAGACGATTGATTTACAAATATATATTTGTTCACCATGTTCAATGGGATGTCTAGAATGTAATAATGAGAACCAATGTAAAAAATGTGATGAACTCAAAAGTTATAGATTAGTAGGTTCGATGTGTGTTCCAATATGTAAATTGGGGTAAGCGGTTTGCATGAATTAGAGATAATTTCTTATTGTTTTTTTCTTCTATTCGACATAGTACTTTTCCATTGGGTAGTCATTGTGAATCATGTCAAAATTCATGTTCAACATGTACAAATTTAACAACTTGTTTAACATGTATGGATTCATTAGTTTTATTCAATAATCAATGTATAGAAGAATGTCCTGAGAGTCATTATTTATACAATCAACAATGTTTGCCATGTCATCCGGTTTGTAATAGTTGTAACGGTAAAATAAGAGATTGGTTTTGAAAAAAATCAATTTGAATTTTTTTCTTTTTTCTTTGAAGGACCATCTGAAGATGATTGTAACACGTGCGCACAAGGTTTTAAATTTAATGCAAATGAAAACAAGTGTTCTAGTCAATGCCCGAATGGAAATTATTTTGATAAAGATGAAAAGGTACGTCTAGGCTTTGATTGAGAATATGAGAGATAAACCAGAAGAAAAACTTTCTATGATGCTTATTACGTGTACTGCGTAACTAGCTATATATATCAAAGGAAATAGTACCAACAACGGAGTGAACTGAACACTTCCTGAAGTCTGTTTTTTGAAGAAAACTAATGAACATTTTTAGATGTGATCACGCAATATACGATTTTCTGAGTTGTAGTTATTTCTATCTGCTGTTCATTGAAAGACACTTCCTTTTCTGATGACTAAATTTAGCTTGCATTTCCGGCCAGCCTTAATAGCTAACTAGACAGAAAAGACAACAACTTGTCGACATGTTGTCATCACATGAAAAAGTTACTTTTGATCAATCGGGTTTTTCTCAAATGAAATTTCATGAAAAAAAAAGAGTCTATTCAAAACTTCATTATGTTAACACTACGGAAAAATAAAAACTTGAATGTTCAATAGGATGCAGTTTTTGATTTTCTAAATGAAAAACGCTTGTATTCTTTGTTCATAAATGCAAATTCAAAGAGCCAATTTAAGTTAATTGAACAAGAAGAATCGTTTCAGAAACATAGACTGATTTCAGTTGAGATTATTTCATTGTGAACATATGAAGAAGCTAGTAAAAATAAAACTTATTCAAAGAAAAAATTTTCAAGAAGTTCAAATATAATTGTTGAACATTCTTTTAAATTACTAGTTCCAAGTAAAAGTTACCTATGAAATATTCATTTAGAAGACTTTGTCTCTTTAGAATTGCAAAACATGTACAAAAAATTGCCTTGAATGTTTAAGTCCAGGTTCGTATTGTCGTCGATGCAGCTTTCCCATGGCACTCGATACATTAACACATCAATGTTTATATTGTTGCACAACAAATATAACAACAGATAACTGTTGCCAATGTTTATCATCATGGGATGGTAAATAATAAATTTTAGAAAAAAGTATTGTTTTTAAATAAAAGTTATTTTTCATTCATGTAAAGGTTTTTGTCTTCATCCACTTGTAACACCATCGGTGCACCTAAACGATTGGTTAATCTCGCCGATTCATATAATGATTAATAAATTTAATTCATTAGATGACTTCTATCAAACATTTATTATTATTGCATTAATTATATTTTCAATAAGTATTATAATATGTTTAATTCTTCTTGGTCTTCGTCAAATAATAACTTCTCGTTTAACATCAAGAAATGAACATGAAAATGTTGAATATGTTATGCTACAAAATGTTGATGATCAAGATGATGACGATGCAAAATTAGTAACAACAAATGGTCATACAAAAAAATCCCCATCTAAAGAAACATCTATTTCATTTAATCATACCGAAGAGACTTGAAAAGAAAGACAAAATATGTAGTATTTTCTTGTTCTTAGAACTTATTGTTTTAATTTTCTTCTTTGTTAATATCTATTTTAAATTTTTAACAGTGACATGATTTCATTCCATCATGATTTCTTCTTCTTTGTTGTTTTGAATTAATGTCTTTCATATAAAGAACAAACGAGCAATTTCGGACACTGTTGTATTCTTCTTTACTAATAATGTGACACAAATAGAGTATGAGAGTGTTCATTTTCATTGGTAAACCTAACGATCGATATTATTTTCGACAATGATGCACATCTAACTAATTCTCGTATTTGTGTTTTATTGTATACGTTATAAAACAAGTAATTATCGTTCTCTATCTTTATTTTATTTCCGATAATAAACACACGTACATCTAGGAAAAACAAAACTTGTTCACTTTATTTCTATCTGTTGAAAATATTAAGGAAAAAATTCGATTATTTCACACGTGGTTATAATAAATTAATTGCACAAATAATACAAAATGCTATTTTTCATCAGAAAAATGTTCAATACTATCTGTCATTGTTGTTGACGGAATAATTGGCGGTTTAAGCGCTGTTAAATTGAATAATGAAGTTGAATGCATTGGTCTAGGAGATCCATAAAGTGACTTGAAAATATTTGAAATAGGAGAAAAAAAACAATAATATTACCGTATTCCTGAATATGAATACTGATCACCATGTGTAATGGCTAATCGATCACGGACTAGTTGTTTAGCAACCTAATCAAAGTTTCAAATTATGACACTCATTATTTAAGAATTTGATTTGATATATTTTCTCAAAATATTCAGTAATTCTTTTTATTTTCTTTGATTCAGAAACTTAAAAATAAAACAAATCTCATACTCGTCTTGATGATTCAATAGCTTGTTCTTCTGCATCGTGTAAACGTTCTTCTAATGACTTGATACGATTTGCATTTTTTGCAAGAATTCTATCCATCTAAATGCAGAAAATTGAAAGTTTTGTTTTATGAATATTAATTGATAAATTAACAAACTTCAGCTTCTTTTCGTTTGACATCAGCAACTTCGGATTGTAATTGGTCATTGCGCCCACGCATATTATCGATTTTTTGTTTCAAGTCATTTATTCTTGTTTCACTTTGACTAGCTATTGTATGACATTCTTCTTTATATCTAAGATACGCAAAAATTGTTCATGAAATACTGATAATTTATTGTATAAAAGTTTTGAGACAATATAATTTTCTCATGTTTTGGACATAGTATCAAGATTGCTGATTAATATTAGTATTAGAAGTTTTTCTATTTCCGAACATAGACATATAAGGAAACATTTTTCAAATTTTCCGATTACTTTTAAATTTGGGCTCTGTCTATAAAGTAGATTTTAGCGACTAAAATGTCTAAGACTCTAGACAGACGATTGTCATCATATGTAAGAGAGATCGATTTGACGCACAGATTTCCAATTCAAGAGTGACTAGACCATGGAAAACATTGTTTCTTTGGAGAGTACGATTGAATAACTAACTGTCGGTTAAAAGTGTGATTAAGTTCTAAATTATTTTTGTAAAAACCAAAATAACATTTTTCATGCAATACTCAATCGGTTTGCTTGTAATCAGTTCATTAATGAAAACTGAGATACTCCAGTTTTTTTTTGTATAAAAATTGAGATTCGGTATAAAACTTGTTTTTAATGTGAAATCTTACAAACTTCGATGAATTAATAAAAGTCATTATTTTTAAGTGATCTGATGATATTTGATTCTATGCTGTGTTTTAGGAATTATTGTTAACTTTCATCTTACTTAACGATCATTCGTTGTTGTCGATTAACTAAATTTCGTAACTCATTAAATGTTACTCGATTGACATCATCTCTTTGTGTTAATCGCACTAGACATTCTCTTTCTTTTTCAATGATTTGTTCTTCATGTCTTTTCACCTTAAATATTAAAAATAAAATTCTTCAATGCAAAAGAAAAAAGAAACTTTTGAAAATATTCTATTTACTAAATCAGCCATTCGTCTTTGTACCAGTGTTTGTTCATTTTGTATTGATGATAATCGTTTCTTGCATTCATTCAATTCGTTGATTGTTGACGTGTACTCATTAGTCATTTTGTCAAGGTCACTCGTTACTTTTTGTAATCGTTCGGTTAATTCTTTTTGTTTATGTTCATGATTGAGTTTTTCCGCAGTATGCGTTTGTTGAAGCATTTTATGTGCTTGTTGAGTTTGTTCATATTTCAACTGTGTATCGTCTCTTTCGCGTTCAGCATGAAAACATCTCTTAGCTAAATCTTCATTATCCAAAGAACTTTTTTCTAAATTGAGACGGCGTTCTTGTAAAATCTATCAAATATAAAAGAAAATATTTTTATAAGAGAATATTGCAAAATTTAATGTTACCTTTTCTAATTCTTCTTCAATAGTTCGTTTAGCTCGTAGACATTTGTTAAATTCAGTTTGTTTTTCATTTAATTCCTATTCAAAAATAGATTTAGGATAATTATAAGCATCCTTTTGTTTTCGTTACCGCTTCCATTTTATTATATTCTGTCATAATTTTTTCTAAATTTTCATTATATTGTTGACGTACATCTTCAACCTAAATTTGTTTTTCAAAGGAATTTTGTCGAATAAAAAAACTTCAAATAAATATTATCATACAGCACTACGAGTTTTAGAAGCTGCTTGTCCTATAAGTTCATCGATTGTTCGATGCATTCGTTCATGATCAAATCGATCGCGGTCACCATCATGGCTATGATTCAATGTAGAATGAGCATTAACCTGTTGTTGTAATTGATCTAGAGCTTCAGCAAGTTTTTCCTGTAGAGAACGACTGGATAAAAGCAGTCAATATGAATTATTTTTGATAAAAATTATAAAAAATTTACTTTTTTTGAGTTAAATCGTTAAATTTCGATTCTATATCTTCGCGTTGTTCTTGAGCGATTTCCTTCTCTTTTAACGCATGTTCAAGCCTAAAACAACAGTCAAAATCCAGCATTCTATTTTTAATCCTGACAAAGCCGCCTAACTCACTCACTTTGATCAAAAAATTATGATTATCTTCTCAATATGTCCTATTGAAGACTACCTTAGTAGACAACAGTAATATTTATTTCGTATAGGTAGATCATCCTGACATGCATACGAGTGGTTATTAACTAACAGGGATTCTCTAAGATGCGAATGAAATTCATTGTCATATTATTCATTTATGACATACAATCAAGTCATATCCTTTTAAGTATGTGCTACAATTACTCTACAAATCATACACTAATCCATCATATGTAACTATTTCGTCTATGCCGAGCAAGTCAAAATATATGCAAATATCGATACAAAAATTTCAAACTTTCAAAAATAGTACACTCACGAACAAAATTCCAGATGACTATAGTCTAAGTTAGCTACGATCTTTGGTGATAGTATTTTCATATGTTAGATAAAGTCTAGATAAGTAGTAATCATTACTCCTTCCAGCGATCATATTTTATACTTACCTAACTTCGAGGTTATCAATTGAACTTTGAAATGCAACAAAAGTGCCATCATATCCAATTTCTTTTTTTAAATGTTTACGTAAATCATCTTGCTAAAGAGAATTTGAAAATGATAAAAGTCTAATTTTTATCAACTGCGTAATGTTTTCATGCATACTTTTTGAGCAACTTCAGCTAGAATTGTTTCATTTTGTCGCTCTAATTCTTTGACACGTAATTGACAATTCACTAGATCTCTACTTCGTTTTCTAGAAAGAAAAAAAAATCAATCAAATAAAACTAAATCAATTAATCTCATACGTAAGTTCATCACGTATAACATTCATTTCTTGTATAAGTTGTACTTCGGCTCGAGCATGTTCTTCCTGTGCCTAAATGAAATTTAAAAAAAAACGAAGTTTACGTTCGTTAACGTTCACATCGGCTTAAAATTCACCTGCTTAGTTTGCATATCAAGTCTAATTAAATGTGGTTTTAATGGATTTTCCAAATCTTCGATTTTTTCTTCAAGTTTAATAACTGTCTGTTTACTGAGTTCATATAAATTCATAATATCCTCTTTTTCTTTTTCTAATAGATCTAATTGTTTTTTCCGTATTTCAAGAACAGAATCATTATTTAAATTTACGAAACCATCTGGATGAGAGCCTGATAGACGTTCTTCAACAGTACGTCGTAGTTCACGTCGTAGTGATTCATTTTCATCAGTAATTCTTTGAACTTTTGTCCGCATAGACACTAATTCATCCTAAATATATAAATTATAACATCAAACTTCCAAGGAAAAAAGCAAATTGATAAAAATTTTCAATACTTGAAATGTAGCTAATTGTTTATGCAATTTTTTACTTTCAAGTTCCATTTCAGCTCTATTGGCATCCATCATTATTCTTATATTATGCCAAGTATCGATTTTTGCGGCTATCAATCCTTTTTAGTCATCATGTTCACCGTTACATGGGCGAAGCCTCTATTAAATTTTATATACCAATCATAGTTGAATACAGATGACACCGGCTGCAATAACAGCGGTTATTTTCTTTACTCACTTTTCTCTCTCATTAATAATACACATTACAGAAAAATATTGTTTTGTGGGAAAATGATCCTATCCGTTATTCACCAGCATTTTTCTTCTTCTTATGATAAAATCAATTTAATAGGCAAGCGGCACTGCGATAGATCTGATTAGAATTTAAGAAAAGAAAAAAAATGCTTGTGGCGATCAAATATTAGCAAGTCGAAAAGAAAAACGATCGAAATCAAACAACTTATAGAAGATCAATTTACTTAAACTAAAAGAACTTTGTTACATATATCGTTCAAAATTTAAAAAATAGGTGTATCTCATGTTGCCTAAAAGCTAATCGAAACTGTTGCGTTTGAATTCATTTTTTAACATTAAAATGAATAAGATATTGTTCTATTTCTAAGTTGTAATGCAAAATACAACTATAATCGCTTTATTGATTTAGATCAATGGATGTAGATTTTTCATATAAATGAATTTATTCATTTCTATTTCGTAAAGAAATACTCTCATTAGAATGAGTATGACGAATATATGACTGAACGCACTCAATTGAAGCTGCTACAAATAAGTGGTTGTTTAATGTTCTTATTTTAATAAAACGACTGCTAATTTCATCAGTAGTTGAATCGTATAATTACAGCTGTGACTTAATGTATGACTAAAAAAAAGAAGCTGTGGATCCGCTCTATTAGATGCAACCCATTATGTATCTATATGACAGCTTGGCTACTTTTCTCACGTATGTTCACATCTTTAGACATCAATTAGTGACAAATAATAACAAACACTCAAAGAAATGTAGCCAATACCAATCGATCGATGACCAGCGAATACAAACACAATGAAGTATATATATATATAGAGAGAGAAAGTCAAGGAGTTCGATCAGTATACTTGTTGTTTTTTTACGAAACAGAAGGTGTCTGTTTATATTCTATCTAGAAACTAATTGTTTGTACTAGGTAAATATTCAAGTGTCATCAACGACTATTTTAAGTAGTATTGTTGATTTCCTCTGGCATTAACTTCAGATTTTCGTTGCTCATACAAGTTTGAAATTAAGAAACCGTATCGATAGATTTTTAGCAAATAGCCAGACACCATACGAGCACCGTTTTTGAAGCTATATTATAGAAATATTTTGTTGTTATAAATGATAGGTTTTTTTTCTACGAAGCTATTCTTGTATGTTAAATATAGTAATCAGCAGAGCGAGCAGTCATGAATTAAGAAAATGTAATGTCTCCTGGAGAGATAGGATTTTCTAACGAGAAGATCAAATATATGTGTCAGCAGTCATTTATTACTTGTTTACTTTTACCTTTAGATAATACAAAAACTCTTTTCAAGAGAGAAGATCAATTGGCATTTTCTGTAACACATTTTTCTTGTGTCATCATGTCAATGCCAATGGAGATTTCAAATAAAACATTTGAAGCTGATATCAATCAAGATGAGACTATAGCGGTTACAAAACAGCGTCGGTTTCTAAAACATTGTCGAAAAATTATGATAGATGAACCGAAGAAAATATTGTCATTTCAATCGTCAGAATGGATTAGTGCATTTCGTTTCAATTCATCATATCCATTATTTACACGAGGTGATATTGATGGTTTCGTGGCATTATTTATCAATAATTTGGCAACTCTATTAAGTGTGATAATGGGTTTACAACCAACATTAGGCAATGATATTGTCTATGGCAAGATTTTACCTGGGTAAGTATTTACTTAGAACATCTTATTTCGAATTAGAAACTGCTACGTTATTATTTTAACACTCGACTGTTATCTATTTTTGCAGTTGCTTATTAATAATAGAAAAAGAAAATTCCTGAAGTTGAAATGAGCATGAAGGAAATCTTTTAAACTATTGAAAATTAATGTATAAAATAGACTAACTAATAGCAATAAACGTTATCTTTTATTATAGAGTCGGACTATCTATGATATGGGGTAATTTCTATTATGTTTACATGGCTCGAAAACTTTCATATAAAGAAAAACGTGGTGACGTATGTACTATGCCGTATGGTATCAATACTCCCGGTGCATTTGCTTTCATTTATGTTATTATTCTACCGACATACAATCACTGTATGCTGTCACATGAGAAAAACTATTGTCAAGAAATGGCATGGTATGTGGCTTTGGCAAGTAATTTCGTAACTGGCATCATTCTTCTACTACTATGTTTTTTCGGTGAATTTATTCGAAAAAAGACACCCAGCGTTGCTCTACTTTCGTCGATTTCTGGCCTTGGATTTGTTTACTTGGCACTCAATCAATTTTTTCCTTTAGCTGCAATACCGATGGAATCATATATTCCGCTAGCTATTGTAATGCTTGGCTATTTTGGTGGAGGTAAGAATGAACGGCTTCATTGCAAACGCTAGCATTAATTTCATGCATAAGATAGATGTTTATTTACCAATTGTTTTTGTTTTCAAGAGATTTTTCTTTACAAATAGTTCTAACTTGCATTCATAAACATGAAAACAAAAGAAAAAAATCTCCCAAGAGAACGATAATCACTACTAATTAATTTCAAACTGATAATAATTATTAGATATAATTGTTCAATTGTTCTTATCTTGTTTTAGTAAAGTATGGTCCTTTTCCGGTGGCATTTTTGGCATTAGTTACAGGTACAGCTCTTGGCTGGATTACACCAAAGAAAAAAGTATCTGCAGTAGTCGAAGCACTCGATCTTGTGAAAGGCTATCAACCAGTGTTTCCAATTACACAAATATTTCAACATTTTAAGTTCGTCAGCAGTTATCTTTCAACAACTATACCTACAGCTATATCCATAGCAATTGGAACAATTCAATGTGTTGAATCAGCTAAACGAGCAGGTGACTTTTATCCTACACGAGAAGTAATGTTTGCCGACGGAGTTGGAACGTTAATAGCTAGTTTATTTGGATCTGTTTTTGGCATGACAAGTATGTTAAATAAAAAAATTATGCATATAGGCAAAAATAATTTTGTCAATATTTGAAATATCTGTTAGCTTATATTGGCCATCCAGCATTTAAAAAGATGGGTGCAAGACAAGCTTATTCTATCATGAATGGTCTTGCTTATTTACCATTATGTTTTCTTGGTATTACTGCTCTTCTCATGTCCATGATTGCTATCGTTTCAATCAATCCTATTATCGTAAGTTCTTTTCTTTTCTTTTTGTTTACAATTCAATCAGTGATGTTTCATTTTTTATTTTTGAAATAGATTTTTATCGGTTTGGTCATATGTGCTGACACATTGTCTATAACTCCGCAACGTCATTATCCTGCGTTTCTTCTTGGCATCATGTCAATTGTAGCTGAATGGGCTCACAGTACGATTGTCGATGGTGTTACTACTGCTTATAAAAATTTTACTGTATCCAATGTGGACTTCTCAAACAATATAACATCTAATATTGTAAGTTATCCTTACAGTGGCTTAGTTAATTTTGCTGGTGGTTCACAATTACAATGTATATTTATTACTGCTATTATGATGTATATGATCGATCGAAAATTTGTACATGCAGCTTTCTGGTCTTTTCTTGCATCAATATTCGCATTTTTTGGTTTGATTAATTCAAGTCGAGTCGGTATTCTTGTGAATTATGATGATAATGGTTGGCGATTTACAATTGCTTATTTGTCCATGAGTGCATTATTTGGATTATTAGAATTAGGACAACGACATAAATGGGTCAAAGAACCAGAAACAGAACCTGACGATTTATCAAGCATCGAATGGGCTGAATGGAAACGACTACAGAAATTAGAAGAACCAACGGGAACAACTGATAAAATGTCAAAAGTGGATGTATAAATTTGTGAAATTAAATCTTATTCTATCTTGAGTAGTTCATGTCATGATACATAAAATAGTTATTAGAAAATAAATAAATGTTAACAATAATTGCACTTCTATCATAATTACAATCTGAATAAAATAATTTTCTGATTTATAATGACTTTCAAAAATAAAAAAAGTAAACAACTCTCATCATCACTAATCAAATCGAATATAAATCTTCAACATGATAACTAGGTTTATAGTATTGTGTTTGTTAAGAGAGAATATCGAAAGAAAATTGCAAGAGACAATAATACATTTGACTATTTTGGGAAGATTTGATGAGAGTAATTCATTATGATTATTAGAATTTCTTCATCAGCTATTTATAGAATAATTCACAGATTTTTATCGAATAAATCAAATTTAACTATAAACTTCATAGAAAACAGCTTAACAATTGTCACTTTTATTCTTAATTTAAATTTATGCACGCTGTACTACATGCCAATAATAGGGATTGAAGGTACAAGACATATTTCCCTAAGAAGCAATATGAATTCTATAACAAATGAGCTGCAATCAGTGCTCAATTGACGTAAAAGAGTTGTAGATAGCTATATTCTCGATTAACGTAAAGATGAGCAACGAAAAGAATAATACTAGCAATATCAATAAAAGTAAAAAGATAAAAACCGAGTAAAACTTTAAAAGAGAAACTTATTCGAAATTTACAAATTATAATTTTGCTAAAGCATTATTAGTTGTAATCTAAATCATGTAAATTATTATTTTAGTGATGTCCATTTGTTTTATGGTATAGAGTGGGCTATCGCAAAAAACCGCCGTTTCTCTGTAGTTTTATTCCATTTGCTAAATTCTACTTCGATTTAAAAAGTAACCATAATTTATTGAGTCACAACAGTGAATACTTTAATTAAAAAACATCGAAACGCGATTATAATCAAATATTTTTAGTTCATTGTACTAACAGCAAGTGGTTCCTCGTATTCGTTGATACATAAAACAATTAATTGTACATTCAAAAAAAAAACATTTATTCTTAACTGGTATCACTTTGATAGAATCTAATGATCATCATTTTAAAAATATGATTTTTTTTATTTGAAATTTTCGATAATAATTTTTTTTAAATATATTGTGATCAAATGATCACTTTGGATAATAACGTCCTAGAAGAATAAGAATACACTCTGAAAGTTCGTCAAAAGCTGCATCTTTTGATATATAAAAATTAGAAAAACAAAACAACGTCTTAGTTCAGCAAGTCTTCAGAATGACGATGATCATTATGTGTTTTTGTCTATCATAAATTCATTAATTTTATACACACATAAGAATGTTACTTCGACTTTGATTCAATGAAAAGGTGTTAAAAGTGAAGCACAATATCGAACTCATATCTAGGATGTAAAAATGAGTCGATTCGAGTATCACTGAAAACATTTTTATTGTCAAATATGATGTTGATGACGTTTTATCATATGTACACATATGAGAACATGAAAATCTATTAAAACCAACTAACCTATTATTTTCACAGCTATTATTTATGACTATTAACGAACATATTCATAGAAATTTTTATGGCCTTTCAAGTGCACTCTTTCTTCTTTTAGTACCCTTATTAGACAACAATATCAATCAGATTCAACTTATATGGTATAAAATGCTGTGTCTACATACTATAATGTATATTAATACTTTTTATATGCATACTAATCGCTTGATAAGCTTATAATGAATACTTCATCATAATAATACTGATAGTTCTGTATCTTCGTTAGGCTAATAGACAATTTTCAAAATGATACAATTAATTCGTCAAAAACTTAACATATTTATATTAGGTTTCTCTCTTATAACCAATTTTAATACTATAGTCGGTTAATCATGATAACAGTATCACGTTAGATGGTTTTGTTGATTTGTTTGTTGTTTATGTATAGCTATATCTCATAAGTAATAACTTCATACATGAAAGATAATTTAACGTATTACTTTTTTTCTCTCAAGCAAGTATCAGTCTTAGAAAATTACTGAAATAGAAATTTTCAGGGTTCAATATGTTGAATTTACAAAAATGATAGCAGATTTTTATTATTATAACCATTGAAAATTTTACCGTGAAGACTTTCTGAGTCTTGACCAGCCGACGAAAACCTTTTTTGTTTAAAGTCACTTCAAAACGAGGATTTCCATACCAAGGTTCAAAACGGTATTAACGAACCGCGAACGTCAGACCTTTTATTAGGTTTTTCAACACCGTGTAATACCCCGGTGCATCCGTGCCGCGGTTTCCGAGAACTGCATAAACGGTCTGATTTTCACGGTAAAAAGATACCGTTTACAATCGCGACTTCTAGCAAAAGAAGATATTTGCCTATTAACACTAACTGAAGTTTTCAAATAATTGCAAGCCTATATAAATCGGCGCTTCTCCATCTCCAATACGAGGTTCTCGGGCATACATGACACTCCTCCTTGCAGGGGAAGGTCTAACTCCTACTTCGTAGAAGTAACAGGAGAAGTACAAAAACTACCCGCATAAGACAGCAAGCAAAGAGGATTGTCTTTTACCGATCTACTTTAGCAGATCGCGGTTGGTCGTGATTGTAGCCTTCATTGCAGCGCAAGCGCACAATATGGACTCAGTAGCGAATGTTATTATTTTGATTGATTTGAAGGAAAGTGTTATCCAAGGCAGAATGAACAAACAAAAAGGACAAAAAAAGATAGAGAGAACAAAACATTCTCTATTTCTACTAGAAAATCTATTTTTAAAAATTTTGGATGGCCACTTGGGAATATCCCTCCGAGAAAATAACATAATCTCGTTCTATGATATTTATTAAGTTTTCAAAAATTAACCAATGCTATTACATCAAAACAACTTTTTATTTGATTGTATAATATGACCAATAAGACAAACAAAGTCAATAATAACATCACGGTTATGATATGGAAAAATAGTTGATAACTAAAAGGATTGACGTACAACAATAGCCAAGTGATCAAAATAGCAGAAACTAATAATATTCATAGAAAATACTAACCGATGATAATAAATAGTGAATGTAAATTGATGTTGTAATTTAGGTAAACTGACAAGTTATCTTCAGACAACTAAGCTCGTGAACAATTGACTCAATTTCAACAAAACTCTTTATTAATTTTGTTGAAATATAAATCTCTTTTTATCAAGATACATCGCTACTGACTGAACTATATAAAAATTATACCATTATTTTCTTCGACAGTATCGGTCGAATAGAGAACAAATGAGTATATATAGACAGTTCAAGCTAAAAATAAGAACAGATAACGGAAGAAAAATATGCAATATCCACGTCTTCAATTGATTGATTTACCTGATGAAATTCTTTTCGTTATTTTCAAAAAAATAGACAATGTCGTATTACTTCATTCTTTATTTGGCATTAATAAACGAGTAAATAAAATTTTACAAGATCCAATTTTTACAAGTCACTTGAATTTACTGAATAGGTATTCGAATGATGCAGTTTATGGACCATCTTATCCAATACTTAATCGATTTTGTTTACAAATTCTACCTAAAATTCATCATAAAGTCAAATGGCTTAATCTCGAATCATCATCAATGGCAGGTTTTCTTCGTTGTACAAATTATCCTAATTTAAATGGACTCCAAAATAAATAAATATTTGTAGTTTAGAACTAAATTAGGGTTTAGTCCCGATTCGTTCCTGATTGGTTCCATACTCAATTCGTGCCTATGTTTTTCTCAGCAACTCGCAACTCTTCCCTGATTGTCTGTAAATTAATATAATACGTTATAGAGAAAGATCTATTTATTGTCAAAGAAAAATAAGATTACATTACAGCTGTTACTCTATTATTGTTGTTCAATTTCTTGACCAGTTTGATTTTTACAGTTTTTACACAGCTTATTGCTAATTGTAAATCATATATTTCTCCTTTTGTATGTTGTTCGAGTAATAGGACTAACTCAGCATCGATCTTATCACCAACTTTCTTTGTTTTCCGGGTGTGTACAAAGGTTTGTTCGACGCATAGTAATTCAATAAATCTGTAAATGTGTCGATGCGTCGGAAAGATCTGGCCCATTCGACTGCTGTACCCTTCAACTCTATTGTTTGTGTGGGGCAAATTTTGAACAATAGCATGCGTCATGAATATTCCATATATTAAGTTGAAATAGACAAGATGATGGATCAATACAAGTACTAACAAGGTAATCGTTAAAGTTAATTGCTGATCGATGATCTGGCGTAAAATCATCCATCACTTGAACCCAGCTATCAGCTGCCATCGAAGGAGGAATGAGAGCCAGTCGGATTGCAGCGTAAAACCAATTAACAGCCTTTTATCGTTCGTCATCGGAGATGGAATTATCACTGCTTACTTTTCGCACTAAATATCGAGAGAGTCCCAAGGTCTGTATTTTACGCCATAGAGCCTGCGAGTCATGAAAGAAACATGCATTTATTTTTATTGAGGGAAAAATTGAAGAAAACCCTTTCATGGTTGCAGTTTCAAAGTCACAGGTTAGTCGTTCAGGATGAAAGATAAGATTAATACGATGTGCAAGTTGTTAGCTCTAATATGTATAGAAAGAAAAGTATATATAAGGAATGAAAGAGAGATATATTAAGAACGAAAGAGACAAGCAATGTCACTGATGTTATGGGACAGAACGAAAAAAAAGTGAACTTCGTGGGACTTGAACCCATATACCTTCCGCTATCCAGGCACATGTCCTAACCAGTTAGACTAGAAGAACATCTTAATCTTCGTTTAGCGTTAGTAAGTTACATCATTAAAGCTACCACAAGTGACAGGATTTGTTGAACGATTTTAGTATAGATCTAATCATAAACAATTATTTAGAAGAAAACACATTTCTTTAAAATCATACTTCTTCACCCTTTTTAGAAGTTAGACAGTAAACACATGGAATTATGTAACCATTTGAGTAACCACATATAATATAAAGTTGCTGGAACAACATTAGTGTTAGCGTCAGTGACCCATATGAATAAATCCGACAACGGATCTTATCGAATCCTATGGGATCCGACTCCCCGACAGAATCCGATAGGGTTGCTGAGCACGAACCTATTGTCGGTTCCGATGGAAAAAATCATGTCCTTATTCACAATCAAATAAGCATTTTGAGCCATCAGGGCACAAGGATGATTCGTTAGAGTTGGATCCCGTTAAAATCCAACATCGGATTCGATTGGGTCCAGTACCAAGCATCCAATTTTAGATTCGTGTCCAGGAATCCCATAAGATTCCGTCGGTTCTATTGAAACACATAGGATATTCGGTATATTCACTGGCTGACCCTTGTCGGAATCCGATAGGATCCTGTTGTCGGAAGGATTCTCCTGGGGATGTAACTTACTAACGCTAAACGAAGATTAAGATGTTCTTCTAGTCTAACTGGTTAGGACATGTGCCCGGATAGCGGAAGGCATATGGGTTCAAGTCTCACGAAGTTCACTTTTTTTTCGTTCTGTCCCATAACATCAGTGACATTGCGTGTCTCTTTCGTTCTTAATATATCTCTCTTTCATTCCTTATATATCCTTTTAATTCTATATATATATTAGAGCTTACAATTAGACGAATGCTAAATGTTCCATCACAATGCCATCGTATACAGGAGGATAGAAACGCGAGTGACCAACCTAATATTGCTGCCTAATAAGGGTACTAAAAGAAGAAAGAGTGCACTTGAAAGGCCATAAAAATTTCTATGAATATGTTCATTAATAGTCATAAATAATAGCTGTGAAAATAATAGATTAGTTGGTTTTAATAGATTTTCATGTTCTCATATGTGTACATATGATAAAACGTCATCAACATCATATTTGACAATAAAAATTTTTTCAGTGATACTCGAATCGACTCATTTTTACATCCTAGATATGAGTTCGATATTGAGCTTCACTTTTAACATCTTTTCATTGAGTCAAAGTCGAAGTAACATTCTTATGTGTGTATAAAATCAATGAGTTCATGATAGACAAAAACACATAATGATCATCGTCATTCTGAAGACTTGCTGAACTAAGACGTTGTTTTGTTTTTCTAATTTTTATATATCAAAAGATGCAGCTTTTCGCGAACTTTCAGAATGTATTCTTATTCTTCTAGGACGTATTATCCAAAACGATCATTTGATCACAATATATTTTAAAAAAACAATTATCGAAAATTGCAGTGAAATATATTTTTCTAATTTTTTCGACAACAAATAATTAATATTCGGCAAAACTTCTACATACCGTTTGTAGAGTAGATTCCACGCTATCATCGAATGGTATATAGCTTTTTTAGACTCATGACTCATTTCTATGACGGTGATTCACTTGCGCATCTTATATCTCAACAATGCAACGATATCTAGACGTGATATTTTTGATGTAGTGTATGAACAGCATAAACATTGAAACCAGATAGGAAAAATCGAAATTGGAAACATACACCCGAACGGTCCGTATGAATTTGGCCTATCCGGTGCGAAATCTCTCGTAATAATCGAATTATAAACACATATTGCGATTGATCAAACAATATCTTCGTTATACTATGAAGAACGGATACTCTTGTGCTACAAATTCACTGAAATATGCTATATATTTCTTGGGCTCATTTGCATCTAGCAAAGTCGATTATGGGATAATAAAATTTACAACTTTCATTGATAGTGAATATACTGATCGAAAAACTATTGTCTTCAACGATAGTAATAATCAGCTGAATAGGCTAGATCACCAGTTTGAAATAGATACAATTTTATATACTCGAAAATTCAAAATATTATTTGCTATGTTGCACGATTATTGTATTTTTAACATTACAATGAATTCAATGCTGTATTTAAGCTAGTTTAAAATCATAGATTTTATTTATTTTTTAAACTCTCTCTCCATATGTTCAACCTTCTGGTTACGTCAGAGAAAGTATTCAATAGTTTCCATTTGCGTTTCATGATATCAGTTTCTTGAATAAATTTTTAATATAATCCGAAATTGATGTAACTCCTTTGGATACTTTAGCAGTTGGTGTATTAGTAGTGCAATATCGCATAGAGCATCCTGGAGATGGTCTTAGTTCATAGACATAATAAGAATCACAATTAGTCACATTGATGTCATTTTTCCATTGACAACTATTAGAATCCCAGTCGAAACATACAGACCCACTTGAAGTTGTATCTACGACGGTAGGCATTGCACCTGAATACCAACCAGTTGCCATAGTACCACATCGATTAGGTCCAACTGCCTTCGTAGGTATTTCGGTCCCACCAACACCAGTAAATCGTACCCATCGTGGACCAGGAGCGAACGTTGCCTGGTCACATTCAGAACCTCCTGGTTTGTTAGTATTTCTTGACTCTTCATCAATTGTCGTATAATTATAACACTGTGAAGACAATATTGCTGTAGTTGTTGTGGCTAAAAATACAAAAACAATCAATAATTAGCAAATATCGTTCTATTATTCTCCACTCCGAATGTTACACTTATGGGAATGGTGAAATGAATGTTATGAAGACATATCTGAGTAATTCAAGTGCGTTTTATTAATTACTTTCTGTAGTTGTAGTTGTAGTTGTAGTTGTAGTTGTCGTTGTAGTTGTAGTTATAGTTGTAGTTGTAGTTGTAGTTGCGACAATGGGTGTATCAGTACAGTAGCGTAGACTACAAGTTGCCGGTGGTGACAAGTGATAGACATAGTAAGATCCGCAATTAGTAACTTGAATACTGTTTGACCATTTACAAGAGTTGCCTTCCCAGCTGAAACATATTGTTCCATTCTGAGTTAAGCCTGGCGTATTTGGCATAGTTCCTGAATACCACCCAGGTGCATCTGTGCTACACTGGTTTGAATTTAATGCATATGTGGGTAATTGAGTGCCACCTGAGCCAACAAATCGAAACCAACCAGTAGTGGAAAGGATTGAGTTAGTTTTATCGCATTGTTTACCAATATAAGATGCGTTTACATGTCTCGATGGTTCATCAACAGTTGTGTAACTGTAACATTGAGAAGAGTATATTTCTGAAGTTGTTGTCGTTGCTAAATAAACAAAATCATATAGCATTATTCAATTCGTGTTCTAGAAAGTTGCAAAGCATTTCTTTTCTGTTTACTATAAAGACAACCAAAGTCTTTGCCTATGAGACTAATATGGGAATTTCGCCAAACTTTTCAATGTCTACGCTATTCCAATAGAAAATGCTTTAAAGATCAATGGGTTTTAACGGAAGAATCTTATACCCATTTTTATGAAGGAGAGAATGTTTCCTTAATGTTTCTCCAGTGTGTTCAATATTTCAGCATCATATTGTTAGGAAAATAATCATTTTCATTCTAAAAGGTATCAGGACTTCAGTACAATCCAGGTGAAAAAAAAGATTAAAGAGGGTTTCTAAAAATAGCTATTTTCAGATGTACCATCAGGGAGCACTGTTCAGTCATGTCTCGTTGTAGGACAATATCACACACATCGATCTATAACGCATCAGTAATATGAATATATCTCAACTACCCAGGTCGAACATTTCGGTCACCGGATCCCGTAGGATACCCCAGGAAATACGCGGGAAAGTCACCATATCCTGCAGAAAAACACGGGAAATCGCTGGCACATGGAAGCAGTATTCCGGTCAAATATAGGGCCGGACTTTTCCGGCGGATTCCTGCCAAGTTCCGGTGCTTTTCGGCAGGAGTTGATCGGAAATCACTGGAAAAAATCCGAAAATTTTCCAACCGGAATATTGCTTCCTCAAAATCAACGGAACTAACCGAAACTGGCCGTTTCCAGGCAGGACTGTTCGACTTGGGTAACAAAATCGCTCTTATTTCAGTATATTACGTGTAGTCGTTGTTGTTTGAAGAATAGATGGTGTATTCGTGCAATAACGTGCAGCACATACTGGAGGCATGCTCAATTCGTACACATAGAACGATCCACAATTAGTAACACTAATCGTATTCGACCATGTACAACTATTACTGTGCCATGAAAAACATACTTGTCCATTAGTAACCGTTTGTGTGACGGCTGGCATAAGTCCTGAATACCATCCAGTAACTTGTGTACCACATTGATTAGGATCAGTAGGCGTTGTAGACAATTGTGTACCACTATCACCCATGAAACGAACCCATCTTGAACCAGATAAAAAAATTGTATCACAATTGGTACTGCCTACAGCATTCACATTTCTAGAACCATCCGTAATTGTTGTATAGTCGTAGCATTGCGAAGGTAAAATGGATGGAATCACAGTTGTTTCTAAAATATATAAAAATATAGAAACATATTGGATAGAATTGGAATATTATCGTATATATACGTGTAAATTGAGCTGCTGTGAAATCAATGCATAAAAGTAGTTGACATAGTAGAAAAGCAAGCCTGTTTTGTCGAATCATGATTACTTTTTTATATTTTAATTATTGAATGAATGCGTAAAAGTGTGCGTTTTATATAGATACAATGAAAAAAATACTTTTTTTCGGGCGATGTTTCATTTCAGTTTCTATTCAATTTTAAAGATTACTTTGAGTAAAGAGGGCTTTTTTGGTAAATTGAAAATATTTAGTACTTTAGCATAGGCTTAAGTTCATTTGCCAATAAATAAAAAATGTGCGTATAGTTTCGTGATCTATTTTTTGCACCCATAAATGCTAATGCCAACGAAAATAGCATAACAAAATAAGAGATAAAAATACAACTATCTTCTGTGTTTTAACACATATTTCTTGCAATCAGTAAAAACATACAGACAAAAGAAAACGGATGGTTCAATTTTACTTTTTGATCTGCATCCCACAAAAACGGAATGTAGTCTTGTGTCTTAGTTTGAACTCTGATTTATTTCATCAGTTCATTGATGGGTTTTGCATTCATGTACAGCGAAATAAACGGCGCATAGAATATAATCTACTATAAAAGCTAATATGACTACTATTCAATTAATATGATATTCGCATGTTCTTTTATTTTTATTTTTTTATTCTTCATATAATGTACATTAGAACTATGAAATGTGATATTTTTGTTTTTTGATACAAGCTAAATTTTATGACAAATATCTTGGTTAAAATAGAAAAAGCCACGTCATTTGACACCAGCAATATCTTATCGATTAGAATTAGTTATAGATTGAGAAAAGGTGCATCCTACTTGGTTTTTACTGTAATATTAAATAGATTCCTATACGTTTTACTACATCTTGAAGGTGTGGGTCTATTTGAATAACATACCAACACCCTCCACAGACACTCATCGGCGCCGGCACCCACACCCACATTTTATTTGCTGTAGCTTCACAATAACCTGTTATTCTTTCATTTTCAACGGTGAACAATAGTTAGCTGCAAGTGTATTACTTGGAATAAACTTCTTGAAAAATATTAGTATAAAACAGAAGAATAAGACGAAAGAACAACAAACATAGCATTTGTTATTGCGATTTTAATAGACAAAATCTATCACAAAAGAAATGAACGTTTCAAAACTTCGATGCCTACTGTTTATAAAGATAAATATACAAATAAATGATCTAATTTTCAATAGAACAAAAATCAATATTCCATCTAAAATAATTTTTGACTATTCCACGCGCGTTCAATAACTACTCATAATTGTTGTTATCTACTTTTCTTCAAATTTATTTCTAATCTATTCACGCTTTGATTCTTCTTTTTTTCTGAGCGTTCGTTTTCGGATACAGAAAAGGAAAATTATTCGGATGAAAAAAATTTCATCACAAACTACAGACGAATATGATAACGTATCAGGCACAAATCCATCATTAATTACAGCTGGATTACCATCAGGTTCAATGATAACATCTCATTTAATTCAATCATCACCAAAAACCAAACAAAATCATCATATAAATCAAAATCATGCAACTGATACTCAACCTATCATCACTTTAAGTTCTCAAGAAAATGATAATAGTCAACATACAATTATTTCGGATCGTGTCATATCAGATACATACTTAAATCTTTCACGTAAAGACATGAATGATGTTATGGTAGCACTACAAACTCTAGCTCAATGTATAACAAATGAATATACCATGCCAATGGATGACAGTAGAAGCCATCATCTATCGATGCTTTATTCTAAAAGTACAAATCATACATTGAAAAGTTCGACGCCAACAAATAGTTCTTCGCATCATTGTTTTTATTCTCGACGATGCAGACGAAATTCACATTATCGGCATCATCACGTGATAAGAATCTATCTCTTCTTATTGAAATTTCATTTTATTATTTTTAGGTTAAATATCATCGAAATTTAGTCGATGATTTTCAAGATGATTTATATCATATGAAATGTAAAAAGCAACATCGATTTTTACATCAATTACAATATGATAAAAAATATCTCAGTCATCATAATCCATCGAGATATCCTTCATATAGCTCGAATGCTATATTTTATACATCCGCATGTCGATCAAACAAACAAGCAAGACAAGTCTATCACTGTTCTCAACAACATCAATCAAGAATAAATATACATTCAGAAAATCCATATCAGCAATCAATCAAAACGAAACTATCACCTTATATACTTGACAATCATGTATATATTGATAAAAAGGAATCTATTTCTAATATAAAAATATTACCACAACAAGCACATAATTTTCAAATACTTCAAAAAAATCGTATCAATGGTGTAACATCTACGGATTCATTAACAACTAAAGATATATTTATTCCTTTGTTGACTCAACGTTATGTACAAAAATTAAATCATGATCAAACATCAGGTATGGGTGATCAATTAAATTTAAATAAAATTGATGTTGCTACACAATGGAGTCTACAAATGTTGTCATCACTGAAACGTAATCCATCAAAATCTGATCGGTCTTCAAAAATTCATGATGAACAAGAGCATTCAAAATTAAACCTTTCATCGAAGAATTCAACTACTCTAACAGAATTAAGTCAATCCGTAGCAACTATTGCTACAAATCATTCCGTAGACAAAATACCATCGATCGTTAAAACAGGATCCTTTGTAAACAATTCATCGTTAACAACTGATCGTATGTAATACAATTTGTACAAACAAATCATGAAAATATGAAACTCCCATTTCTAGCATTTGACATCAAGATAAATCGTAATACAAAAGAAATAGATTTAGAAAAATTATCTTTAAATATCAATGATGAATATGAATTAACAAAAAGTCAAACTGAACGATTCTTAACAAAACTTAGTATTAAAACATGTAAATGTTCAACGACAAAATTGCAAACTGTAAAATCTTCGCCTGTGGATGATAGTATTACATGTATTTCATTTGATAATGATTCATCAGCATGTTTATCCTCAAATAAGAACGAAACAACACAGAAATCTATAAAACGTATTGTCACTTTTATTCAAGGTCTTATGAGAAGGGAGTAGTAGTTTAGAGCATTATATTTTCAATCGTAATTAACTATAATATGATTTAGAAGACATTTTAATAAAGATTTTAACCTAGAGCAGTATTCGATTGGAAAATAAAAATTCCTGTTAAAATGAGAATTGAGACGAAATAATGGTTTTTCTAGAAAATAAAATCATCCATTGGCCAATAGAATTGCAAGCTGTGCAGTTATGAAAACATCGTTTACATAGAAGAACTGTTTCACTAGAAAATTTGCATCGTCTTATGATTGTACTAACCACTTTAAGTACATGAATCCAGTATATTACTTCTAAATAGGATAGGATCACTTATTTCTCTGAATGCTGGATGAGTCTCAGTAAATTAAAATATCAGTCTGACTATTTAGTCGAAAGTTATATTCTACATTGGCAGTAATCTCATGTCAATTTGAATGCTAACATATACCTCAGTAATACTATAAATAATCATCGCAGTTTGTTTTCATATTAAATATTTTGAGATAGAAGAATTCCTTGTTAGCCAAATACTCAGAATACTCTAGAGAGAATAGAAGATCAATGTAAGAACAAAAATTTAGATCTAAATTAATTAATTCATTTCATTGCCGAGTATATTTTTTATAGAATTGAATCTTAATAGATATTATTTTATAAATCCACACGACAAAAACAAATCATTTTTTTTGAAGTTTTTATCTTCGTTGATGACATATCGAGTCTCTGTAATCTTAACAATTTTTTCATCCCAAAACAAAGGAAAAATGCAGATCTGAATTTTTAGTATATGTCAACTATATTAATGATTCTCGCTTATTCTAGCCGCTTCGAAACGACTTCGTCAGCATACATCAAAATCATCCAAAAATAATGCAACTATTAAACGATCACGTACTTATCGTCGTTCTCAATCGAATAATCAGCCCATTAGAATAATTAAATCATCTAAAACAACAAATCTAAAAAAAGATTCTTTTTTTGACTTTTTCGATATTGATACAACATTTTCCGATACATACGATCGATTATTTACTGATACAGCAACCTAGAGAAAAGTGGATCTAACTATATAAAATAAAAATGAAACCCTGACAGCAGACACTCATAACCATCGTTCTTTTGATATATACGTATTTTAGGAGTTAGTAATTGAATGGCAATCGACTAGTGCCATCTATCACGTAATTTAATTAATAAAATACATTTCTTTTTAATTATTTTTTATCAAAGAATTTTTTTCTTCCAATAAAATTTAAAAAAATTTAGAAATAGAATTTTCTGTCTGTATTTGTTTTATCATATTTATTCTATTTCTAAATACCTGTGTTTGTCATTCGAGAGGTGCATATTCGTTTACTCAAGATGGCCGGTACCTGTGCATGAAGCATGCATGCATGTGTTGATCGTTGACGAACAACATGATGATGGTGAAGGAGAGGAGGAAGAAAATAAATAATATATTCTACATTTTGCTTATCAATTCTTTCCATTTTCTATTAATCATTCAGATGAAACTATGAATAAGTATTTATTAATCACATACATATGTATATATTTAGATTTATTTAATTGTCAGTATCGTAATCATGACAATTGTTCTCTTTTTTTTCTTGTTGCTACTTTAGATTATGAGATTTATTCTCAAATGGGATAACTCTATATCGAATAGGCACAAATTCCCATTGATATTGAATATCCATGACTTGGTGAACAGTGCATACCAATCAACGCTCTAGTTAAAAAAAAGAAAAAGAAACACTTATTGCACTAGTAGAAGTTATTATTGCAAGTGGATTGCATATTGGATAAGAATATGTCAACACCTAACCAACATCCCAAAACGAATATTGTCAAACTCAATCCACCTTCAACATCAACAGCGATGAAAGATAACAATATTGCTGATGGAGTAAGTTTTTTTCTTTTTGATTCATTTTTTTACAGAAATAAATACAATTCTTTGATTAAGTATTTTATCCAAAACAGAACGCCACTTAAAATTTGATTGATTGAATGAGTTCATCAACTTTTTTTTGTCAATTATAATGTTGTTAGCTCCTCTTTTCTTTCCACATGATATAACATTTTGTGATTGGTCTTTATTATTCTTTGCCTATTACATATATATGTATATATATATATATATATATAAAGAGTACAAAACCATACATAACATGTGGGATAAATTTATGAGAATGTTTTGGCATTTATTACAGTTTCTTTTTGTTTAATTTCAGTAATCACGCTGTAGTCAAGTATTAAATGATAATATGCACAATATTTGTCACCTACAGTTCCTATTCGATTATGTTGAATGGTTCAACTAATATGATGCCATTGAAATATTTAAGCAAACCTTTCATTCCCTGTTTGTTTCTCTTTTGTCTGACCGTTGAAGTGTTTCGTGTATATACACCGAAAGAACATGACAAAAAAAACTCTAAAATTGAAAGAACGTGTGCATGAGGAGGAGAGTAGAAAGAAACTACTCATTACACCTACTACATATGGTAGTGTGTCTAACAGTATGTATATATTTATGCTCGTCAAACTTATTATTCACAGTTGACAAAAAGAGAGCGAGAGAGAGAGAGAGAAAAAGAAAGAGTTGTAGTATTAGTTCGTTCGTTGTATTGATACACGCGAAAAACGTCAAACATCAGGAAATTCATGTTCTTTCTTTTTCGTCCTATAGTTTTTGTATTCTGTTATTACATCGAAATGTCGAGGACAATAACGATGCGAAATTAAAAGAAAGAACAAAACGAAGAACACAGCCACAAATAAAAATAAGGGAAAAAAAAGAAAGGCATATAAGAATAAGCTATATTCGGAGGAACAGAAGTGACCCATTATGTTCGCAACTGACATTATAAGTGTGCCAATAGTCTGATATTAAACATATGACACCTACTTACTATTTTGTTTTAGAAATCTACAAATAACGATCATCATCAAAATAATAATAATCCAACGGCACCAACATCTTCTCTTTCATCGACACGATTGCAGTCGAGCAAAATGCGTAGCGATCCCAATGAACCACATATTGGCAAATATCGCTTTAGCAAGGTTAATAATGTTATTCATTTGTTGTTGCTTTTGTTTATATTGAATTGATATTTATAATCTAGACAATTGGTAAAGGTAATTTTGCTAAAGTCAAATTAGCTAGACACATCCCAACTGGTCGTGAAGTAGCTATAAAAATCATTGATAAAGCTCAACTTAATCCAACATCATTACAAAAAGTGAGTTTACAATGAATAATTCCTTTTTTAATTTAATTTAATTTAATTTTGCTTTATCAGTTATTTCGTGAAGTTAAAATAATGAAAGGGCTCGATCATCCGAATATTGGTATTTATGAATAAATAAAAAAACGACGAAAGTCGAACATATTTTTTATGCATGTTTTTCTTTTTTTTTCTTTAGTCAAACTTTTTGAAGTAATTGAAACCGAAAAAACGCTCTATCTTGTCATGGAATATGCAAGTGGAGGTAAAGATATTCGATATATGTTAAAACAAAATCATCTCAATAATAATTATCCTTTTCTAGGTGAAGTATTTGACTATCTTGTTGCACATGGCCGTATGAAAGAAAAAGAAGCACGAGCCAAATTTCGACAGGTAGGTTGCTTTGCAATTGGTTATTTGCAATAGAGAAATAAAGCGACTGACTGGTTCCTAATAATCACGGTGCAAACTTTCATATAATGCCACCTACCGGAATCACAACAGGAAATCACTTATGTTTTGGCATTGTAAACCATTAAGATATGTTTGTTTATAGATCGTTTCTGCAGTTCAATATCTTCATCAAAAACACATTGTACATCGTGACCTTAAAGTAAACGGAAAGAAAGAATAAAAGAAAAATTAATTATATAATTTTGTTTTCTTTAGGCAGAAAATTTGTTACTTGATGCAGAATTAAATATCAAAATAGCTGATTTTGGTTTTAGTAATGAATTTACTCCTGGAAGTAAATTAGATACATTTTGTGGTAGTCCACCGTATGCAGCACCTGAATTGTTTCAAGGAAAAAAATATGATGGACCGGAAGTTGATGTTTGGAGTTTAGGTGTTATTTTATATACACTTGTCAGTGGCTCATTACCATTCGATGGTCAAAATCTCAAAGTAGAATATTAAGAAATGTCAGCTTTTTTCTTAGTTTATAATTATTATTTTGAGGAATTACGTGAACGTGTTCTACGTGGTAAATATCGAATACCATTTTATATGTCTACGGACTGTGAAAATTTATTAAAAAAATTCCTTGTGTTAAATCCAACACGACGTTCTGCTCTTGAAGTAAAGTTAATTAAGGAACATGAAAAAAAACAGAAAATCTAAATTTAATATATTGAAATTTTAGGCAATCATGAAAGATAAATGGATCAATGTTAATTTTGAGAATGAAGAGTTAAGACCTTTTGAGGAACCAAGTCCAGATTTTAGTGATAATTATCGCATTGGTATTTACTGAATTAACTATCAAACGAACAAAAGAGAAGAACTTTATTTCTGTTTGTTTTTTATAGAAGCAATTTTACGAGAAACAAATTATTCTCGAGAACAGACACTTGATTCTTTAACATCTCGTAAATATGATGATATAATGGCATTCTATCTTCTTCTTGGTCTTCGAACAAATGAAGTAAATGAATTTCTTATTTTGTATTTTTCTTGAAAACATCCTTTTCTGTTTGTTTTTAAATAGGCTGATCTACCAGAAAATCCAGCTCTTCAAGCATCCAACAATAGAGGTGTTACAGATGCTTCAAATATTCAATCCTCATTAGCACCAAAGGCTGTATCATCAAGTACACGACCATCAACAACCAATGATAAAGAAAATCTTCCTTCTATCGAGAAACAACATCGACCATCCACAGCTATTGCTGGAATACCATCAAATAATGATAATTCGCTAGTTAATGGTACAGCAACTAATGGTATTCCTAATTGTTTGCTGACATCAGCAAGTATTGATACATCAACAGCAAATACAAGTGGATCCGCAGCAACAAAAACTAATGGAAGTAACAGTTCTCAAGCATCGAATTTAATTCAAAATCGTACGAATACCAATACAGACAAATCTCGTGCACAAACAGTTCGTTTACCTAACACAGCTGTTCGTCGACGAGAAACACTTGATCCTGTGTCAGGTGAGAGTGTATCAATGAGAAAAGTTGAACCATTTAATAATAATGACAAAATGAAACCTGCTAATAACAATCCAGGAGAAAAGTATGTATTGAAAGTTTTGTATTTGTCATCTGCATGTCTGTTGTTATGTATGCTTTGCTTAAAATTAGTACAACTATTGAAAGTCGTCTGCCTCGTTTTGCTCAAAGGTTTGTCTCTAATACAATAGGTATCTATTTTGAAAATTTCATTTTATAGTTTTAATCGTGGTGGTGTTGAACCATCATCAACAACAGCATCTCAAGCGCCACATAATTTAATACGTGGACCATTACGTGAAACATATAATCCAAAATCTGCAAGTCTATCTGCATCTAGTTCATCATCAACGCAACAGCCACAGATATCAAAAATTCCAGAGAAAATTAAGTATGTATGTGTTTTAATAAAAGAAAAGGAAAAGAAAAGAAAGAAGAACTTAATTATTTATCCCAATCGTTAATTTTAATTAAATATCAGACCTAGAATAACATCGCCGGTTATAGTATCATCGGCTAGTAATAATACTAGTGGGTCGGATCGAGTTTATTCGAATCAGCATCAACCATATAACTTCAAGTAAGACTTTTCAATCAAAGCTATCAACAATTTTTTTTTCATCGATTTAATTATTGAATAAATAAAAAATGCTTTTGTTTTTTTATCACATATTTTGCGCACCTAAATAAATAATAACGCCATTGTTGATAAAAAAAAACTAACAACAATCAATCAAAAAAATTAACTCTACCATTTTCTGCACGGATGCTACCATAACTTGCTGATTTGACTTTATTTAATTTTTATTGATTTGCTTTCTATAATTTCTGTTAATATCTTATTGTAGTCCTTTGACAATACAATCTTCAACTCCTACATCCACTACACCTAACACACAAATTGCATCAACGACTAGTACACGTGCTGGTACTGGTACTGATATTGCACCATTGAGTCGTTCTTCTCACGATCGTAAAACTATACATACTATTTCTTCACGACCACATTATCCAACATCAAATACATCCACAGCTATTGGTAGTGGATTTAATGCTGAACATCGAGCATCATCAAGAAATCCAAATAGTGGTACAATGGCTAATTCTGATATGAATAATCGTCATCAACAAGGAGCGATGATGTCGAGTGGAACAAATAGTGGAGCTCAATCATTTCTCAGCAAGCTTTCATCTAAATTTGCACGAAGGTAATAATAACTAATAATAATTTGCATGAATAATACAAACGGAAACAAATAGGAAGTACTTGTTAGGCTTTTTCTTGTTCGCTGTTTTCATCATCGTCGTCATTGATTGTTTTTTCTTATTATTATCTAGAAAATCAATTCGAGAATCAGCTACATCATCATCGTCAACAACAGCAGCAGCAGCGGGGGGTACTATTGGAAATAATATGACTGGTAGTACAGCAAGTGCATCCTCATCATCTTATCGTCGTCCTCCAGATTTAAACAATACAAGTATGACATCAAGTACAACAGGACCGACAACTAATGATAATAGTCTTGCTGTTGATGGTAGTAGTAGTGTCACAGGAGAGATTAAACCACGGTCACTTCGTTTTACATGGTCAATGAAAACAACAAGTTCAATGGATCCATCTGATATGATGAAAGAAATTCGAAAAGTAAAGAAAAAAAATCATCTTTTTTTCTTCCTTTATCCAGTTTTATAAGAGCAACCAGACTAAAAAAGTTGAGACTATTCTTAATGAATAGATCTTTTTTCGAAAAGATCAAAGTTTGAATTCCCAAATGATTCCTTCTAGTGAGTAGAGGATGTAAGAGTTTAGAAATGACCTGAAACTCCATTTTTTAGCTGCAAAATAGTTAGATTCTATTGTTTTTTATGATTGAATTCTTCTTCGTTCTTTCTTTACAAGTAAGACTAGATGGATACGAGTGTTTGTTTTTATTTGCTTTGTTACAAAAAAGCAAAATACTGTCAGCTGTGTCAAAAAACCTAAATTTGCCATGGGCAAATTTTATAAGATTGACTAAGAATAATCAAAATATGCACTTGAAAACTGAAATTCATTCCTCTGATTAATCTCAAGATTGAATTGACTTTGCTCTTATCTCCAAGTCAATCGAATTGAGAAATCTAAAACCAAGAAGAAAGAAAAAAACCAAATGCCTCATTAGTAAATCAATAATTGTAATGTTTTTTTAATATTTTTCTTAGGTTCTCGATATAAATAATTGTGATTATGAACAAAGAGAAAAATTTCTTTTACTTTGTGTGCATGGTGATCCAAATACAGATTCAGTTGTATCATGGGAAATGGAAGTATGCAAACTGCCACGTCTATCGTTGAATGGTGTTCGATTTAAGCGTATATCAGGCACATCAATCGGTTTCAAAAATATTGCGAGTAAAATCGCCAATGAACTAAAATTGTGATTAATTCCTTTTTTTTGTCTTTTGTTCCTTATATATGTTCATTGTCCTAGCATTTTTTTTTCTTTTTTAGTGATTGTATTTCGCATGAGTCTGTCTATTCTTTTTTTGTCTTACCCCCCCCCCCTCCCAAATGAATCAAATAACTAAACACACATAGTATACGTGTGTTTTTGTACGTGTTGTGGGTATAAGTCACAAACTAGGATCTCTCACTCGTTTTCTTTTTTCTTTCGTTCTCTGCTGTGCTGTTGTTCATGCCTGCAAGGCGTTTATTTTCTTCTGTCTTTTGTATGAGTGAGTGCTTACGAAATTCATCCATGAGAATCTGCTCTTATAAATAATTTTTTTCTTTGTTCTGCGCGTTCTATGCACACATGTAGATCATAGACTATAATGAAATACTACTCTAGTTTTTTCTCGAAAATACGGATGAACAAGATCGTCGTTGCTTTTTGCACACACGCAAAACATACCTCCATCAATAGATATTTCATTGAGATTATTTGCGCATTATTTATTCTTGATTTGACACGACCCTATAATATAGCCTGAAATAACAGTGTGTGTGTATTTGTATATCATGTGTGTTTTCATTAACTGCAGTGAAAAGAAATTTTTTTTCTTTTTCGGCCTCTGTCTTTGCTGTTTGTTTTCTGCTCTCATGCACATTCTATACTCATTTTGTCTGTCTTTTCTTTTCTTTTCTTTTTTTTTGTTGCGCGATATTTCTTCTTATACTAAAATTATACATCATAATTTTACCATCGGTTTCGTGCACACTCAAATCACATGTAACTTGTTAATTTTTGTTGTGCATGTATTGATTTTTTTGTTCGATTTCTCTGATATGCTGCTGGCTTTTCCTGTCTACCACTCTTATTCTCGTGTTCGCGAGATACGTTCGATTTCACGGTGCGTTCTTTTGGTGTTATCGTTCATATCTTCCTACGTAATCTATTTCATTCTTTTTTTTGCTGTGTGCGAGCGCGCTGTCTGAAAAGAATATACATACATTACATGAAACATTCAAATGAATGTGTAACAAAGATGAATCCAATCTAAAAAAAATAATGAAATGCCGTTTCGATATCTGTACGAAAGGTATGTATAGAAAAGGCCGAAACTAAAAACGTCGAAAAAAAAATGCCGAATATGTTAAAATAAGATAGCTTGGATTATTCAAATATAAATAACTTTATTGAAGCTTTAAAAATAGAACTCGTTTAAAATCAGACCTATATGAGTGTGGGTGAATATGAGAGTGAGAGTGTGGGTATGGATGTGCGCATGAGTGAGGATGAGGGCGACTGTGCGGGTGAGCGTGAGGGTACGGATGAGGATGTGAGTACTCTTAACGGCAATGCCAACATCTGAACGCTCTAGATCATCGTGTCATACTCTAAAAAAAGATAAGTTCTATAACGAACTTAAAAAGGTTCTTCCCTCAACAGATGAGAAGAATCTTTTTGAAGGTTTCGAAAAAATTCTAAAAAAATTTCGTACCAATCGACGGAACTTAAAAAGGTTTCGCATGAAAGTACTAATCCTTGAGGTTTAGTGATAAGCCTTTCAAGGTTTTGCACAGAACCTTAAAGAATTCTGTCCGTGTGCCCGAGTGAAGAACCTTTTTTAGAGTGTACAATGGACAATCAGAAAAATATCATAAAATAACTCTAGCTGTCAGCAGGATACAATTCAATGCTAAATTGTTTACTCAAATCATTCTCGACTTTTTCGATATTTTTGTAAGTTCGACATTTTTTCTTTCGATATTTTTTATCTTTCAGTTAGTTTTTTTTCGACGTTTTTCGTTTCGACAGTTTTTGTTTCGACCTTTTCTATATCATTCGTACGAAAAGTATCATCAAAAAAATCTATTCAAAATTCATTCTTTCAACAGCAAATAGACACAATCAATGCCTAGTTCTAACTATCGAAAGTCCTCAAAGGCTTTTTAGGGTTAGCTTATTACTGAATAACTAATATATATTTGGTAATATTTTTTATTAATAAACAAAAAAGTAAGATCTATGAAAAAACTTGTTTTTCGAATATCAATTTGAGATGTGCCTGGCAGGATAGGTCTTGACGCGAAAATATATTCATGCATATAAACAAACTGATTGTATCTTAGATATTGAACGATAAAGTAAAATTCGAACCAGCAATTCTTTTTGTTTAATGAATATATTTATATACAAAATTTCTAAAACAAAAATTGAAAACATGATTTATGCACTTGGAGAATCATCACGTAAATTCTCATTTGATTTGAACTAACACATTCCTTCAAAGTTTGAAACGAAAAAGATAGTGTTTTCTAATACATTGATATGTGGCGTTCTCTATAATAACTCCTAGCACACAATGATTGTACCTTTTTACTGTGGTCCATCAGCACTACCAATCCAGTTAAAGATGATTCCAATTTTCTATTCCTGAAAAAAAAATACTCTTTAAATATTTCAAATATGTTGTCGGCAACATCAAAAGATCAACAACATCTTTTTTCTAGTTATCGTGCATTAGGTTTAGTTACTAATCATGTACCCTGTATACTACGTATACATCAACGCCATTCATCTCATTTACTTTTAACTGCTATCGGCAAAGTATTTCATGCGCATCGTCTTAACACACTCCAAGTATTACTTGTTAGTGATGCTCATCCAGAAGATATTCAAGTACTTGCATCAAATAGTCGGCTAGTATTTGCTGCTGCTGGTTCAACAATTTATGTTTATCGTCGTGTATTTCATCTTCATCAAACTTTAACTGATCATAAGGGTGATATTAAACATTTATTACCATTTGGTGATGAACATTTAGTTAGTGTCGATGAATCAAATACATTACGCGTATGGGATATTCAATCAGGAAGTGTTTACCTATCACTTGAATTCAATACACAAAATTTTCATATAACAAGTTTACTGCATCCAGCTACGTATGTTAATAAATTATTAGTAACATCACGTCAAGGTACTATGCAACTATGGAATATAAAAGCTAATAAACTATTACATGAATTTTTTACTAATGATACAAAATCGAATTCTATAACTACAATTGCTCAATCAACTGTCGTCGATGTTGTTGCGATTGGTTATAATGATGGTCAAATACGTTTACATAATCTTCGTTATGATGAAACTCTAGTTACATTTACACAAGATTTTAATGGACCAATAACATCTATTGCTTTTCGTCTTGATAATATTCCGCATATGGCAACGGGCTCATCAACTGGTCATATTTGTATTTGGAATTTAGATACATGCCATTTAATCAGTCAAATGCGACAAGCACATAAAGAATGTGCTATAGCTTCACTTCATTTCATACCTGGTGAACCATTACTAATATCCAATGGTAGTGATAATGCTTTACGCGAATGGATATTTGATATGCCTGATGGTCAATCATGTCGATTATATCGTGAACGTTGTGGACATTCGAAATCGCCACGTTGCGTTCGTTTTCATGATAATGATATTATACTTTCAGCCGGTAATGATGGACGTTTACGAACATTTCATACGATACTTGATAATCTTTCACGTTGTTTTGGTCGTACAACGCGATATAAATGGGAACTGGAATTAAACGAAAGCGAAGACGATAATAATGAAAATGAAAGTACAGAACAACCACTACCAATTGTTGACTTACGATGTGAAGTTATTAAAGAAAATGATTGGGATGGTATTGTTGCTGTACATGAAAATCGAAGACGTATATCCGCTTGGAATTATATTCGAGCTACACGTAGTCAACATCGTTTTGAACATGAAAGATTTGCAACGAAAGTTTATCATAATGTTGATGTTGTTGCGACTTGTTGTGATATTAGTCCATGTGGAAATTTTTGTGTTATTGGATATTCTACTGGACATATCGATATGTATAACATGCAATCGGGAATTTATCGTGGATCATTCGGTAAGAATTATTTTGACAACTAGTGATACATGATTTGATGTAAAGGATAGAAAGCTTTGAACTCATCGATCGTCTCCTGATCAAAGATCATATATCAGTAATTCTTTATTTCGATGTATAGATTAATGAGATCCGATGAATTGCATTGCATATTATAAGGCCAGAGGCATTATGCTGACAGCTTTTATGTAGTAATTTTTAATATGCCTTCCGTTTTTTGCTTATATAGATGATGGTCCAATAAAATTTGCTGCAAAAAATCCGAGCAAACGTTTGAAATCTTCTCCATATGCAACAGCACATTCATTTGCTCTGTGTGGTATCTCATTTGATTCACTGAATACCCGTCTTATATCATGCGATTCAAATGGAAATATCAAATTATGGCGTTTAAAAACAAAAACTCTTATTTCATCATCATCTGTTTTTAATCAAGAAAATTCCGATGAAAAAATTACAATAACAAAAATGATTGTGCATCGTGATAGTGGTCTTATTGCACTTGCATTCAATGATTATACAATAAAGATATTTGATTTTGATACAATGACTTGTAAATGTATTCGTACATTTAAAACTAACAGTCATAAAGAAGAAATAACAGCATTAGCATTTATGCCTGATGCACGATGGCTATTATCAACATCATTAGATAAAACAATGCGTATATGGGATATACCAAGTGGACAATTAATTGATACTATTGAATTTGATCAAGCAATAATAACAATAGCTGTAAGTCCAAATGGTGATATGTTAGCAACAGGACATACCGATGCCTTAGGTGTTTTTCTATGGTCAAATCGTTCTATGTATGATAGTTCAATTATTCGTACAACAAATGATGTTGATAATCAAGAATTATTAGTTGGAGACTTTCAATCGCCGGAACAAATTTCCAAAAATTTACTAACACTTTCAACATTACCAGAATCAAAATGGAAAAATTTGCTTGTACTTGACACCATACGTCAACGAAATAAACCAAAAGAAGCAATAAATATACCTAAGCAAGCACCATTTTTTTTGCCAACTGTATCAAACTTACGTGGGTTTGTTTTTATTAATCCCGATGATGAAGACGAAAAAAATAAAAAACAGTCACGTATACATCAAATTCAAAAATTTCTTCATGAATCATCATTAACAAATTTTCTTGATCGTCAAAAAGCAAGTTCATCATTATCAATTGACGTAATTAATCATTTAAAAGATCTTGGAATGGCTAAAATTGAATATGAATTAAGATGTTTATCACCTGAACAAGGTGGCTCATTAGAACGAATGTTCAAATTTATTGACATACTTAATCAAGCATTAGAAGAGAAACAAAATTATGATTTAGTTAGTTCATATTTAGCACTTTTTATACAATTACATGGAACAAGTTTCATATGGAAAAATGATGAATTAATAGAACAAATTCGAAAAATTCAATTAAAACAAAAAGAAACTTGGCTTAATATACAACGACAATTGAATACATCAATTGCATTGGTGAAGTATATTAAAAGTGTTACTACTATTTAAAATTAGTATTACGCTTTGTTTGTTTTTGTTGTTAAACATTGTTATTTGTTTTTGTTATTCTTTTTGGAAACAAAAAAGACAATAAAAATAAGATTTTTTTGACACATCATTCTATATGTGTGTATGCTTCCAGATATGCTCTCAAAAACAGTTTCGTTGGTTACTGGCGCCGGTAGTGGCATTGGCAAAAAAGTGGCACAATTGTTTGCTGCCCAAGGAAGTCGAGTTTGTGGCGTGTGAGTTTTAAGTAAAAACAAAAAATACCAAGGTTTCTACTGACTTTAGCATGATGATTACGTAGTTTAATAAGTCTAACCTTTCAACATATCTAGCACTTTCTTTGCTGTTTGCAAGTCCAAACGGTTACGTTTATATTGTTATGTTTTTTTATTGAAGAAAAATGAAAGAATCTATTTTAGAGACGTCAAATCATTCGATTCATCATGCGAACATTCATTTGTAAGTGACATAGGTCAACGTCAGTCTGTTGTTAAATTAGCTGATGAGATCTTTTCTCGTACTCAATCATATCCAACAATAATTGTTAATGCAGCTGGTATAACAAAAGATTCATTACTATTAAAAATGCGGGAGGAAGATTTTGATGACGTTATTCGTGTTAATTTAAAAGGAACATTTCTGATCAATCAAATTTTTAGTCAACGTTTATTAGCAGAAAATCCGACTGATTTAAAAGCAAGTATTATAAATATATCAAGTATTGTGGCAAAATATGGTAATGTTGGTCAGTGTAATTACACGGCATCGAAAGCAGGCGTTGAAGCCATGACAAAATCTATGGCTAAAGAATTAGGACGTGCTGGTATTCGTGTTAATGCTATATTACCAGGCTTTATTCAAACGCCAATGACTGATAAAATTCCGGATAAAGTGAAACAAAAGTTATTAAGTAACATTGCCTTGGGTCGTATGGGTTCACCAGATGAAATAGCTCAAGTTTGTCTGTTTCTGGCTTCAAATAGTATGAGTAGTTATGTGAACGGAGCAAGCATTGATGTAACAGGCGGACTTTGAACGTGGCGTTTTTCAATTTGATTTATTTGCTAGGCGTAATTTTTTTTCATTATTATTATTATTATCAATAAAGTAAACGATAGAACCATTCAGTAGTGAATCCAAGATTTTGATAAAAAAGTTAACAACGTCTAAATAATGCTTTTCAATGGACCATGATTTGTTTACTTTTTGGAGTGACAGTAAAAGCATTTCCATGTACTCATGTTTCTCTATGCCACTTTCACAAAGGCAAACAAAACGCGAGGTTAATAAACAAATAGCTTTTATTAAAGTATAAAAATAAAATTTAAGATCTGAAGAAACAATCGTTGATTAAACTGACCAAAACAAACTCATCATGGGCATTTAAAAATATTGATATGTTTAATGTACAACTGATTTGACTCTATTCCTACTATTTTGATGGTTATTTTAACATTGTTTTTGTTTTCGAAAGGCAAATACAGTGTTTCAGGATACATCTTAAACTTAAAACTACTGGTCTAATTTATTCATATTTGAATCGAATAGGAAATATGAAAAATACGAATGTCTAAACGTAAACTGATATTTTTTACAGCTTTTTGCATAACTACAATATTTTCAATAGAACAAAAAATGAAGTGTCTATCTATTTTACAATACGTTCTGCCACGTGTTCAATGTTTTTGTACGTCAATTACAAGAGAAAGAATCGATGCTTTTTAAAAATTATACATTTACAAGACCAATAATACTTTATCTACGAACACATATAAATGCTGATCATTTTATTAAAGCATTGTGTGTTGGTCGTCCGAACAATTGTTTTCGAAATTAAATTAACATTAATAAAAACATACGAGCGAAGTAAAAAAAAGTATTTTTAATCTCGAGATTAAGTTTACCGAATAGATGGCACTGAAAGAATGATGTGATTTTCCAAGGATTTCTTGTCTGATAGTATCAAAATTCATAAAAATATATTTGCCTTCATAAAGTTGAAATCTATACGAGAAGACTTACCTATTTCATAAGATCTGATTGACTTGTATGCGCAATAGTTTCAATCTACTATTCGGGAAACGGAAAAAGATGGCTAACGTGAAATATTCGTGTCCGAAAAACTCTTCATCTTTAAATCTAACGTAAACTAAATAAATGATTCAAAATTTTACAAAAAACAAGCCATTATGCTCACTGCAATAGTGTTCTATCTATCTTCAAAGTTCAGCTATTCAATGTCGAAAGTCATTTTTTGAAAATTCTATTAATATTTTCAAATTAGACAACTTTTAAAACAGAAATACCATGAAAGTATTATATTTTATTTCAACTGGTCTGAGCAGAGCTCGAAACGGGGAGAATACTGTTGCTTTACGTCTTGACCCTCTTTACTTCGAGCTGAATTTTTTCCTAGACTATTTTATCACGTACCTATCAGATCGTTTTATAATTTTGGTTATACAATCTCTTTGATTGTTTATTTCAAAATATACTATAAGACGTCTTAAATATTGAAACTTGGCCTTACTCAAAACTTCACTTCGGCAGTCTCTAATAGACTTTTGAACTATCTTCGTAGAATGAAAATTACAAGCAAAAACTCAACAACAAAAAAATGTCGAAACATTAAAATAGCAATTGCCACTTAGTTAAATTCAATTCAAAAATTCTCATGTAGTCCTACGTATACAATGAATTGATATGTTTAATTTAATCTTTTTTCAAGCTCTACGAACTTCACTTCTTTATTAGAACTGATCTATTTCGACAACTGAATAGCATAGCTGAAATGTATTAAATATGATTGGTATTTAATTTCCAATCAAATGCTGAACAGTTTATGTTTTTTCGTTGACATATAGCAATTCTGTCGCTACAGAAAAAATAAAATAGTTCGTTTAAAATGGAATAAATCGAAAAATGAATCTTAGACATAGTTTTTTCGCTTTTAATAGCACACGCAAAGTTCTAGGTAGAGTTTAGTGTGAGAAACTACTCTATCAATAAGTATTTATTCACTCTATTGCGCTTGTTTTTCATTTATCTTAAATGATAAATATAGAATTAACGACCGGTTAAGAACTTCATAAATACATAAAATAGTGAGTAGGTTATATTCATTTGAACGCAACAACCTCTATCACGGTCATTTAGACACACTATTTAGATGCGCAATCTATGGATAAGTCACTTTTCTTATTAAATCTTCTCATGAGTAATCGTCAAGGATTCATTAATGCGATGCGAAGCAGAAGCATTTATGTAGTCCGTCGCGAGTTTTTTTTATTTTTTTATTTTTTTATTTTTACTCACTTGACGTACGCATCACAAGTCGTCATTTTGTCTCGCGATGATCTCGAGAACCGAAAATCGTAGGAAACTCCTTGAAACGTGAGATCGAAGAATCAAGATCGAACCTCTTACATCTCTTTTCGAATCTTTAAACTGAGGTTCCGTTCACTCACAAATGTGGTTTCAAAATGACAAAAATGAAAGAAATTTGTTGCAAGATAATTAAAGTGACGTCATCAACATATGTTAGCAACTATAGTCTATTCATTTACAGCTGATCTAAGATAATGAATCATGGAGATAATTAATCGATCAATCGAAATCGATCCTTAAGAATGTATCGCTACGTAAGAATAGAGTTTTCTCAGTGATGAATTTCATCATGTCGACATAAAAAAGTATTCAAGATTTCTCTGAATTGAAAATTTTTCGTGAATCCAGATTCCTGCTTCGCATCGCATTTCGTATTCGAGTGAAACTTGAATACCATCGAGTTTTTATTATTTTTTACTTCTTGACGTGCGCATCACATGTCGAAGTTTTCTGTCGCGATGATCTCGAGAACCGAAAATCGTAGAAAACTCGTTGAAACGTGAGGTCGAAGTATCAAGATCGAACTAAGAACATCTGTTTTCGAATCTTCAATCTGAAGTTCCGTTCACTCAGAAATGTGGTTCCAAAATGACGAAAATGAAAGAAATTTATCAAGAGATAACTAAAGTGACGTCATGAACATATTTTCGCCGCTATAGTCTATTCATTTACAGCCGATCTAAGATAATGAATCATGGAGATAATTAATCGATCAATCAAAATCGATCCTTCAGAATGTATCGCTAAGTAAGAATGGAGTTTTCTAAGTGATGAATTTCAATATGGCAACATAAAAAGTATTCAAGATTTCTCTGAATCGTAGATTTTTCGTGAAGATCCGATTTGAGGTTCGCATCGCATTTCGTATTCGAGTAAAACTTGAATACCATCTAGTTTTAATTGTACTTCATTTCAACTAGTTTATTCCGATTTGATTCGTATTGAGATTAACAATTCACAAAAAATTGAAAACGTTCTAAATTAGCCATGGCTGTTCTTGCATTTACAAAGATCCTGTTTTCTCAATCATTATATTTTATATTAGTAAATTAATGTGTTTTGAAACCATTGCTTATTCTACTTTAAGACACATTATTTTTGTGTTTACATGTTTAGTTTTTTCTACGCTTTTGTTTCAAATCAAGTACCTAATATTTACGTATGCTTGTGCATAGAATTCAATCAGCTGAATAAAATGATTCATCATTATAGATAATGTATCCACGGCGCAAAATAAAATCACATGAAAGTAAATAAATTCAATTATAAATGACTAAACGGAACAACGTTGTAAATAAAATAATGTACGGTACTAGTGCAATACACCACTATTCACTAAAATTGTCCATAAACGATCTTGTTTCAGGCGCTCTGAATAATCGATCTGGATATTTTGAACAAAGACAAAGAAAATTATTTTTTTTTCAATAGAGAAACTCGACAGAAAGGATTCGACTTTAGGGGCATTAGCAGGATCCTTTCACTGGAGACAGGCATATACTAGCAGACATTTTTATGCATTGTTCTACGACGAAAGACAAATCGAACGTAAACGACATTTCAAACTACCAAATAAATGATAAAGAGTATTAAAGGAAAAATGAATTCATTCTGTATTGAACTTGAAAAATTTAACCATCTTTTTTTTTTCTAAGATAGAATAATGCAAGAACGCTCCAATGTAGTGTTACCATATTTTTCCAATCAACGAATCGAGAATAAAAATCGTAAAAGTATATCACGTGTTTATTTTTACGACTTCGAATACAATCAAATCAGGTGCTAATGAATCATATTGAATAATCAACAGATTTGTCTCTCAAATGAGTTTTGATCGTTTCTAAATAGTACTAATTATAGAACGTGAAATTTGCATGCTGAACAAGACGTGCGCCGCACTAAAACTATGCATAACCACATAGCCTGAAACAACTTATCAGCTTAAGTAATTTATTTGACTTCATTGTATTATGTAATAATTATTTTAGGGCAGCAAGTCGACTCTGCCTGTGGGGTAGGTTATCATTTACCCCAAAACTGGTTGCCACAAATCAATCCCCATTTATGGTAATAAAATGGGAATATTGATTTAGTGTTTTTTTTTTGAATTCGCTAAGCGTAATAAAAACAGTTTTACGATGAATCTGGCGATCAGAATATATCTTGGGTTACTATAAAGTGTAGTTTTTGCCGGCCCACAATATATTTTCGTCACCAGATTTACCCAAAACTTCTTCGTTGTGGTAACCCAATATACATTCTGGTCACTAGATTCATCGTAAAACTGTTTTTCTTATGTTTAGCCAATTAAAAAAAATCCACAAATCAATATCCTCACTTTATTCATTTGATTACCCTAGATGGGGATTTGATTTGGGGATTGATTTGTGGTAACCAGTTTTGGGTAAATGATTGGCATTCTTTTAATCATTAAATGAACTTTCGCTTGTTTATACTGCCACATTTAAATATTTCTTAGGACTTTTATTAATTCCGTCGGTTTCTTTTCCCGAATTAACGTCTAAAAATCATCGAGTTAGTTTTCTGAAAACACGGGTTCGCGATATAATGTTCATTCAGCACTCCAAAAATCTGCTGCTCACACATTAGACAGAATGTTGTGATCGTAGTGAAAAATCGTTCGAATCAATATTCAATCTATCACAACACTACTGCAAAAAAAGTCAAATCTATTCAAACACAAAGTAACCTTGCAATTATGTTTCACGGAACTGGTTTCAATCTGCACAATACTCTAAATCAAAATCGAACTTTACTGAATAGATAAAATGTGTGTTGAAAGATGTCATCTACTATACAAACGAATCAGTATACAGTCACGGTTGCTCAAATGTACGTGAAAACTGTTTCTTACTTGCATGATTAATTTATGACTCAAGTTTTTTGCATATAATAGTGACTGCATACATAAAAAAATTGTAAACGCTCTTTTTTTTCTCTCCTAATTTTTACTCATATTATCAACGTTGAAAAAATATTAACCAAATGTTTACACTCAACTGTGCAAGTGTTAATGAATGAGAGACTGACGTCAAGTCGTGTACGCCCCTGTTATTTTTCTTTCGTGTACATTCTTTCAGTTTAAAGGCATTTTATACCTTGGAAAAAGTCCTTGATGGGCGATGGATACATTTTGAGGTTACTCTTGTTTATATATGATGATTCGAATATATATGTATATTGTCTGTAAAAAAACTGGAGCGTGGCAAATCGATCTATATTGAAATCGCTGAACTATTTAATTGTCGTAAAAAAGAGAAGACACTAACTAGGAACCAATTTATTACCAGTAGAATCAGTTGGTTGAGTAGTAGGCTGTATATAATGCTTTGTTGACTTATTGAATATGTTTTATATAGGCAATGCGTATGGTATATTTTTGGATCATTCCAAAAGTGATATTGGAATTATTTTTCTCCTCATTCTAGACTTATTTCATAATTGAATGTTGAATTAAAAAGTGTAATGGGTGACAACGTTTCTTTAGGCTTCGTTCTGCGCAAAACATCGTTCAAACATTTAGAGCAAACGAGATAACTGATGATTTGCTGTATCAGAGAAGAAAAAAAATACAAAGAACAAAAAAAAGGTAGTCATGCATATTTTCTTAGATACACATCATTGACGATCGCAATTGTCAACTGAAAAGCTATAAAAATGAAACAAAAGTCCAGTGCATCAAATGTATATGTTTTCTTTCATTTTGATTACCTTTAAACACGCCTAGTTTTATTCGTCTTCTCTTATTATCGCTTTTACTTTATAGTATCACTTAGTATATGATGATGTATCATTAAGATTCGTTTATTTCCCTTTTTCTGATATGCGCACTAACAATTTTCACTCATCTTGATGAAATTCATCAAAAACCAAAATCCTCATTTCTCTCGATTTTGTTACCGAATTTACCCTATTCTTATTGTTAGTAGACATGCCGTTAACATTTGGTGTTAATAGGCATTCACAAACTAGCAATATGAATAACATCATTGTTGTTAGTGGGTTGGCAGCAACAAGGTCGAAAAATGAATATCGAACTATGCAGGGTGAATGAAGATAATGCTTTGCATAAGCAACATAACTAAATGCTGAAGTATATTCAAGAAACCAACTGACAATGAATGAAAACAGTTCTCCTTCGATGTTCGTGTCTATTGCTTCACATGTTATTTATTCTTGAACGATGTCTATCATGTACAAGGATGAGAAAATATCATGTTCATCTAAGTAGCTAACTAGCTATAGAATAAAAAATATTTATCGTTCTTTTAAGCTTAGATCGAAACCTACAAACACGAATCTTCTACAATCCGCGATTTTTAATTTCTAAAACATCATGTCTTGCTAAATATCTAAAAGTGCATCTCTCCTTCATCCAGTAATTTTTATGGGTACTTTGCCCTATTCATTTCTATGTCATGCTTCTAAAACAAGACCTGAATTCATCCAACTTTATAACAATCTAGATATAAAACTGATTTAAGTCAATATGGCAGAAGATAAAAATGGAGACACTAAAAATATCATCATCAAATTACCACAAGATCCGATTAAAAATCTAACAGTCGCAGAAATGTATGATAAAGAAAAATATGACTTATCAATAATGGAAGAAGGTGATGTATTTACCATGCTAGAGTAAGTGAAAATCTTTTAAACGATCATAACTTCCTAAATGAAAACTAAAACCGTCTCGTTACAATTTCAGTGCCACTAGAGAAGGTTTAACCGATGAAGAAGTTAATGAACGTCTTATAAAGGTATGAGAACTTTCTTTTAATTTCACTGTTTCATGCTATATTGCTTTTTCAGTTTGGACATAATCGACTTGAACATAAAGAAACAAGTGCCATCATACAATTTCTTCTCTTCATGTGGAATCCACTTTCCTGGGTGATGGAAGCAGCAGCTATTGTCGCTATTGTTGCTTCCAACGGTGGTGGAAAACCTCCCGATTGGGAAGACTTTGTTGGAATCATTCTTCTTCTTCTTGCTAACTCAATTATTGGTTTTGTTGAACAACGTAATGCTGGCAATGCTGTTAAAGCGCTCATGGCATCATTAGCACCCGAAGCAAAAGTCAAACGAAATGGTGAATGGAAAGTTATAGACGCAGCTGACCTTGTTCCTGGTGATATCATCAGTGTCAAACTTGGAGATGTGATACCAGCTGATGCACGTTTAGTTGGTAAGTCATCTCGTTTTCTTTCTATTTTCATGACAACCACTTTTATGCAACATATTCCATTTTCAAACTTTTAGCTGCACATGGCGGAGTCTCAATTGATCAAGCAGCATTAACGGGCGAATCACTTCCTGTTAATAAAGTCGCTGGAGATGAAATATTTTCGGGTTCAACTTGTAAACAAGGCGAGGCAGAAGCGATCGGTAGCGATGCATTTCATTCTAGTTCGGTTATACATTTTCGCTTTTAGTTATTGGCACTGGCCTAAATACATTTTTCGGACGAGCCGCTAAATTAGTTGGAAGCGCTAGTGATGAAATCGGTCATTTACAGACGATTCTTGCAAAAATTGGTAATTTTTGTATTATTGGTATAGTTATATTTCTAGTTGCAGAAATTCTTGTCATGTAGTATGTATTCATAAACACAAAAATACAGAAAGAATCACTTTCTAGGATCCTAACTTTCATTCATATTTTTAGTGCTGGTTTTCGTTACGAATATCGACGTGGTATTAATAACTTGTTAGTCCTGTTAATCGGTGGCATACCCATAGCTATGCCAACCGTTTTATCAGTCACATTAGCTATTGGTGCGAAACAATTATCTCAACACAAAGCTATCGTTACACATATTACAGCTATCGAAGAACTTGCTGCTGTTACAATATTGTGTTCGGATAAAACTGGAACATTGACATTGAATAAACTTGAAATTGATAAACCCACTGTGAAGCAATATTCAAACGTCGAGATTAATGAGATCATCCATTATGCAGCTATTGCATCACGTACAGAGAATCAAGATGCTATGTAAGTTTGCCAAGAAACTAATCTATACAGAAGATATAAAATGATTGTTGATTTTAGTGATACATGTATAACAGGAGCTTATGGTGATGTTAAAACGATACGAGCGGGTATTGAAGAATTGGAATTTAAACCGTAAGTCAGATGATATATTGTTTTCTCGCCTTCATAAACGATTGCGTGGAATCTTTTCTTTTTGCAGTTTCAATCCTACAAATAAAAGAACAGAGATAACATATAAGACAACCAGTGATGGAAGTGTACATCGTATTAGTAAAGGTATGTCACATTCTATATTGGATTTGTGTACGCGCAATAAAACACCAGAACAAATAAAGCAGTTGAATGCTGATGTCGATGAATTCGCTCTACGAGGTTTACGCGCATTAGCTGTTGCAATCGAAGATGTGCCAAGTGGACAAGTCGATGGTGAAGGAAATGGTTTCGAATTAGTTGGTCTGCTACCAATTTATGACCCACCGCGGTCAGATACAAAAGAAACGATTGAGCGTGCTATTGCATTAGGTAAATGAATATAGTTTATATGTTTTTTTCTGCATGAAACTAAATAGGCGTGAAAGTGAAAATGATCACTGGTGATCAACTAGCTATCGCTAAGGAAACTGGGCGACGACTTGGCATGGGTGACAACATGTACCTGTCGAAAACACTTAAAGATGGACCACCACCTGAATCTGGCTACCGTGATGTTGATGATTTAATTTTACATGCTGATGGCTTTGCTGGTGTTTATCCTGAACATAAATATGAGATTGTTGAAAAGCTACAAAATCTAGGATATATGATAGCGATGACTGGTGATGGTGTCAATGATGCACCAGCGCTTTCCAAAGCTAATGTCGGTGTAGCTGTTGCAGATGCATCTGATGCAGCACGTTCAGCTGCTGATATCGTTTTAACCGAACCTGGTCTATCAGTCATCATTGAAGGTAGGAAAATTGCGTTCTTATTCTCTAAATTTGCTTCTGAAAACGAAACTTTTCCCGTCTAAATAGCTATTCTTGGTTCAAGACAAATTTTTCAACGTATGAGAAACTACGCCATTTATACATGTTCAATAACAATTCGTGTCATAGTTGGATTTTCTGTTTTAATATTTGCATTTAAATTCGATTTTCCATCATTTATGGTAAAGATAAATATTTCTTTGATTCGAACAAAATTTTGATTGATATTAAATTATCTTAAGGTACTCATTCTTGCTATACTTAATGATGGTACAATTATGACTATTTCGAAAGATCGTGTTAAACCTTCTCCCTATCCGAATAGTTGGAATTTAACTGAAATCTTTACGTATGCCATTGTGTACGGAATATATTTAGCTGCATCGACAGTTGCGTTTTTTGCTGTAGCCGTTGAAACAGACTTTTTTCAAAAGTTCAATGTGAAAACTATCACCTACGGTAACTCGTCCAGTTCATATCGAGGGTGGAACGATCCGATTTTACACTCTGTAATTTATTTACAAGTATCCACAATCAGTCAAGCATTGATATTCATAACGCGTGCTCATGGTTTCTTTTTCAAGGAACGACCATCAGTAATATTAGTTGTTGCTTTCATGATAGCTCAACTTGTTGCAACATTTATTGCAGTATGGGCTAATTGGGATTTTACTGATATTAAAGGTTGTGGTTGGAACTGGGCTGGCGTTGTTTGGATATGGAATATTGTTTGGTTTTTCCCACTCGACGGTATTAAAGTAAGAGAGAAAGAAAAGTTGGTTTTGCTTTTTTAAGATTTTTATTTTCGCATAATATAGTACGCACTTCGTGCTTACTTTGATCCAATACAAAAGCGAGCTATTGAAGAGTTATTAACACCCGAGCCTTCAACACAAGCACAAACTATTCGGCGTAAAAGTACATTGGCTGCTGCTGCTAGTGGTCCGCTGTCACGTCGTTCTACGATGGCTCGTGGTGAAGGTTCACTAGGAAGAAGAGGAACATTTATTGAAGCAACTGCAAAATTTTATACGCCTCTAACAAAACATTTATCAACATCACGGTTTCATCGTAATTTCGCTCGAATGCTCAAAAGTGAAGGTGCCAATGCTCCAAGAATCGCTGTGGATCATGATGAGCTTCGACGTTTCTCACTTGTACAGGTAGACGCGATATTGTTCTTTTTTTGACTTCTCTACATGTCTCATAATACTTCCAGGCTCATCATGCGTCCAAGCTGCTCAATCCAAAAGGTACAAATACGAATCGTAGAATAACAACTGCTTTGTAAGAAAGAATCTTGAATGTTTATTATTATACAAGTCGAACTCGTTCGAATTTTTCTGTAGCTGCATGATATGAATTTTTTTTTATTCTGTGTTTTCTGTTCGGACTATGCTGAACCTGTGTGTATTGACTTTTTATTTTGAATAGTTTTCTTGAAATTCAAAAACGAAAATAAATGACTGCCAATCTATTTATGTTTTACGTAAACATTCAATAAGAAATAGATCGCCATGGTCGTATGGATCATCCGTACTTGTATGTGATATTTGAGTGTTCGTGTTATGAACACATGATTGAGTATTCTGTTTTAGTGTTTCATTGGTGAAATTCGATGCTTGGTGTGTTGCTTTTGAATTAGTATTTTCTGTGATATCAACATTCAATATTGCGTTTCGAATGGTTTCTTCAAGTTCAGTGTCATAGGTATCGTCAGTTCTATGCATATCAAACATATCATCACAATTAATATTATTTGTTCGCGCTACTTTTTCAACTTTCAGTTGGATTTGAATAATTTTTTTACGCATTTCTTCTAGTTCGTCATCAGTTTCTGGATTGAACATTTCATGATCAATTTTCATCAAAAGCTTTTTCATTAAACGAACGAATTTGATTTGTTGTTTTATTTGTTGTTTATATCGAATAGCACCCAATTCTTGACGTGCTCGTCTATCTGCAGACGATTCACGATAAATTTTATTCGGTGGTATGCGTTGACCTATACTAGTGTAGTTTTGATAATTCAGTGCTTCACGACCTTCATTCCGTTTCGAAAGTGAAGTTAGTGCTGCTAATAATCCAAACATACTTTTTATCACAATGGCTTTATTTCAAGCGCGAAAATGTCTATGATTCTATTCTGTAGTTTCAGCTTGTTTATAAATCCTCTCTGAAATATCAAAAAAACAAATTTTTTTGGAATCACTGCATTCCATTTCGAAATGGCTGATTTCATAAATATTGTTTTGATATCATAACTCATCTTACTCATTCTTTCTGTAGGAATCATTTTCATAAAATAAGATAGCATACCTACATGTTTAATCATGACACATTCGCTATTTTATTATTCTTTTTATCATCAAACGTACTTTGCACCTCATACACAGGATGACCGTTGAGAGCATGCTGATTTTTATCAAGCATAATAATTCGCTGAAAAAATAAAGATTTCTCAAATTTTCAATGTATGGATGGAATTAAATTTAAAAAATAAAGTATTTTATTTCTTTTGTATTGCTTCGGTACGTTCGAATCATGCATCCGATGACGTCAAATCTACCTACATGATAGGTAGAGGGCCGATGCGAAAGTTTTTTGACAGCTAGACAAATATATCAAAGTCCATATATGAGCTGTAGGCATTAATAAACCTATGCTAAAAACAAATTAATGTTTGTTATTCTTGTATTTCTAAGAAAGCGCCACGTAAACTTCTTTTAGTTAATTTCTAACAACAAAGAACGTGAACTTTTTAATGTAAAAAAATAATAGTACGTGACTTTGTCCCAGCACTTTGTCTAGAAAAACAGGGCATAATAGATAGATTCAAGTTAGCTACGATCATGTTCTACATATCAGACAGAAGAAAATACGGAGTTCGTTTTATTGTTATTGAAAATGATCTAGTATTCAAACTATCATATGATATGAATTGAGTCTTATTTTTATGTGGTATATCTCAAATTTCATGAAAGCATGATTGCTATCGTAAAATATAATGGTTTGTATCGTACTATATTCAAATATTTGAATGTTACAAGGCTTTCCCGTACTTCCAAAGTGCAATGCTCTTCAAACAAAGAAATTATCAAGCATCTTGAAATATGAAAACGTCATAGAAAAATAATATCGTATATGTCCTGTCATACAAGTGCTTTGCATTTTGTTTTTTGAAAATTAGTTAATAGACTCAATAATCAAAAGTGTATGACCTAGCGTTTTTCTGTATGCTGTAATTAACTAATTCTATGTTTGTTCTACATTGAACTTCAACTATTATATACACATACAATCGTGGCCATTTTAACTAATATCGTATTTTCTTTTTTTTGCTCCTCATCGTACATAACATAATGATTTAATAAATTTTCTCTATTGACTTCCGTGAGACATCACGCAATGAGTAGGCAACACGCTATGATATTTCGTGTGATCACGATGACGAAATGAATGATAAGCAAGCAAAATGCAGAAAAAGACGCAAGTCAACTGGCTGATATTAAACTCGGGGGTCATAAATCTATCTTAAAACTATTAAATTATCAAACATGAATATAAACAGGGCAAAAAATTTTTTTAACCATTCATAGAAAGAACGACTTTTGCTGAAGCGAGCTATTTTTGATTCTTTTTCTATACATTTCTAAGTACATTTGAAAATTTTATAAAAATATTTTCTTCGCTAAAATTGAATCAGAATAAATGTATTAGGGCAAATGAGAAAGTATGTTTTTACATTTTTCGATGCGGTCTTACCATATCCATTCTGAGATTGAATAAATGCAGTAATTTATATATTTTAGATTCTATAAAACTTTTAAAACGTATTATTATTAATATTTCTCTTCCCATAGTGTGATCATACAGATTGAAAAAATAGAACAAACAAATACTGTAAACAGCTTTCAATTAATTTTAGCGTATCAAAAACTAAAAAACGAAAGGAAAACATGCTGCTATTCTGCATTCTAAAGAAATCCAAACAATTTTTATGTCATATGCGAAATGAAAAGACTTCATCATCCGGTAAGACTGATATTCTTCGTTTTTTTATTTATTATCTTTTCTAATAGGATAAAATGATAGTAGTGATGTCCAATAGTCAGCTCTGATTAATTCTCATGTTTCTTTTTAGTCCTGAAACATGTAGCTATATACACAAGGATATGATATCAAAGTTTGATATTGATGATAATATTGATATGTTGTTCTGTTTGGTTTCTTTTGCACGTACACTCGTTTATTCTTCACTAATAACAAAATATAGGGGCTTATTTGAGGATGAAGCTACTATTTGAAATACAGTAAGATACACTCTCATCGATCAGAAGACAGCTGAGTGTCGAAAGGAAACAGAAAGAAAGAAAGAAAAAGAAAAAGAAATATTCAATCCTATGTACATAACGAAAGGAAAGAAAAGTCTTCTTTTTTTCTCTTCTTTTCCTATCCGTAGAAAAAAAGGCGACCGAAGAAGACTTTCTTCTCTTTTCATTTTCTCTGTCATCTCGTTCTCTGACACAGCTTGCTTGCATCTGATCGCTTCGCCAAATAGATTAGTGTGAAGAGTGATTACTGTTCATATCACATTGTCGACTGACGAGAAGTATCCCGTTGTCGGACTCCATATCAACTCGACACGGGGAAAGCAAAGTTGATTATGGGGGTATCCTCGGTAATGATTACATTTTCTGACGAAAACTAAAATAATGGAACACCGAACAGCTATCCCAGATACCAACCATGAAGATGACTGTCAGCTCATATCTTTCACAAATAAATTACCCTATTATGTAAGACATTTATGCAAATCTACCAATAAAAACAAGACAGCTGTCATATCACAACCAAGTGAGTATTTGAGAAAACATTACACATATTAGTAAATCATGTTTAATAAGAAAATGAAAAATACTTTATTTTGATATTAATCAATAGTCAACTGCTTTCTTTTTTGACACTTGATAAGATGTTTAAATTAAAAAAGATTAATGAGAGTCTAGAAAAATGAGAAGGAAAAACGAGCAACTGTCGATGACTATCAAGGCTATATATCTCAAGGAACAACAGAAAAATGTCGAGATTTCTAACAAAAGATTTTAATTCTATTCATGCAAATTACCAGATTGTAAATTCAGAATTTTACATGAACTCTATTATAAACTCAAAAATACCTGTTTTACATTCAGTGATTGGATGTCATTGCAGTTTACTCATTCAATGGGCAAAACTTGATATTCTAATTTTTTTTTCTGTCTGAGTGAGTGTCTATGTTTGCCTTTGCGTACACATGAAGTAACATCTGTTTCTGTTTGGTAGCTTGTTATTGTTGTTGGGTGGTTTGCACTGGTGATGGCCATCACCTCCACCACCTACTCCTACTTCTCCTACTCTACATAACAACGATGTGAATTTTCTTTTTTACGAATTATATTATTGAGATTTTTTTTCCTTTTTGTCGTTCTCTTTTTTTTTGGTACTTATTGATACAAACAAAAAAGGTTCTTTATTGTCTCGTAACCTTGAATGTCTTTTTCTCATACTTGATCGTTCGTTTGCAATGCGCATACCAAGGTTTTATAGCTAATTGCATATTTTTCTTATCATTTTTTTCTCATTTTTTTAAATATGTTCTATGACTTAAATCGTATATTGAACAGCAAGGTTGTCATGAATAGTAGTAGTAGTAGTATTGATAGTGATAAAACATGATAAAGATGATACTACAAGGTCTCAGTTGTAGAAGTAAATAAAAAAAAACCAAGGCATATGTAAGAAATAGAAAGAGAAGAAAAGGGAAGTTTTGTTTTTGTTGTTATTATTTTGCAGCTTTGGTAACGTCAGTGTTCTTACAAGGACGTTCTCTCTCGTCTTCCTTTTTTTCCCCTCTATTGTTGACAAGAGAAAAAAACTGAACCAGTGTATGATTGTGTTTGCGTGAGAAGAAAGTCCTCATGACCTTGTGGTTAGCGTTAGTCCCTAGTAGAAAGAAAACGAAGGAAAAGAATAAGACAAACAGATGATTCGTCTATCTCTCTTCCCTTTTGCTTTGTATTAACGCCGCGTCCAAAGTACACGCGTTTTAGGCGAGAGTACGTATTCTTTTTTTCTCTTGTCTAATCGTGATAATTAACGGTAAAAAGCATTGTTCTCTCGATTTCAAAGGTTTTTCTCCGTTAAAGATGATTTCTTCTATTCACATCATTACCGTTGTTGTCTCAAATAACAGCTTTTCTTCTTCAGTTAATTCTTAAACATGAGGGTCTTTTCTCCTCCTTTAGAACAAGAATCTATCCGTATATTGATATGTTCAATCAACAAATACCGCCCGACGAATGATTTTTGACAGCTTCGTTTTCTGTTTAAATAATTATGTAACTTCAGCTAGTATCATCAGTTTGAGTGTATCTGACAACTAATGCATCCTATACGCATTGCTATGTAAAGAAGAACCTTGGACACGTACGCGGTGCAATAGTAACAGAAAGAAAAAGAAAAAAAATGAAAGAATGGAGTAAGAGAAGTGTCAAGAGAGAGAGAAATAATATTCTCGACCAAACGGACGAGTACATTTTCTCTCCAGCTGTCGAAAAAGCCACTTTTGTATATATAACGTAGATTGGTTAGGGTAAAAGACAGACAGAAAGAGGAAAAAAATTTTCGATGGCCGCGTTTTATTGTACGATGGACATCGACCGACAGGCTAGGAAAAAAAGAAAGCAAAATAGCCGTTTGTATTTTGCCTCTGAACGGTCAAACTAAGTACAAACAGAACAAGAGTGTGTCTTGCGTGTTATATATTCTATTATATTTTCGTATGACTCATAAATATCTATATTTTTTTTAGAAGAGCAAAACATATCTTCTGAAGTGGACTCGAGACCAATAAATGAAAATCAACACAAATCTCTAGCTGTCTTTTCATTATCATCATCATCATCGTCGTCATCATCGTTGAGTGAACCAATAGGAGTATCTTCGCTAATGTCTACACGTATCATACCAGTTGGTTGTTATCATGAACAAGATCAAACAACATCGACTAACTCACACGAAAAAAGTTCCACTTCAACATCGCTAATGAAATGTTTTGCAACGTATCGCGAACAAATTCCATTTACATCAAGTTGCTCTTCGTCTTCATCATCCACTTCTTCAACGTCATCAACGAATCCATCGACTCGAAGAGACTTTCTAACGTCAAAAAAGCCAGCTGAACATTTCATAACAACTGTTGATACATTAACAATAGAACAGAATTTATTTAATATGGCTCGTTTCGATGTGATTAAAACAAACTTTTGTGAATATTATCAAATGGGAGATTTTGTTCGAAGTGGAGGATTTTCAGATATACATGAAGGAATGCGCTTAAGTGACAATAAAAAAGTTGTGGTTAAGTTTATTCCTAAAGAAAAAACTAAAAATTGGTTAATGATTAATCAAAAAAAATATCCGGCTGAAGTTTTATTGCATAAAGCTGTACATGAAATTCAAGGTTTGATTTTAGTTTGAATTGAAATAAATTTTGTCGAATTGATAAAATCTTCTAGGTGTTATTCATGTTTATGATTATTTTGAGAATGCTGACCATTGGATATTAGTTATGGAACGTTTACGTAATTGTCAAGACCTATTTGATTATTTGGAATCGAGAGATCGTGGCCGTCTTAATGAAGCTGGAGCAAAGAAATTTTTCCAACAGCTAGTTCAAATTAATTTAGCCATGATACGGTAAGTTCATTGAAAAAAGTCGCTTATGCAGAATAGAATACGTGAGTCTTTCAACATTAAGGGTAGAAGCATAAAATAATATGAAGAAAAATAATTCAGTAAGATTGTAATATCGAAATCATACATAAAAATAAAATTTAACTTGAGAGCTCAGCCAGCTGTTTGGCATTATTCAAATTTTTTATTATCGCCATAAGTAAGGCTTTATGACATTAAAAATAGTTTAAAGGATTCGAGTCCTTAATCTACTCGTAAAAAGAGGTGTGGCCGCTTTAATAGCATGGAGCTTTTTTCTCTTTGAGACAGTTATTTCATAGCAAACAGATTTCAATTTGAAATATTTTCTCTACATCATTAGATAATCCTAGAATTTGCAATGAAAACAAATGTCTCTTGAGATATTCAATTTCTAAGTCGACTCGGTTACTTCGTCCTTCTATGATAAACTGCTGTTTTTGTTTGCAAAAAGAAATCTCTCGAGAAACAGATTTGTATTCATTGACAGTTTTTCGGTTATTAAATCCGACTAAAGGTTAGAACAAATTTCTGTTTGCTTTTTTCGAATATATCTTGCATTCAGGAAAACTTTTGATTAGAACAAAATGCTACTAAGACCTAAATCAACCATGAGATCATCCTAAGGTCATGACCTGAGGCGTTGTTCGCGTGGTTGAAGAATGTCTAATTGGTAGAAGCAGCTGTCACTTCTAGACATCCTATTGTCACACTAAATTCTAAATAAATCCCACCATGACGCAAATACTTCGTGTTTCCTAATCTAGAAAGTTCCTATTAAATGATGATAATGTCGTGATCACGAATATAGATTTTATTAAACAACGATTTTTATCTTTATCATATTTTTTTATTTATTTTAGGAAAGGCGTTGTTCATCGTGATATTAAAAGTGAAAATATTTTAGTTGATCTTGATACTGACTCACTTGTATTAATTGACTTTGGTGCTAGTGCGATATATAAATCGGCAGCATCCCATTATTCAGATTTTCATGGAACCAAACAATATAAATCACCCGAATATATATTAAAAAAACGTTATACAGGCGTACCATCAACCGTATGGACGCTCGGCGTTTTGCTTTACGATATGGTTAGTTATGAGCGATGAAGCATGTTGTTTTTTAAAACTTATTTTGCTTGTTTAGGTTTGTGGAAATCTACCATTTGAAAGTGAAGAAGATATAACTGGACATAAGTTAACACTAAAATCATATTTATCACCTGAATTAAAAAATTTAATACAACGATGTCTTGCACAAAATCCTGACAGGCGCCCATCACTTGAGGCAGTACTAGAACATCCTTGGCTTAAAAATTAAAATCTTCTAGTTGCAATGTTTTTTTAATCAACAGTGAGTGTGAATGTGTACGTCCTGTATTTATTTTTCTCAAGTGTATTGGTGCTCCTCATTTTCCCATCAGGTATTATTATATTTCTTCCATATAGGCAAATTCGAAATTCATTAGCTCGTCTTCTCTCAGTGATACCTGTTTAAGTGTTTTCTTCTTTTGCACGCGTTAGGCTCGGTACTAGATTAGACTGTGTTTTCATTTGCTTGTCGTGCTTATCCTTCAAATTTAATGTCTGATAATTGTTCAAAGTAGATTAAAAAAATATAATGTTGTGTATCTAGCTGTTTGCCTTTATGACGAAATGAATAGCAAAACAATCTGAGTTCATTTGAAAGAAAAATCTAAGCTATGTATGTTCATTTTCTTGTAACTTCTTCGTGTTTCATTTTCGGTTACGATGTTATTTATTATGAAAAGCCAAGACAGAAAACGTAGGCGATGAATAATCCTTTTTTTCTTTGTTCGCTGCTCTATCTATTTATTTTACTTTACACATACGTTTGTGTTGGTTCGATTCGGATGAATAAAAAAACAAAACAGAAACACCATTGAGTTCCAGTCCTGCGTGTTACTATAGCATCAGTCATATGAAGGAAAAAAAACGAATGAGAGAGAATTCGAAATTTTATCATCAGTTAATTCTATTCATTGTTAATGAAATATCTTCCTACTTTCGTTCGTATGAAAAACAGCGTTATCCCATGTGCCACAATTAGAATTGAAAACAACAAGAAAGTGTACCTGTGGCTGAAGATGGTACTATTAATTATCAAGCTGAAAAAGCAAATGCAAGATTCAAACGATAAGAACCTGATGCTAAATTATATGAATCGTTCACAAAGATGATATGTAACCAAAAAATGACTTGTTTATCAAGATTCAGCGCAACGAGGCATTCATCTCCAGATGATGTAACTCGAAAAGTTTGAGGAACTTCAACTTAATTCGAATCCTTCTTATTTCATTTTATTAAAAGACACTTATTATGAACTATTGAATATATTTTATTTCTTGTATTTATGGTTTTCGTTTAAAATAAATATGCAAGTGTTGCTATATTTCAAACAAAAATATAGCCGTCAATTGCACATTAACTTTTTCTTTTTGTAGGAGAAGATAATCCGAAATCGAGAATGAAGCGAGATGTAAATATAGACAAAATCGGCATGCTTGATAAAGAAATAATTCTAAAGCTAAATTTGATCGCAAATCAATTAAAAACTGACACGTCTTATTGACCAAAACATTTCGTTTTATAATCGAAAGTATATTCAATATTTATCCATATGTTTTCTCAAGAGCATTTTATGGCATATATTGCCAATCCTTTCAATCACTAATGCAATATAGGGTTGCGAAGGGTAATAACTTTCTTTCAGTGTATGCCTGTTTTACTTCATATTGTTTGCTACACAAAATTGTTCATTACCAATGTAACACAATAAATGGCATTTGCTTTCATTTCATTGATTTTAGTTTAAAAATTTCATAATAGAGGTAAAAATTCAAATAATGTATCGTTTAGATTATTGGTAAAACTAGAAAAAAAAATATTCGAGACATGAGGGTGTGGGTGTCTATCTGATTCAATGAAATTTGACTAATTTATCGCTTAATATAACTGAGATTTTAGTGTTTGAAAAGAACACTTCTTTGATTGGTTATGTCAGTGTAATCAAGAAGAGACTTATTGTCTATAGAATAGTGTACTGATATAAACAGTTTATAAAAGATCATTTTGTCAAATTATTTATTTCGAACAGAATTGTTTATATCATCTTATCTATATAAACAACTTAATATACACTAAGTATTTCTTATGATTGATTTGAAAAATGTTAATGTATCAGTTGGGGCTATTGAAAGATAATGAAAACGAGACTATTTACAAAGAGTTGATTACCATCTGATAATCTGCTTGTAAACCAGTATTCGTTTGTTCAAACATAAAATGCTGTCAAATCTGGCGCAAGACCTCGATCAATACCTTTCACAGTATGGCAATGAATATGTCAACATATTTCTATAACATATCGGGCTAGAAGGACATCCACAACAGGAAATGTACAATAATTCTATTGTATCATTAACATGTTATTGATTGATGGCACCTTCAGAAATCTGTCTGCAGTCAGGTATATTTATATTTTATGAAATTTTCAGAATGTATACGGAATCTCTTGAAGATGCGATCGTGCCATTAAAAATCCTATAGCATGGCGTTTTGCAACAATATTCAATAAGCTATGACCCGAAATAGTTCATTTCATAAATTTTAATTCTCTGTGGATCTTCATTCTTTAAAGTTAATTGCATCTTATTTGATAGAACGTATTAGAATGAGGTGCATGACAGAGTCCTTTGTTATTAATGTTTTGTTTTTATGAAGCAGAACAGAACGGCAAATTCGACATCTGGAAAAATAGTACTAAAATGACGTATCTTCTATTCATAGAAGAGTTTGTCTTGTCTTCTAATATATGAACTTAATTAAAAAAAACAGATATTTCCAGGTACTTCCGGTTCGCATGCTTTTTCAAATTAAAAAATAATTGGAAAATAAGGATGCTCCTTTGAGAATAGTAAAATTCATAAACAAACAGAAACTATACAAAAAGAGAAAAACAGATCACGTCGACTTTTAGGGAAAAACAAAATTTTAAATAAAAAGTCTTCTATTCCATATAAGAAAGATTCGTCCAGGAGTCATTTTAATATCGAGCTTGTCCGGCTAACTCTACTACCGGACAGTGAGTGTGTTACTATTTTTATGGATTTTGCTTTTCTCATTACTTTTGAACAGTTTACCAGAGAAACACTGGCAACACCTTACTTTGTTCACTAAAATGTGCTCTACAAAGTGTACTTTTCATTTTTCTTGTCTAAAATATTCTTTCACCTGTCTTATGAAAAATACAAAATGTGCTTAATATAGATTTAAATTGTTTTTTGTTCTGTTGTATTTTTCGTACGACAAGTGAAAGAATATTTTAAACAGGAAAGATGTACAGTACACTATGTAGAGCACATTTTAGTGAACAGAACAAGATTTTTCTTGTTTAAATTTGGTTCTATTTATTCGTGACATCCTATCTTTTTTATGATTTTTAGTACAGTTTTTTCGGACGCTTATGAGAGAGAAAGGTAACGATAACATATAGAGAACAGAATACAAAGAACAGAAAACAAACAAACTGGAGAGGCAGTAATGACGAATCCACGTGTATTGAATTGTTTTTTCTTTCTTGACTATTCTTCCATTATCGAATATCTTTCAAACCAAAACGCCATGTCAGGGGAGGGAATCGAACCTTCTGCTATCTGACTAAATCAGATGCATGGAACCACTACGCCATCCCTGGCTACAGAACAAGATGTTGCTCTCGTTTCTCTGGTAAACTGTTCAAAAGTAGTGAGAAAAGCAAAATGCATAAAAATAGTGACGCACTCATTATCCGGTAGCAGAGTTAGCCGGACAAGCTCTATATAGTTATGTCGATTTTGATGAATAGTAGTCCAATGTGAAGTAGTTGAAATCAACAAGCTTATGTACGTGTCCGAAAAAAGGTTTATAGATATTTCTGATCGACATAAGATAGAATTCGATAGTTTTCATCTTTGAAAGAAGAAGAAGAAAATGATGACTCTATGTGGCAGCGTTGATTATTGATTTTGATGACGCGACCTTTCAGAAAACTGATGTACTCGTACAATAGAACAATAATAAAATTTCAATCATTAGATGTGGATTCAAACTCTCGATTAAAAATCTTCCTAACCAGGCATCTCAGAAATGAAAGAATCGATTTAAATGAAAAAACTTCAGAAAAAATGCTAGAAAAAGAACGCACAGGAAATGATTTGATGCGACATTTTCTCATTCTACCTTTCAACGATGAAAACAAACTGTAAATTATCTTATTTCTATTTAAATTTATGCAAAACAATGTCCACTCGTATTTTGTTCTCTAGATTGACATTCGTTCATCCGCTGATCTCATGTCATGAATTCAAATCAAATTGTTAATTTTTTATGAATGTTAGATGAATGACACTTCAACATAATTAATAAGTTCCACTAGAATAAAAATTGATGCTTACAGATTTCTTATGAGAAAATTCAGAAGTAACAAAATAGAAGATTATTCTATGATTAAACATAGTTCTTATACATTCAAAGAAATGCATGTTAAAATTCTATTCGCACAACATAGATTTTGCTTGAATGCGATAGAAAATCAATTTTTAGAATTTTATTTTCACAATATTTACTATTTTCGACTAACAAAAATAATCTTCCGATGTCCATAACACCAAAACAAAACCGTTCGTTTATTATTAAAAACAAGAACTATTTTTATCCATTCATTAGCTATTTAGATAAACAATCGTATTTGAATAAATGATGTATATGTCAGAACACATAAAGAAAACAACTTTTGTCTCGAAGTTGACAACGGCAACGTCACCGATAAGTAGTGATAATGATAGAAAAATATTACTCTCCAAACAGTATGTGTCCTTGTACACACATTTGTTTTTCTATTGATTTGTCCCTTCAAATCAGAGAATGAGCAAAAAACAACTAACTTGTTGATCGTGTCAAGTACACATTTGATTGGAGTATCATTCAAAAAATAAATAACTAAAAAGTAAATACAAGGACTGTGTTCGCGTGTTATTGTATCTATTATCCTTAATTTCAAAGAAAAAAGCGAAAAGAATATGGTTGCATGTTATAGACCTTCCAGCAATGAAACTATTGCCTGTGATACCAGTACAGCTGCGTATTTGTAAGTCGATTTTACTTTCAAAAAGTGTAAAAAACAAAACGATTTGTCCTTTTAGTGTTGTAGGAGTTATTTTGCCTTTGTTGATTTGTGTCACTGTGATTCTTATATCTGTTTATGTTCGACACAAAAACAATCGATTAAGACGAGGTATGCATTTTGAGATGAAATTCTCATTTGAATTACGAATTACTTTTGATAGAACAACAACAGATGAATATAGGAACAGTTCTAGCAATTAATAACATGATGGATGAACGAATAGAATCAGATAGTTATCCATATCCACCTAATTACACAGCAACAACTGATACTTTCTATGATAAACCACCAACTTATGAACAGAGTCTACATCGACTGCAAGAGATTCACAATGCAACAGAAGACGGAGCAGCAATCCTACCAGATAGATCAATATCATCATCAACAACAGAATTGTTTCGAACGTCACAAAATTTTATTTAGTCGATGCCAAATTATATAAGGAATCTTTTAAATAGAACACTCAACTATTTAGTTATGTAACCTATTCATCGTTTTGTTGATGTTTTGATTGAAATAACGTTAAAGTTATATTTCTCAGAACGAAATTGAAGAGTTGTTATGTGTTTGATTTAAAATAGATTATGTTCCTTGAAGTTTTCTGTGATATCTACGAAATAAATAATCGAAATTTCATCTTTATCGTGCAACCCAATTTACGAATTATTTTACAGTGACTATTAATCGGAATAATTTAAACAGTTCTTGTGATTTAGAATTCCTTTCTGTTTTTTAGAAAGTTGATTAGTGGCGTTAGATTTATTATTGTTTTTAGTTTACTCGAAACAGTGATGTATGAATGCTGAATACAAAACATATTAATCATAAAAACATACATAGTGTCACCTTCCAATGTGTGTCAGTTCTATCGTCGATACTTGTTCCTATTAACCCTACAGTCTCATTGACATAGTGCGCTGTGCTTGGCCATGTGAATATACGTACATAGAACGTAAGTGGTGAAATACTTAGAAACATAATAGAATTGTTGCTAAAGTTAACTCATATACAAAAGAATGTTAAGCTGCATGTAAAATTATCAACTGGCAATAATTTCGATAGAATACATCTATGGAATTCATTTTGAGAATCATCTATCAGACGTATAGAAATACTACAGTAAAAGTAATTATAAGCTTCACAGTAATTGTTCACAAGAGAAATGAATAGACTTATGTTTCTCGAGCAATAGATTTGACTCCAATGGAAATTCTCTCGATTCTAGACGTATTAACTACTAATACAAAACAAAATCATCGTGGATATTTTCCACTGAAAATATTTTTGAGGACACTCGATGAAAATGAACTGAACATAAATAACCTCATTGAATCATGAGGATATTTTCCGTCTTGCCGGAATACATCCTAATCTAGAATTGTAGGCTTTTATTGTTCTATAAATTAAAAAAAAGAAGAACAGTAATCCACCTAGTAGTCGAATTAATTTCAGTTTCACTGATATCAACAATGCGTCAAAACTTTTCTCCATAGATTTTGTTTGGCTAGCGGACTAAAGCATTATGCCAGAATCCTCATAATGTTTTTTTATTATCTCTTGTATACTGTAATAAGCATTCGACAAAATGATGTAAACACTCTTCTCAACATGAATGCTAAATAAAGAACTTTACCATTTTTAGTTGTATCTATATCCACTAGGTTACATTCTGTAATGTAAAAGTGATAGAAACGAAACAATTCAGAAAGAATCGTATAGAATGGAGAATGGAGAAAATTTGATGATTGACATTTTTCTACTAGAAAACGTCAAGTGTCAACACCTTCAATGTGACATACTATACGTCGATAATAAATATATGTTGTTTTCTTTTTACTTTAGTTTATTCACGAAGCAAATGATTTCTTGATACTTATTCCCAATAAGATCATTAGCTGATGTGAAACCGTTTGATAGATCCGTATTTAGAGATAAAAAGTTATTTGAACAAAAATAAAACACAAAACCGGTTACTCAAACTAAACGAGAATATCTTTGTGTAATCTAATTTGAACTTGACAAATAAAATGAATGTCGAACTCCATAGAGCATCAAGAAATTTACACTTATCATATGAGGCATGAATAATCTAAAGCAGAACTGTTTGATTGATGTAAATGCTTGACTGTTAGGAACATAAAAACTACTTATCATCTATTAGGAATAGTAAGCTGGAATATGATACTCAGCATGGTGATTTCATCAACAAGGATGTATATTGAAATAGATATCTGAGCTCTCTTCTTTATTCGTTGCACGTACTTAAGAGGTGAAACAACATTTGAATAGGTTTATGATCCGAGCATCCGCCCCTACATTTCGATTTGCTTTCGGGCAAACTTGATATCAACAGTTTTCAATGATATTTTATTTTACAGAACTCGAAAAATTCCCACGAATTTTAATTTGTTACTTATTTCTATAGACAGCGAAGTAAAAAGAAAGTAAAATTGTATTATGAAAAAGCGCGCCATAACTTGGTAGCATTTAAAACCTAATCGAATAATACTCGATTTGAATATAACAACAATCATTTTGACATTCGTTACGACAGTAAGCTATTATAGTAGTAGACATCATTCGCATCGAATAATATTTCCCCAGATTCAGATCGACTTTGTATAGAAGAACTTCCAATTACAGATTTGTTGTTTTTTTATTGTTGTATTTTTCCGCATATGCACATTGACCTTCAGGAACATGTTAAAGTGCGACATCTAAGACGCTGGCTCTTGTTTTTCATTTGTCATAAATAGAGGTATAAGTTTGTTTAAGATAATTTTAATATTCAAGAATGTTCATTAATAATAAAAATATGTTCTTTTTTGCCATTTTTTTCTACACAGAAGGTTATTCCGTAGTTTACCATAGACTAGCATAGCAGCATCTATAGTTATTAGTAAGAGAAAAAAAGCAAATAAACAAGCAATGCTTCGTTACATTCACACTTCTTTGCAAACTCTTTTTTCACTACACATAGAAAAGTCGAGCCAAAAGGCAAAAGTACACCGCTATTCATATCTTATCGTTTTAACATTGAAGTCAAAAGAAAAACAGGATTTTTCCCCAGTACGAGTATCGTGGGAATAATAAAGCGTTACTCAGTTTTATTGCATAATCATTTTTGTACATAGACCCATTCTTTTTCAAGATATTATCTCGTTTTTCTTTGTAAACGCAAAACAAAAATTCATTATTCAACTGTCAATTGCATGCATTAGAGTGTATATATATTATAATACTTTTCGATTATTGTTGTTACCCTACCAAAGTATTCGACCTGTACAACTATCATTATTTCTAGTAGGATAATTAATTAAATACCAAATGGAAGATCTCAGCGTTGAAGTAGGACATCCAAATGGTGCCTACTACAAAGTGAGTAAAAACACTATTAATAATTAGAATAAAATAATTTTTTCCACAGGCGTACGTTCACGACGTGGATGAAAATGGTGTCAATATCACATATGATCAAGAGTAAAGCAATCACCAAATTTGAATTACAAACAATATTAATTGTATACATTTCTTTTAGCTACTTCCCTCCAACCAAAATTTCATTTTCCGAGAATCGCCTTCGACTACCTCCTGACTCAAATGATCTCAAAAAACTATCACCTGGTGATCCCTGCGAAGTATTTATTAGAGAAAATAAAAAGATTTTCTAAATAAACTCTACATATTTATTTAGGTACTATCGAAAGCGAAAGAAGGTGAACCACTTGCTTGGTGGCGAGCCACAGCCAAAATGTTCAAAGGCGAATTTTATGTTGTCGAATATGAAGTTAGTACTCAAGGCAATAACTACTCGGAAATTGTGCCTAGTGATAAAATCCGTTGTCCAAATACGAAGTCTGTACATAAATATATACATTGATTCTGATTGTGATACTTAATTGTTTTTTCAGTCCCCCGCTAACCTTTTCGTCGTTCAAACGAATAGAAATATTTGTTGGTAGAGACTTGCAAGAAGTGTATGTATTGCTATTAAATACAAAATTCTAAACACTTTTTTTCTTCTCATCACTATCAGATGTAGCAATCCAGCTAATCATAAAGACTTTAAACGAACAACAGGCGCTACTATTGTTCGATATGATGCCCAAAAAGAGTCTCTAGTGATCATCGTAAGTTTGTTTTGATTTTTATTAATGCTTATAATCGTATTTTTTTGCGTTTCTCTTTTTAATAGTCAGATAATGAGGCTACTATTCGCCGTGTCCAAATCTTATCCGATATGCATGTTCGAACTTTACGTGCAAAATCTAAACTTGTACTAGAAACTGAAAAAGTTCACAAACAACTTGAAGTAAAATAAAATTTATTTCAATGGAAACAATTAATTAAAAAAATAAATGCGTATATAATTTGTTTAGCGTATGAAGGTTAATCAAACATCAAAGTATTTGGAAAAATTCACAGTTAAAACTGAATTAATGGGTCTTGCTATTGGTGCGCATGGTTCAAATATACTAAAAGCTCGAGAAGTACCCGGTATAACAGCCATTGAAGTTGAAGATGACACTTGTACAATAAAAGTATTTGGTGATGTAAGATATCTATTGATTTTTCTATATTCAAATGAGTTAGAAATTTTCATTACGTTTTTAGACTGAAAAAGCTGTTAAAGAAGCACGTATTATACTTGAATATGTTGAAGATGTTGTATCAATACCGCGAGAACTCATTGGTATAGAATACAAATTTCTTTATCTTTCTTTTTGATTTCATATTATCTATTAATAACTAATGTAGGTAAAGTAATTGGCAAAAAAGGTCATATTATACAAGAAATAGTTGATAAAAGTGGTGTCGTACGAGTTAAAATTGAAGGCGACAATGAACAAGCAACACCACGAGATGAAAGCAGTTATCCGGTATGATAATTAATTGAAAAATAAACTCATTATTAATGATTTTTGTTTTATTTATTCGTAGAGTCAAGTTCCGTTTGTCTTTGTTGGCACTGTTGATAGTATAACTAATGCAAAAGTTTTACTTGATTATCATATCTCTTGTTTGAAAGTAAGTCTTATTAGAATTGGAAAAGAAAAAAAACTTCTTGTTTTTAATTTTTAAAGGAATTCGATGAGTTACAAGAAAAAAAAATTCAAGTTAACGAACAATTTCGTACTATTCTTGGACCACAACAAGGGGCTGGAGTAAATTCAGCTAACAATAATGTAGGCTATCAAGGTGGACGTCAACAACGGTAAGAGTCTTTTCGTAAAAATGAAGATAATCTTACTATTTATTTTTTGTATTACAGTTATGAATCGGATCGAATGAGTAATTCTGGCAACACACGTAATTATCATGATTCAAATTATCAACAACCATATCCTCAACAACGTAACGATAATAATCAACAATCGCGTCGGCCGAATAATTATTCTACTGGCAATGGTAATCGTGGACGTCAAAGTACTGGTTCAAATTCGTATCGTGGTGGTACGCAAAGTGATGCTGGTACTGGTGGTAAGTTGAATGTTAAATACGATTTTTTGTGTTTTTTATTATGCCAAAGAGAATTCATTCGTTAATGAGACATATGGAATATAAATAACAATATTTATCTTCACAGATGAAGCGAGCGAGTGTGGTGATGCATCATCATCAACAATTAGTACCAGTCGAAAACGTCGGGACTGGGCAGCTGAGGTCGAAAGTGAACAACAGCACGAGACTGGTTATAGTACTGATAGCATGATACAGTCGAACAGCTTACCGAGAGGTGCTGGTGGACGAGGAGGGCGACGTGGTTGGAAACGTAGTAGGCCACCATTACCTACTCATACAGGTGTGCTTACAGTTCATATTTCTTTTCGTTTGCTTTGCCGTTATCATCAATCCAGCTACATATACGAATGCACACAGGCGCCATAGAATTCATTAATTGCATGTATAGATGCAGCATAGAATATGTCTTGCGCTATAAGCATGGTTGCTGTGTTTTCAAAAATCAAACCATTTCGTTTTTGCGAGCTAGATGTATTCTCCAAAATAAGTACACAAAATTTTGTTTCTAATTCTTTAGGTTATGGTGATCGACGCCGTAATAACGATAATGATAGTACTGTGTATGAAACTGAACAAACAAATGGTTTGTTAAATTTATTTAAAACGTAAAATGAAAAATTTTCGATTCTATTTTCATAGAAGGTCAACAACAATATAACGACCAGTATTCATCCCAACGTAACAATTATAATAATCGACATGGTCCCAGTCGTGGCGCTCGTGGCAATCGAGGTGGGAAAAATCGATATAATAGCAATCAAGACGAATATTATGAAGATGATTATGCCACTAGTGGACAATCTCAACAGCAAGTATCGACGACAAAAAAGCCTCAACAATCATCAACAAATAATAATGGGCACCATACAGGTGATGCGACCGCATCTGAAATAGCCAATGGTAGTAGTCATAATGATGAACCAAAAGCACAGCGAATACCAAAACCACAACAACAGCAGCAACCATCGAACGGTGTTAAATAAAGAACAGTAGAGAGAAATGCCAAAGCCAAAGCCAAAACAAAAAATGACATCGGCAACAATATAAAATTCGATTCATTGTCTTTTAAGTTTCTGTTTTTTTTCTCTTGTTTGTTTGTTTATTTCTCTACTATTACTCCATCCAAAAACTAGAAACATGGTTTTTGTTTTATAATAATAATTACTATTATTATTACCACCTATTCGTCGAGTTATTATGCGAATGTGTTCATCTTTCTCTTTTTTGGTTGCTGATTTATCTCTCTCTCTCTCTCTCTCTCTCTCTGTGTCTGTATTTCTTTATCCTATTTCTCTCATGTTTTTGTACATGACTGCTTTACTCGTTTCAAGCCTAATGGAATGGTTTCATCGTCCTTAATGGAGTGAAAGAAAATATATACATACAGAGATAAAATAGCCGGCTTTGTTATTCATCTGTCTTCCAGCAATTGGAAAGAACTTGCCCATGTTATATTATATTATCTTAAATATCGGTTTTTCTTTTGTGATCCTCAACCTGTTTGTTTGACGTGTATGATTCATGTTCAGTTCTTTTTTTGCTTCTATAAATCTAGCGTGTTTTGCTTCGTTTATGTCTCTCACTTTCATTGATGACGTTAATCATGTGTGTGTGTGTGTTTGCCTATCTGTCTGTTTCCTTTTCCCCGTTTGTTTTTTCTACTGATGTCTGTTCTTTAATATATTGCACAAGCGAACAACATACAACGTCACATACATGAGAATCTTGAAATCTTTTGTTGTGTTTGTTTTTTGTTCTTTTCTTTTTTTGCGTTTGTTTCATCACTCTTTTTTGCTAAAAAAAACAAGTATTAAAGCATACGAGAAGGTGACACGATATAATGGTTTTAGGAATAGAATTGTTCCGACCGGAGGAATTTGAGTTAACTTGATAGAGTTAAAAAACGATCAGTAATTGATAATTAAATTCAATAAAAGCCATGCTAATGGTTGATGTACCTATTTACAGTTGCATCATAATGTAGATTCAAGGAAAGAAAGCAACAGTTGTTATTTCGATTAAATGCTTTCATTTCTATTCTAATGGGCACATTTTCAGTCAAAGAATGTCATAAAAAGTACATTCAATATGTACAGAATTCCTTCTGTGTCTACGTGGGATTCTTATCTGAATCAGCTTGAATTGTAAAACGTGGGCCAAGAGCTTTAAATTTTATTCTCACGTGATAATCCTGTGATTATAATTATCAAAAAATCCTTCTATATGGTTTAGCGTGAGTCTAGACGTGTCATGATTCTTTTATTTATCGTTATTAATGATAATATGTGTTTCATCGGTGCTTATGCTAAAGCTAATCATTTAAAGAAGTAGAGAAAAAAGAATAAAAAAAGAGATAACATTCAATTGTTGTTTTCAAGTTAAAATATTCTTGTATTCATAACAGGAAAAACAATCGTGTATACTGTTTTTATTCTACGCGTAGCTCGGCTGACATCAACACGATTGACTGATAGATAGTGCATGCGCTTACATTAATCATGAGTAGAGATTTAAACGGCAGTGATCCATGTACTTATAAAAGTAAGACAAGAACTTTAGATTGGATACAATATAGATTATCTTTTCATTCAATATCATATGTCTAGAAGTTCAAGATGAAATAAATACGAACAGTAATTATTACAATACATCAAATTCAAATGCATCATCATCGTTGAATGCTGCAAGTACGACTAACGCTGAGACTTACAATACTAATACGCAACAAACAAATACAACAGCATCATCTAGTTATTCATCGTCGAGTTCGACAAATGAATCGGATTCAACAAATAGATCATCTGGTCATCATGGTAAAACATCCTAATGATTGTTATCAATTGTGAATGAATTCAACCCAACAAAAACAAAACGAACACCGTCTTTTCACTAAAATATTTGCTATCTTTATTCTTAATTATTATTTTCAACTGTGAGGTTTTTGAGAAAAACGTATACTGCAATTTTTCATCTTCATGCTCGATAATTAGCCCAGAGAATGATACAACATCAGAGGCATCTAGTAAGTTCTAAAGTAGATCTGTTAAGCATTTATATGCATAAAGTCTTTTTTCATTATAACTTCTATGTCAATATGAGTTGCATTTTATATTTCCGAGATTCACACCTTCCAGATTCACGATGATTCAGTGTTAGTGTTTAAAAATAAAACCGAGAATGCACGATAAAATACTTGAAAATCCCAACTCATCATTCACCCTCCCTGTTAGATTTCTATTGAAACCTTCGACATCACAGGGTCTCAGAACTGACAAGAAATACTTCTGATATTGAATGAGTCTCTACTGTTTCCGACGCAAACATTCACTATTTTAACCAGTTTTTAATTAATTATTGCATACAATCAAATGAATCAGCGATTTCGATCAAAAATATACACGTGTGAACATTCGAATGATCTATTATCAGGATCCATACTGAATCTTTTATGATGAAGAATGTATAAACAAAATAGCTATCTACTTTGTGCTCACGTAAGACAAAGTTATGTCACGAAATAATGTTTCTAAATTATTCACTGTATGTTACTCATAATAGCAAAAAATAACAACCTTCAAGCTTATTATTTTGCTTTCTTTTACGATCGTTGAAATAAATTTATTGATCGTAATTGTAGATTTTTCATAAGATTATGCTAGTAGATGTGATTACATAAATCAAAATTACATGAAAAAGCAAAATAGATGCTTGAGTTTTATCTCTATTCTTAGAGAATGTTATGATAAGTGTGGTAAAACAAAAATGGAAAATTGTTTTGTATAATCTATGTTTTAATTATATGCTTCTCTTATATTATAAGGAGAAGAAGTTGAAAATAATTCATGAGGAAATAAGCCAATAGTTAATATTAAAATCTGTGACATCATTTATGAAGGGAAGGTTGCCTCTTGTCGACTACTTAAATTCTTTAATATAATACTCTTGGATTTTTATTACTGGCAACAACACAGAGCTGCTCTGTTTTCCTCAAATTCTGCAACTCCTCCGCTATGTTGCTGAATAGTCGCTCTGATTATTGATTGTTTTGTAAATTAAAATTTAGATTCTATCGATGATCTATCACACTTATTTTTACATGAGTATTATATGCAGTAGATCTATGAAGTCGATTTTTATCTCTGCGAACCTATATTCATATATCTTTAGTACATCAATCAAAATATCACGGAACAATAAATCAGCTAAAAGCAATATTTTCATATACAATAATATAATCTACTCCCCATATTTATGAACATAAATTTGAATTTGATCTGGTAATCAGTGATCAAATCAATCAAGGCTAATAGAAATAACATATGATGTCTCTTTTATTGCCATTATCAGTCAACATTTTGCATGTTTTTCTTTTTAGCAAATTTTCTATCTTTTATCCGTACAGATAAGTCTAATCATACAAACGAAATCATTTCTTTCAATTCCCTTGCGATCATCTGCACATCATCGTGTAATTAGACTTGAAGAATGCGTGCAAATTCGTTGGCTGAGACTTTATGTATAAGAAAAAAAAACGAACACACATAATAATAGACGTGACGCGAGAAAAAAAAGCAATAATCATCTTCTTTTGTTTTTATACACGAAAGAAAAGAAAAACATATTGTTTCATACACACACACACACGCACACACATACAGACATAGGTATTTTCACAAAAAGACTTTTCCCCTCTCTAATAACCATCATTTATTCCGAATGTATCATATGGTGCATTGCCGTTATTGTTATGTGTCTCATTCTCACCTCGAAGATTACCCGAACGACGGCCACGATCGCCACGATCTCGATCACGTGATCGACGTCTTGTTGTATCTGGGCGTTCGCGGGATGAACGACGATCACTACGACGTTCAGCTGAGCGAGAACGAGTTCGACCTAAGATATAATAAATTCATAGATTTCGATTTCAATGATAAAAATAATACATACGACGTTTGTGTTCACGGCTTCGACTACGGCGGCGATCTGTTATCGAGAGAAAAAAAAAGAATCTAGATCAATTTTGTTTAGCAAAACATTTTCAATTTACCTCGAGATTTTGATCTTCGTTTTCGGTCTCTCGATGAAGATCGTCGACGTTCTTCGCCTGCGCTACGTTTGGGTCCTGCTGTACCACCACGGCGTGTTGCGCCTAATCCACCACCTATTCACAAATAATAATTGTTTAATAATGATAACAAATAAAAATTAAAAGAATACAAACCTAATCGTCTTGGTCGCCATCCTTTGACTGTTCGACCACGTTCAACATCGACAACAACACGTCGGCCATCAATTTTACGTTCATTAGCTCGTTTGTATGCCGCTGAAAGTGAAGTGCTTACCGTCAACACAACAAAATATCATCGACGATTTGACCAGTTTTTTTAATCTTACCCCAATCGACTTACCCTCATTGCTTATCTTATACATAGGCTGCTTTTCTTTTTTGGCTTTCCAAGGAAAAAGGATGAAGGTGGAAGAAAAAAAATGATCCCATTTACTCACGACTGTTTTTTTTCATACAAAAAAAAACATGGGGATTGCTTTGGGATCGTAGAAAAGAATAAAATGTATAATAAAAGATAAATCTGAATTTTATTCTCACCTGTTTTTATTGTTATTACCTTTTTATTTTTTTTTTTCGAAGGGTTTATATTGGGTGATAATACTGAACAAGCGAATTTTGAGCTTATCCATTTCTGTTTTACTTGTCTTACCCGATTTAAAATATATATGTATATGTTTATACAAACCTCGAATAACCTTTTTTTTTTCTTCCTCTGGAAATATGCGCTTGGCGCTGAGTAGTTTTCCATTTAAAATAGTATATATATATACCTGTCTGATTTTTTCCATATTTTATATGTAGATTTATACGTACACAAATGGTTTCAGCAAAACAACTGGGTGTGTCTCACACGCATCGATGCTGTTGCGTGTCTAGAAGACAAACAGGCAACGGACAATAGCCTCGGAACAAATGGGACGATTTGAAACTGAACGTATTTGCGTATGTACAACGGATGCAAAAAAAATAAGACTCAACAAACCTGTATAAGTGATTCGAATAGAGAGAGAGAGAAAAACAATGGGGTAAAAGATCATTCTCACTCACCTGAATACTTGCAAAAAGTAACATCAATTTTTCAAAAAACAAATATAGTATGACTATTTAAAATACTACCGAAAATTAACGTTAATAAAACTGAACTAGATGTTTTTCAACTCGATTTAAAATAAAACTTAAAGGATACTTTTTTCATAAGCGACCTACCGTGCATATCGGATTCTTTTTCATATTCAATAAACGCATAGCCACGCGGTTTACCAGTTTGTGTATCATGAACCAAGTTAATCTAAACAACAAAATGGAAGATATTCTATCAAAAAAAGTAAACATTTATGTTAACTTACGCTTTTTATTTTTCCGTACACTTCAAACTCACGCTTTAGTTTGGTTTCTGATGTATCGTAGTTCTAAAAATAAATACAAATAACAATGGTTATTAATTGGCATTAAGTCTATTGATGACCTTCTTCGAAATCTATTTTTACAAAGAGTTGATAATCATTTTTAGTACACAGTTTCCCAAAATTTCTATTCATTTTTCATTTAACGATCAACTCGAAATTCTATGAAATATGACTGACAATTTTGTATAAAGAATATTGCCAACTGCAATTAGGACGAAGAATTCCAATCATCATCATTTTATGATCAAATTATGCATTACTTCGTTTCAGTTCATTTCTCCTTGTTTGAAAATTCAGCTATCTATCTCGACCGCATCACTAAAACAAAATCTATACTTACAAGTCGAGCAATGAACAATGTTTTGTATGGATCGGCTGTAGCTTTTTCATTAGTATTAGGATCCCCTAAAATACGAAAAACGTGAATTTTCATAGAACACGAATTAAATAATAATTACATAAAGTAGCGTTTTGTTCAAGTTGAAGAGCTGCTCTTTCAGCTTTTTCGCGTGCCTAGAAAAAAACAAATATCATATTGATTAAACAATTAAAATCTATTTACTTTTCTTGCAACTCGTTCTTCTTTTGTTTCAATTCTTGTTGGTGGTGGTGTTTCATGAGCTTGCTAAAAATAAAGTTATATTCATTATAAATATTTTATTGTCATCATTTGTTTATTCGTACTTCAAAAGTCGATAAAAATTCTCCTAAGCCACCATATGGTAGACGTTTTTTTTCATGTGGTAATTTATCATTAGGTGGTAAGAATGGAATTGCTTCTCGTGGAGCAAATAATGCAAGAAGATTTGGCGGCAAAAATTGTGTCATATTGATTGAAGGGAAAGAGAAATACAAATCTAAAAAATACCAACAAAAATTTTCAATGTTCTTATTATTGTTTTTCTTATTTCGGCTGTTAGATTCTTTTTTGTCTTCTGATTTCTTGTTCTCAATATAAGAAAAAAACAAGCGAAGAGACAAATACAATGAACATTTGTTTCGTCGTTATTTTTACGCTTTCTTTTTTGATACACCAACAGTGCGACCACGTCGACCGGTTGTTTTTGTATGTTGGCCACGTACACGTAAATTCCAATAGTGACGAAGACCACGATGAACACGAATTTTTTTCATACGTTCTAAATCTTCACGAACTTTTGTATCAAGATTGTTCGATGTTGCTTGTGAAAATTTGCCATCTTTAATATCTTTTTGACGATTGAGAAACCAATCTGGAATTTTATATTGACGTGGATTGGCAATTATTGTTACAATACGTTCGACTTCTTCGTCAGTTAATTCACCGGCACGTTTTGTTCCATCAACATCAGCCTTTCGAATAACAACATGAGCAAAACGACGGCCAACACCTTTGATTGCTGTTAGAGCATAACCAGCTTTTCGACGGCCATCAATGTTTGTGTTAAGAACACGAAGAATATGTTGAAATTTTTCTGGTTGAATTAACGGTGATGACATTTCTGATGGAGATGTTTCTTTTTATCTAGAAGAAAAGTATATTTCATGAAGTAAATTCGAGTCAACGGAAAAGATCGTATTGTACAAGAGTAGAAGAATGAATGAAGCAAGAAAAAAGTAAATAAGTAAACAAAGATGTGATTTTTTTAACCACTGTTGTTCGTTGCAAGATTTTTTTTTAATATTTAAAAAAGAAAATTATAACTAAGGTTATTATGAGAGTCTATAATAAAAAATATTATATTCTATTTAAAATGCATTAATGAATCAGAAAAGTGAAATGGAGGCATTGTCATGCATTCATATACAATCATGGCGGGCATTTGTCTTGAGATATAGATAGATATGATAGGAACAGAAAAGAATACCTGAGCCAATCGAGCGTCCGGTAACGATTTGAAAAGATTTCATCGTAGATGGTAAGTCGTGCTTGACAGAAAATTCTTTATCAATTGAACTACATTTTTTTTAGCTTTTCATATTTTTTTTCTTGCAAACGAATGGTCAGATAAACGTTTGCTTTTATAGATTAAACAAGTTTAATATCACATTTTCTTATCGATATAAAATTAAATATTTATTAAGAGCGCTTTGGTTCTTATTAAGCTTCTTGGTCAATTCTATCCTTAACAGCATCTATTGCGTAGGCACATAAGAGAAAAACAGTGAATACAAATCGCTTATCTGTGACGATCATTGAATCTTTATGAAGTTTTCCTTTTCATCGACAAACCGGAAGATAGTAGTTCCATAGTTCGCTGTTATAGTGTTGAACATTGAAAAAATCTAAGAACTAATCATGTACTGATGAGGAAACTATTCTCATGATTATGAATAATATATTATTTGGCTTAGTATTGAACTATATCAATATTGATTAAAAGTGTCGGACAACATCATTTTAAATATGAGACACTCTAAGAATCTTTTTTTCTCAGCTCTATTAGATATTAAACTCAGAAACAGAATGCCTATTACATTACAAAAATCCACAGAAAGTGCCTTAGTCCAATGGAGTGCATCGCATTTGAGTAATAATCTAACTATCAATCGCTCTTCTGAATCACGCCGATCAACACTGTATGGCATATCACATAAAAGTGGTTTTACTATGGTACAAAAAATAATAAGATAACTGTAACTTGTAAGTCTCTATTGAATGTTCTAGGTAACTGTACCCGACAGTGGCACTAAACGCATTCAAGGTCAAGTGATCTGTCGTATAATGGGAAATAATAATAATGCAGCACCGGAAAGTGATGCTCGATTTACTGTTTATGTTATTCAGGTACCGGATATTCAAAGAACAAATTTTTTAAAAATCATGCTGTTTTCTTCTTCGATAGGCCGCATTTATTAATCTACCTATTCGAAATTTACTTGTTCTTGCTTGCACGAAAAGTGTTCAAGTAAGTGTAATGAAAGTTGATTGCTCTTGAAATCGCTTTTTTTTTCATGTAGATTTACGAATTAGATGGTACAACAAATTTACATATTCATATGCTTGATAAAAATAATACAAATAAAACAGGTGAAATAAAAATTCTATTAAACCTTTAATAATCGTATTTACGCGAACCTTTTAGAATCATCAATTTATGCACGAGGTATTGCAGGTATTGGTCAAAATTTACTCTGTGTTGGTAGGTAAAAATTATTTTGTGAAACAAATAAATGCAGACTTTTTTCCTTAGGCAATCACCAAGGGGAAATTCTGGTGTTTAATATTCCTCCAAAAGGAAATAATATATTTCTCAAAGAAACAATACATGGTAAAAGTCATTTTTTTCCGGTTATAACAGAAATTTTCCAACTGATAAATTTCTATTGGATAAAGAAGATGATTATTATTTAGAATCGGATGAGCTACGAATATATTGAATCATGTGTAATCCTTCAGGTTTCTTGCTAGCGATATATTATACCTCATGATTGATTGAAAATTTATGTTGAACTTTTATTAAGGAAAAAAAGTGACTTTCTAACATCTGAATTGATAATTTGTATAGAGAAATTTGAAATCAGAAAATTCAAAACTTTCACAGACGACTATAAAAATACAGTAATAAACTTTAGAGAATTTCAAATCTTTTCGAACTCTACAGTTTTACTGGCTCAACATGATGCATAAAGTTTCTAACTAAAGGCCAAAAGAACAAACCACTTTGCATATGAAATAATAACAATTTTGCACTTCAGGGCATCAATTTGGCATAACATATTTAGTATCTAATGCTAACTTATTAATATCAAGTGATACAAGTGGTGTAATACTTATAAAAAATATACGTACTATGTCACGAATAAATGAAATACAATCTATAAACGAAAGTGGCGTTACATCATTATCCATGTGGAATAATTGTATTGTAGCCAGTTATGCTAATGGTATGATTCATCTTTTTGATCCGGAAAATGGTAAGTAATTACGAAAGGTTAAGATATTCAATAAAAATTATTATCATATAAATAGCTCAAATATGTGGTTCAATTGCTGCTCATGCAAGATGTATAAATGCAATTGATTGCAACGAACAAGGCTTACTTGCATCTGTTGGTGATGATTGTTATGTTAGAATTTGGAAATTATCTGGTGATGCAGAGAGTTTACAAGTAGAATATTCAGTATTTTATTTTGATTTCTAAGAAGACTTATTTTAGATTTCTCATGAATGTAATTATCATCTTGACAATAGTCAATTAGTGGGTGTGAAATTTTTAAATTTATCACGAGCAGATTTAGCTATCTCAGCTTATGACTCAAATGACATTATTATACTTCGTGCAATTTAGATTAATCTAAAATCCTTAATAGAACAGTAAATTATAATTATTGTAACTCTATAGTCATCGTTGTTGTATTTATTTATTTATTTATTATCGTTGTATCATTGTAATTTTTAAAAGATTAAGTTTAAACATCTGTTAAATAGCACCCTGCAAAGTATGATCAGATGAACAATTTACATTAGATATATCGAGATTTATAATGAGGAAACATCGGATTCGCATCCGATTGTTACGTGTACTGCAAAAACTGAGTCGACTTGTATGTTTTGAACAATTCTGAGGAAAAACATTTTTTTTGAAAAAATCACTGTATCCCCCCTCAGGGATGGTTTGACCAATAATGACAATTTTTTCGATAACTTAGCCATTTCTTAACGGATCCTTCTCATCTTCGAACTCAACTGAGATATTGATGAGATCATTCTGTGCACAAAATATCAAGGCAATTGGATGAGACTTTCAAGAGTTATCGTGTTAACGGCCGGACACACTGACCTAATCTAGAGTGTACTCACTTTTTGAATACACAAAAAAGAGTTTTTGTTTTAGATTCTACAATTAACATAGTAGTTTGCCGGCATAATAAGGAAACTACCAAGAATTACGCAAATTTCAGAAATGTATTTGAGGAAAAGAGAGGTTACATAGTAGAAACGTCAACGATTGCAAAAACTTTCTTCATATAGATAATTATTCAAAAATTTAATGACAAGTAACAAATGTTCAATAACTAGAACTAGTTTCTCACGTGTAAAGAAATCTTCGAATCGATTGCTCAACATTAGAAACATTCATATCATTGAATAGTCACGATTCTAAAGAGATATAAAAAATTCTTCTACCCATAGATTTACTAGATTCTAGTAATTATATAGTAAATCTACAACATGACAATTAATTGAATTTGTACTATCTAAATAATCTAATGCAATACAGAACACATCTATATGTAAACTTGTATAATCAGCATTCGATTCTGTCAAAATTTGAATACGAAATAGAAATATTTAAATTAGTTATTTTTCACTGACACTGTGAATAATTTTGATAAGTATTGTTAACCATCAAATACAGTGTCTAATACGACGATTCATATATCATTTTTCAAGATCCTGAAAACTTTTATTACTCTCTACACCTATCGTTATAATCAAATTACAGAGGCATTTAATGTTTTCTCTCTTTTTGCAAAAGTACAAGTCAATATTTATCGGGAAGAAAAACCGTCTATCAATATATTACTAAAGCAAACAGATTACTATTACTGCACTATGCATTTCCTAGGAAAAAAAAGAACAATACTATGGTGTAAATGTAATGTGAGTGATGGCATATTGTTATCTGATGGTTGTCAGCATTTATTTGACAGACAACGTATGGATGCACGGTGACAAGGGCTAATAGTATATTTTGAATACTTTTGGTCGAGAGTTCATGATTGCACGACTAAGTAAGTGTTCGAAAAAACTAATTGCTCACATGAAAATTATCGTAAAAGTCCTAATAAATCTACTAATCGATAAATTCGATTCAAGTCAAGAGTCTGACGACTACCAAGCATTACAAATATGAATTACAAAAAAAGAAACAGAAGAATAGACTTTGAACATTATGGATGATAACGATGACAAATGATCAGTCAATCAAAATTATTGATAAGTAGAATATATATTTTGCAGATCAATCTCACTTGGTATATCTGATTGAAGTTCTAAAATGTTGCCATAACCGATATCAAAGACCTTTGTAAGATTTCATTTGACGGATCAAAGTAATCTTTATTTGATAAATCGATCGATGATCATACGTATAATTGTCGATACATCTTACTCGAATATTCATAGCATCTGTTGGTATTTGAGTGACATACAACACATTCCTTTCGGAATGATGCAAATAAAAACTGTATTTTTTGACCTTATAACACACCATTAAACAAGTTTTTTTCATCTATCTCCCCAAAATGTTTTTCTAACAATTTGAATTACATTCTTGAATTCAAATTTCTACTCTCTTGCAAATAAATAACCGTATCTATTTCAAATATTTTATCTTATTTATTACAGACAAAAAAAAGTGGTAAGTAGAGGTGAATATTGACATTTAAAGAACAAATATCAAAAAAAACGTAAACAAGTGAAAACTGCACAATACAACACATACATAAATTGATTAGAAAAAAGAAATGAAACACAGAAAATGAGTAACAAAAGGCATATTCATCGAGAAAGAATGAGAGAGAGAGAGAGAGAGAGAGAGAGAGAAAATGGATAAAGCTTTATATACGTATATATATACATATATATATATATGTATAGAAAGATAGACAGAAAATAATACACTATATCAGTCATTCACTATTACCACAGTTGCTGATTACATTCATGTGACAAGATATAGTAAACCAATTTGGCACAGCATAACAAAATGACAAATATTAATTATGTATATTCTTTTCAAACTCGTTTTGACTGAACTTGTTGAGCTGCTTTACTTCTTTCAGTAATAATCATTCGAGCTTGATTTTTACGTGTTATTACAATCTGACATGGTCCAAGTAAAAATGGTTCACCATCTATTTCCATTGGTAGATCTCGTCGAATAGTTAATTTTATTTCGCTACCTACAATCAAATGAGAATCATGAAAAATAAATAAAATTAGAAATGTATTTTTACCTTGTGCCATTCGATGACCACGTCTTCCTAATCGAATTCTCGCTAATTCAAAATGTTTAAAACCGACGATTTCTAAATAACCGTCGGAACAGCTTTGTTCACGAAATCGGTCATCATCTGCTTGTGAATGTGCACACCAAAGAGTATCGTAATCACCTTGCCATGGATTGGTACCAGCTGCATACGATGCAATGTTTAATATAAGTATAGCGTCAGGGCGAAAACGAAATAAATCCTCATTCATATTTCTTCCATCAACATGCAATTCAAAATAATTGGCAATATTGCCAAATAGATATCGACGATCAAAAAATGTATTGCTAATAGGAAAGCAAGATTATTAAAACCAAAATCGATCGAAATAGTAAATAAAAAAACACATACCAACTAATACAGCCATAAGCTAATTTATTAAATATACGATTCGCATAACGACGTGGACTTGCATTACGTTTTTCATGAAAATCAAGAGCAATCTAAATATAAATAAAATCTATTTTCAATGATATTTTGTCAAAAAAAAATATAATTTACTTGTGCATCTGCACCAAAACTTAGATAATTATTAAAAACAGGTTGAGGGATCTAAAATATACAAAACGAAACACATCGTATTGTTTTTTTCTGAGATTGAATCTTTTATAAAAACTAACTTTTAAGCTAGAAACACCAGTATGTGCAGTAGGTTTTACATCAATTTGCCAGCGATCAAGTAGACGAGATTCTGAATTACCTAAAGTTTGAATCATGGGTGCTAAATCTTCACCACGATAACCAACACCCCAACCAAGAAAACGCGCCATATCATTTCCAGTACCTAACGGAACAACACCAACGCTAACTAAATCCATATATTGCATTGGAGTCGTATCAAGTGCAGATAGAACCCAGCCAACTGTTCCATCACCACCACATGCTATTTTGAAAAATAAGATTTCTTTTGTTTTTGAAAATAAAAAACAGATTTCAAAAACTTACCAATGATTCGTAAATTTTTTACATCTTGATTATCTTTTAAACCTTTTTGTGGTCCATGATCTTGTACAAGATCATATACATTTTGTTCACCTAATTGAGATCGTAATTGTTCCAATACAGTTTGACCTTGTAAACCACCACTAAAAACAAATATTCGATAGATAGAAATTAATTAAAATAAAGGCACATACGATTTTGGATTTACAAATGCTATGATTTGTTCTCTAGATGCATCTGCTGCAGTCACTTCCAATAATGGTCTTTGCATTGTTGTTGAATTGTCATCGCCAGACGTATTCATTTTTTTCAAAATGATCTTGTTTGTATTATCAGTGATAAAGTTTAATCGGTTCTTAAATGTTTCTATGCAAATTCTTTTGAAACCAAACAATATTAGACATTTTTACACATTCCAAACACGAATGATTTAAACAGAGAAAAGAACGCGAAACAGAACAAAAAGAAAAGATTGCCTTTATTCGACATATTTGCGTGTAAGCATATTATTTACTGTATTTCTATTGGTCAATTTTCAGCCATCACTTTTGTTCTGATGATTTATGCGAGTTTTTTTCTCAATAATAACTTTCGGTAACGAAATCGATCAGTTACAGATATTATTCTTGCCTATAGAATCACCTGCTTGCTATTCGACAAGAAAAATTAGATTTGTTTTTTCTTCTCTTTCTGTTTACTAAAGCCAAAGCTAAACCAGTATGCGAAGCCAACACATGGCAACACTTATTCGTTTTCAATACCACCCGAGAGATCACTTGCAGATTAACGACAGGGACGAGGAACGTACTAATATTTCTATCTTTGTAGTGATTCAAAGAAGAATGTCATCAAAACATTTTTATTTTGAAATATTACTTAATTATCATAATGACTACTAATTACCCATAGAACGCTTTCAGTGCACTATTTTGTAGTAGAACTTATGTGTGTATTCAAAGCACAAAACAAAAATTCATAAATATTATGACGTCAACGAATGAGTAATAATAAACAGATGATTGTAAAGTCGATTACTGTTATATGCTACAGATGGATTTCTCCTAATTGATGATCAGTGATAGGTTATTTATTGACGATAACAATAATCTTGCCATGATAATTATTCTATTCAATTTATTTAACTTGAAAACTAATTATATTCAATCGCAAAGACTCAATAAATAACATGAATTAAATGATCATGCTTTTCTCGAATCATCAAAACTAGTTATTCAACTCAGTGAGAAATATCAGCAATTACTAACGTAAATCAAGCAAGATAAAAAAAAAAGTAGGAAAATGAATCTCACCCAGTCAGTCAAACATTTAAAAAAAACGCGTAAAAATTTTAACGAAAATAAAACCGTAAAAAGCGCACATTTTCACGATTTTATTTCCGTTAAAATTTTAACACGTTTTTACGCTTTTTTTGCCTGAGATACAATCGTAGATATGAATTTCTACCGTTAAATTATTTAACTTTTATTCAGATTTGGTATAACACCTGATTTAATCGTTATGCTACGATTAAATCAAATGTAACAGTAAATCTGTATAAAAATAAAACAATTTAATGTTAGAATTTCATAATTACTATTGAATCAATTGTTGACTCAACTTTAAATAAAAAAAAAGAATTTTATTTTATCATTTCATACTTACAATTGAATTAGCTTTTTGTATTAAATCTGAATAAAAAAGAATTTTAATTTATAAAATCATACTTACGATTGGATTGAATCAATTGTTGAAGTTAATCTAAATAAAAAAAATTGTGTTTTATAATTTCATACATACAATTGAACTTTAGTTGTTGAACTAGATCGAAATAAAAAGCACGGGTTTTACCTACATTAGAGTCAAGAATCTCAATGAAACGATTAAAAATTAAAAGACTGAGCATTATCAAGTTACTCGTATAAGAGTACCGATCTATCACCGACATGCGCTCTTAACTGACTATACGAAAGGAAGATTCAATAAGTTCTAAAAAATTGCTAATATTCTGCATTGAAGGAAAATGAAAAAGCTACGGGAAAAAAAACGGATTGCTGATATGAGAGAATGTAAAAAATGGCATTATTAAGTAGACAATATATGACTGATTGAACGATTTACGGAAACAAAACAGATAGCTACAGAAATAACTAAAATGAAAAAGTAGAGCTGCTATGTTTCATTTGGAATGATAAATGACGAGAAAAAACGCGTAAATTCCTAAAAAATTCTACACATTTTAACGGGTTCACCATCGTCAACGCGTTTATACGCACTAAAAAATCGTAAAAATGACGTTTTTACGAAATTTTAACGCGTGTTTTTTGAAGGTCATGTCTGCCTGGGCATATGCAGCCGCTTCTACACTCAGATAAATACAATCGGTGCATAGAGAACATTGATTTAAGATGATTAATGTCATGTAATCGTACACATCTAGAATCACATGAGCGTTGAAGTCATTGTAGAATGTCAAATGCTAAGGCATTCACATGATTAATACTCAAAACAAGATATTGATCGTCTGTGTTAAGTACAATTGAATGTATAAATGAAAGTGAAAGAGGATCAGCTAAGACTTTCTTGAGGGCGTGGATGTGAGAGTGTGGGTGTGTATTCTCTATTTACCCCTCACGATCTGGCCTCAGATTGCAAGTTTCTGAAAATGTAGGAATTAGAACAGGATCAAGCTTTTTAAAAATACAGGAAAATGTGTAAAAAATCAGAAAAAATAGGATATCGAAAATTCGTTGTTTAGATTCGAATTAAACGTTGTTTTAAACTTTTCCTGCATCAACTTAACATATGCAC